TATGTCCAGAAAGCCAATCTGCTCTGGGGGAAAACTTCCTTCACCTTTAATGCTGGTACATGGAAATAGAGTGTATTTTCCTCTCCCCTGTCATATCTTCTCCTATATGTTTTCATCTGCCCATCTTGATGCATTTGGTGTCAGGAGGCAACTTTGTGGGCAGTGTTTGACAATAAAGCACATCCCCAAGAGCACAGCTAATGAACGATGCAAGTTATCAGGACACCTTAACAAAAGAACCCTAAACCCTCTGCAGGGTCACACAGGCTTCAAAGGATGAGTTTTTTGAAGATTACACAAGGATTAATGTCTAATGACTGCGTGCAGCCCAGCCAGGACCACTCTCCTCATCCAGAAGGGCCAAGCAGCAGGCTCAGGTCAGTGATCCATGCTGGGACAGACAAGGCAGGACAGCTCTGGAGAGCCTGGCAGCCTTCGGTGGCTGAAGCCCTGGCAGCAGCCCCCTGTTTCTCCCGTAGAAAAACACCTGCTGAATCCCCAGCTACTTCCAGAGCTTCTTCTTGGAGGAACAAAGCAGCAATGGTCACAGCAATGGCTTTTGTCACTGAAGAAAGGGAGATTAGAAAAAACCAGCAGAAATATCTGCAGCTCTCTCGGAGCACTGAGCTGCCACACACCCCGAGCACACCCCGCTGCTCACACAGCTGCTCCCACAGCTCCCTGCAGGCACGGTGTCCCCAGGCTCCTCGTGGAAGGAGTGTTGGGCCCTGTTGTGAGCCAGGGAGCAGCCAGGCTTGCCTTTTATGCCAGCAATCCCGCTCAGAATGCAGGACCCCCTGCCAGAGGCTGGCCCACCTGCGGACAGGTATTTCCCTGCAGGAGGCAGAATTCCCCTCCCAGGCATCACTCCTGCTGTGCCTCCCAGGGCTCGGCATCGACTCATTCTGAACCTGCCCTCATTGTCTCCCTGACATCTGAACATGTCCTTGACCTCCCTGGCAGGGCTGGCCCTGCCATTAGTTAGCTTGTGTGGATACCAGGAAACTGAATACATGGGCTTACAGCTCAGTGGAAAGTTCTGCTGCCGTCTTAAATCATAAAGCACAGCTGCTGACACAGCAGAACTGCAGAATGAGGCAGCTGAGCAGCCTGGGCTTGGAAAACGCCGGCAGGAGAATGAGGGCAGGGAGGGAGGAAGGACAGGGAGGCCAGGAGAGCAGATCAGAACTCACCAGAGTGCAGCTGTAATGGGTTATCCACCATGGATGTGTCCCAGCCCTCCTCCCAGCAGGTGGGAGAGGAAACAGGAGCTGAGATTCAATGTCTGCAAATGCAAAGTAATGGCTGGGAAAAAACAAAACAAACCCCAGACTTCAAATCTATCTGCAAATACACACAGATGATAATGAGCTCTGAATGAGACATTCTGAGGAGGAGAGGGATCTTGGGAGTCTGGGTGGAAAGTGCAGTGAAAGCAGCCAGCTCCTAGGTGGTGAACAAAGCCAGCCCAAGGCTGGGATGACTTGGGCAGGGAGGGAATGGAGAACAGGACAGGAGCCACTGGCACATCTGCACGAGGAGCATGGCTGGCCTTGGTCTCCCATCTCAAAAGGGACACAGCAGAGCTTACAGGGCGAGGAGGAGGAGGAGCAGCAACAGGGAACAGCTCCTGCAGGAAGGCTCTGAGGTGACACTGGAACTGCTTCATGGCCAGCACAGCTGGCAAAACCAGGGACGCTTTGCTGGACACAAGGAATGCCAAATGAAAGGCAAGAGTTTCAAATAATGGGTATCAGCCACGGATCAAAGGGGTCATAAGGGTATGTTAGTTCTAAATTACATTAAGGGCAGTTCACCTTTAGATGACTTTGGTGTTGCCCCCAGGGGAGTTACAGGCCCAGGCTTTCTCCCCAGACAGTGGAGAAGGCCCTGAAACTCCAGGGTGTAACATGTGCCCCAGGGTGCAGCCAGAGCAGGTCACTACACCAAGGAGAAGGGCAGCCCTGGCACTTTTTCCAATGCAGGCATCTTGGAAAAACATTTGGACAACCTCACCCGTGGCCCTGGCAGGACCAAGATTCCCAGCAGCCTCCCTTTGACAAGCAGAGGTGGAATATCTTCCCAACACACCTTCTGCTAGAGCCTTTACAGACCTTTGTGAAGGCAAACCACCTGCACAAGAGTCAAACCCCTTTCTCAGGAACGCAGCCTGCAATTTCCCTTTCCACCCAATGGGATTCAAATAACCTAATTCTTGCTCTACATTCATACACTCCCTCTTTCCCCCAGATCCCCCCAGAGAAATGCCAGCCATGTGGTAAATACATGTAATCATGGCACTCTGATAGCAGCTTTTGCTTTCTGGCCATTAATTCTTCTCCCTGGGACCTCGGTGAGCATTTGAAATCCTGCAGCAAATCCAATGAGCTGCCTTTATTTGAAAATCAACATGGCATAAAAGGCTTTCTCCTTTCCTTCCTCAAAACACAGATATTTTTAGCTTCAAAAACATCCTGGTCCATGGACAGATGTTTCTAGTCATGTTCTTATCTCAGGCCAATGAGGAGGTTGCTGTTTCCCATGGAAAACTCATGGAGCAGCAGGGCTCACTGCTGCACGGGCAGCACCCACCTGAGGCACAGCCTGTGCCTTCCTCATGGCACATGCCACAGATCACCATCAGAAACCTTCCCTTTCCCCTCCCCAGGAAAAAGAGAGGATAAAACAGGAGAAAGGAAAATGCAAAAGAGCCTTTCAAACCCAACCACCTTCTCCCTGAAGTCTGGAATTTCTAGGAAAGCAGGAGCTGCCTGGAGATGCTTTCAGTGTGCTGGAAACACCTTGTGGCAGGACACAGGAGTAAAGGAGGGAAGCAGGGGCAGCCGGGCTGGGAACAGCCACCTCATCACTGAGAGAGAGAAAGATTTGTACAGCCTGGCAGGAGGGGCAGTGCCAGCAGCCCCCAAGGCTCAGCTGTGGAGGCTCCAGCTCAGAGCTGCCAGGGAAGGAACATCTGAGCTCCTCAGCTGGTGCCACCAGAGCGTCCACAGCGAGGTCAGCTCAGGTCCCAGCATGGCCTGGGCTGCACCACTGGAACTGGCTCCTGCCAGCATTCCCAGATGTGAGCCATCACATCGCTGAGCTGGAGAGGAGCGAGGACAAGAGCAGAGCTGGAGGAGCAGCGAGGCCAGGACACGCAGGGAAATCCCTGCAGGTGGGAGGCAGGAGCAGAGTGAGGAGGGTTGGAGCAGATTTTGGTGTAGGACCTGGTGACACCAGGCTCAGGATTCAGCTGTGCTAATGAATAGCTCAGGAAAGCAGACTGTCCCAGCTGGGATGTGAGGGACAAGGGACAGCAGGAACAGGAGCTGCCCCCCAGGTGAGCAGCCAGGGAGGAAAGGGTGCTCCGGAGCAGGCAGGAGCTGTGGGGCTCAGTGACAGGTGACAGAGGGTGCTAAAGGCCAACAGGCAGATGGTGAAACTGTGATTAGAAAGTCACTCCAGCCATAAATCTCAGGGACCTGAAATGGAGATGGGCAAGCCCCAGATGGCTTGGAAATCTGCTTGGCAGAGTCCGGCACAGCTCAGCATGCATCTGGCCCTCCTTCCTCCTCATCTTCATCCTCCTCCTTCTCACCAGCTTTAACCACCTCCAGCCAGCACCTCACTGCCAGAGCTGAACCCTGAAACAGAAACTCAGGGCACCTCTGAAACAAAAATTCCTCTAACGCACAAAGTAAAGAGCAAATCCTGGGCCCCAACAACAATGCCATCCATCCTGGCTGCATTGCTGGGGTTACAGGCACATCCCATCCCTGGTGCCCCTGTCTTGGCAAGAAAGCTGTGGCACCACCCAGGGGAGCACAGGGGGCTCAGGGCTGCACCACGGGGCACCAGCAGAGCTGGATGGATGCAGGTTCCCTGCGGCCACACGTTATTTCTGGATATGCTGAGGAGCTGCTTGGGGCTGGATTTGCATGTGAGCACGGGGGCATATCAGCTGTCCATGCTCTGGAAGGGGCTCAGGAACACAAAAGGGGCAGGAGATTGGGAGGGGACATGTTTTATATAGAGATCCACGGGAAAACCCGTGTCTCCAAACACGGTAACCTAACACCAGGTAGTAGTACCAGTTCCTACCCGTGGATCCAGGACAACAAATTTCCCCACCTGCAGGCAGAAGAGCCCACTGCTCTCACACTCCTGCCTGAAGAAGGCCTCCTGCCCATGCCAAGCTCCCGAAGCCCCTCTCTGCCCGCGGGTGCCTCCCACAACCTTTCCCTGCTGCCGGAGAGCCCTTGAGCCCACAGGTGCTGCCGCTCCCCCGGGACCCCGGGCAAGGCGGGGGCTGCCAGCACGGCCGGGACAGGGGCCAGCGGTAAAATTAGAACCTGTGTCCCTGCCAGCCCCTTCTGCGAGCTGCAGGGACCAGCTGAGCCCGGCTAGCCCGCACTGTAACCCTTCATGTCCCCCGTTTGGTGGGCCGGGACAGTTACTAGAAAGCCAGGGATTTGCAGGGCTTTCCGTTTTGATCAGCCGTGATCAGACAGCCGGGCTCGCGGGCTGATGGGGCAGAGAGGTGGGGGTTTTGGGATCCTTTGGGTCAGTGGGGACTGAAGCCTGCAATTCCCTTCTCTGCTGTCCCTTTGCACAACAGGCAGTCCTGCAGAAACCCATCCTTCCCACTTCAAAAGTTCGTGTCTCCTTTCCAGCCCCTTCTCCCCACCGCTGCCTTCCCATTGTTATTATTTACGCTCCTAAGCATCCTTTGGGTTCTGCCGGGGGACAGGATCCAAAGAGAAAGCCTTTTAAGGATTTGTGCCAGCGCCGGGAAGCGAATCCCCCCCAGCGAACAGTGGTGCTGGGGGATTTGAGTGTAGACAAGTGCTTAAAGCTGAAAAGGGCAGAGAGAGGGGAGGGAGCCGGGGGCACGCTCTGAAACCAGACCCCCCCGCCCGAAACGCAGCTCCTTCCTCTGCTTTAGGAAACGGATCCCTCCTGCGATTTCCTTTCAAAGGTGACTTGTAACCTCTTCATTAGGGTCGGCTTTGGCAGAGCCCCGATGGTGCAGCTGGCCGGGCCGGGGCCGCGCGGGGCGGGAGCGCGCTCGCCTCGCCAGGGCTGGCGGCACTCGCGGCTGCTCGGCGCGGCGGCGCCGGCCGTGCGCTGATGGGTACCATGGACTTTAAGGCAGATGCCAGTGCAGTCACCATCAATCTGCTGCTTATTGTGCGCCCCGAGGAGGCAGCGAGCAAGGAGAAAGGGCAGCGAGAGGGGCAGACGGAAGGCGGCCGAGGCGCAGGTAACAGCGCGCCTGCAGCGGGCGAGGGAGGGCAGGGCTGCGGCTGCACACGGAGAGAGAAGCAGCAGCTTTGGAGCAGGATTTGAGCTTCCTTCTCCTGTTTGCACGCGTGATGCCAAACTCCAAAATGCCAACTTTGTTTGTAGAAGCCCAGCGTGTGCAGCAGAGCCCCGCTGGAGGGGCGCTCCGAGCTGCAGCCTGTGCAGCTGCAGGGCGCGCAGCAACGGTGCAGCCCCGCTGCAGCGGCGGGGACACGCGGGGACACACGGCGACACTAATGCCAGGGCTGTGCTTGCACCTTGCTGTGCCCTGCGCTAGCCTGAGGTGCCCCGCGGGCTCTCTGGGCTGTGCAGCGGGAGCAGGGAGAGGGCTCAGCAGTTCCACTCCACTCCCTGGAGTAGAGGAGCAGAAGTGTTTTGTTTGCAGCGTGCCCAGGCTTTGTCTCCGAGGCTCACTGTCCTGAGCCATTTATAGCTACAGTTTGGGACAGTGTCCCTGGCCCAACTCCCTGTTCTGCAGAGGGTCCTCCAAAAAGCCCCAGCTGTGCTCTGCAATTGCAAGGGGAGCCTCCCTGCAGGAGTAAAGGGAAGAGAACGAGTATTCCTGCTCTAAAACCTGGGAGAGAAGCTGAATTTTCAGACTACCAGTCCCAGGCTAACAACTATAGGCAGAGCTGTCACAAAGTTGTGTCCATGCTCCATCAAGCACGGCATTCAGCACCTGCTCAAATCAGAGCAAATCCCACCAAAGCAGCTTAGGCCTGGACTATTGCACTTTCTGCCCCCTGGTATTTCATACTCTGGCAATACTCAAGCCAAGGCTGCAGATGAGACAGAAGGTGGATCCTGATGACACCTGGCACCAGCTGGGATAATGGGTTGCATGAAAGGGTTTGGGGTGTTTGGCCTTCAGGCAGCACCAACACTTTGGTCCAGGAGGACCCTTTCCAATCTCCCATTTCTATCTTACAGGTTCCAAGGGTGATGGCAATGGAAACAGCAGATCACAGGCAGCTCAGGGCACAGACCTGAACGGTAGGTCACCCTCTCCCCCTGTGAGAAACCACCCCCAGCCCACAACCCAAAGCTCCAAGCTGTGCCTCTCCAGCATAAATGTGCTTACACAACCCATCCCTCTCCAGTGCTTGCAGGGGCTCCAGTGGAGGCACACAGAGGGCTGGAAGGTGTGCCCTCCCTCGGTGCTCTCCTGCCCATGGACAGGATGCACAGGGTGGCACTGCCGAGCCCCCGCACATCCATCTGCAGGGATTCTCCTGCCACGGAGCTCGCTCGGATTACAAGAGCACTGAGCTCTTACATTTCACAGCCAGCTGATGGCAGGGGAAATTCAGTGCCCCCCATTGCTCAGGTTGCAGCTAGAGCTTCCAGAGACTTCCCCAGCACTCACACAGCTTAAAGTAGGGTCTGGGGGATGCAAAGAACCTTTTGAACCTTCTCTCCACCAGTCCTTTCTTCATCTCCCCCTTCAGAGACTGAGCACAAGGCAGGTGGGACTGCTGACCAGGAATGATGTGATTCTAGTTCTCAATGTTCCACTGCCAATTCCCAGGGTTCTGCCCTAAAACAGTTGAGGAGGAACATCTGAGGAGGTGACCCCAGAACTATGGAGCAGCTCCCAGGGAAGGGACTCAGATCATCCCTCTTGTTTTCCTGGCAGTCTAAGTCTGCCATGGCTTAGCAGAGAAAGGCAAGGGCAAAGGTAGAGCAAGACACAGATAATTCCCATGGTACCAGACAGTGGATTTTAGCTACACCAAGGAGGAACTTTGCTTCCACAGGTCAAGCAACAGCAGCATGCAAAAGCCAGGGCTGCTCCCAGCAGGATGCCTGGCAGGAGCCCTGATCCACGTCCCTCTGTAATCAGTGGTGGCTGGAGGTTGCACACAGTCTGGGAGCAAACAATATTTCATGGCAAGGCACTACTGTGGGGCTTTTTTTACAAAGCAGATAACAAAAGCCTCCACTCCAGGAAGCAGATAAATATCCTGCTTTCTCTCCCTCTGTCATGCTCAAGAGGTTCTGCAATCAGAGCTGCAGTCAGCCTCCTCTACGAGTGACTAAGAGGCTGATATTGATCATTTCCCACCCTGGATTACTGGCAGGGGTATTTAGCATGCACATGGAAATCCTTCCCTTGCAGGTCTACCTTAAGTACAATTTAAACCCCTGGGAGGGGGGAATTCAGGCTCCAGAGGAGCAGGCAGATCTTTGGCTCTGGCACCACAAGGGTTAATGAGCTGCCCTTTCACCAGCCATGTCAGTGTCCCTGTGAGGCCTCTGACACCTCTGGTGCTGCCACAATATTTGCAAGCTTATACAATCCCCAGCCCCACTGAGTCAAAGAGGCTGTGGCCCCACTCCTGTCGCTCTGGGGACTGTTCCTTGTCATGGCCACATGGCACAAATGGACAAGCTGTGAGATCCAGGCTCCCCCTGGCTCCTGGTGGGATGGGGATCCCAGGACACTTTGAAAAAGAGTGAGAGATCACCCAGCAGAGCCCGGAGTGAGGGCTCTGTGTCCCCTGGCATTCTCCCTCCCCGGGGCACATCTCTGCTGCCTCCACCCGTGTGGACCCTGGGCACATCCACACCTCCCTCTGCTCCAGGACTCCAGGTCCAAGAGTGTCCCAGAAGGGAGAGGTGGGGATGAGTTGGTGACAGCCACACTAAAGTTCCCCCTGTGCCTCCAAGCCCCCAGCCCTGCCCTTGTCTCCCACCCAGCTAGAGCATCCATCCCTCTGCAGAGGGCTCAGGAGCCACTGAGCTTTGAATCTGAAGAACAGGGCTGAGCTTGCTGAGTCTGAGCAGGGCGGATTTAACCCCATCCTTGCTGGCTGCTTGGCTCTCTCCAAGGCACTGAGAAATTCCCTTTGTGCCCCCAGGCCGGCGTGGCCCCACGGGTCCCCGTGAGCAGACACCACCCATCACCTCGGGCACTGACAAAGGTAAGTGCTGAGCCAAGAGACAGAGCAGGGCTTCACTGAGCTCCCAACAAGCTTTTCTCCAATAAAATAACCCCAGAACATCCCAAAAGAGAGAAAATATCCCACCCTGGGACAGGTGCCCCTCAAAGCACTTGCTGGCCAAGGACTTGTCTGGCCACAAAACACAAGGAGAGCAGCAAGAGCTTCTCTGAGCTTGGGGCAAGCTGCTCTAGTGGCAGGGAGTTGGAGCAAGATGATCTTTAGGGTCCCTTCCAACCCAAACCATTCTAGGATTCCTTATGAAGGATATCTCAATCAGGAATAATTAAATAAAAAATCATAAAAGTACCAGCAATCATTTCATACCACCAGATTTTAAAGCAATGATACAGCACATTGAAAACTTCCTGTGGAATTACATTTTTCATTTGTTAAATGCCTTTCAAACACATCAAAGCAGAAGGCATTCATCACTAGTAAATTTGTCTCTTGAAAACAAAGATTTTTAATTTATGGGGGGAAACTTAGAAAGTGAAAGTTTGAGACAAAAATCCACAAAAAAAGCAAAGTAAAAATAATTTTGAGCAATAAAAAGGCCCTGCAAATATGAAAACTTTAAGGAAATCAAACCATTTGCATAAAGCCCTCTCTTTGAGAAACAACTTCATTTTATCTTTTAATTAACTGACAAAAAACTCTGTTCTGACACCCTGATATCTGCAACCATCCTAGAACTGGAGTCAAATTCTAAGATTTAGGTTTTTACAGCTTATACAGTTTTTCTTGCTTTCTAGTTTTGGGGCTTAAAGGACATTGAATCTCTCTGCATAATCACAGGAAAAACTTCACTTTTCTAAGTGTAAATGCTGCAGAAAAACTTATTCTTTGATGAAAATGCAGATTCCCACCTAATTAGCCAGTTCCAAGAGCTGGCTTTAAAGGAAAACCCCAAATGTCATGAGGTGCAGTGCAGGAGGCATGACTGGATGGCAGCCCCAAGGTGCATTGACATCTTGACCTTCAGCCTCCTGAGTAACTTCTGCCTGCTCCAAAAGAGAAGCCCAGGAGCACATGGGGCTCCTCCAGGGAACCTCAAGAGCTGCAAACCCTTCTGAAATTCCTGCCAAAAAATGCAGCCTCTGTCAAAAAGTTCAGGTAGTTTTTATGAGAGATTCACTCGCTCCTTTTCTGGTATTTGCCTCTCTGAAACTTTAAAGACCAGAGCCCAGGTTTTCAGGAGAGGTTTTTCGGGAGCATCAGGGCATGCCTGGACCACAGCTGGCTGCTCCAGGATGCTGCCTCTTACAGGCAATGGCCTTTGCCAGACATTTTAGTATCACAAGTCCAACCATTTTCATCACTTCAAGCCTTTCTCTGTTTAATTCCAAGAAAAATCAATGCAAGCCATTGATTCTCTGCTTGCTGTAGCTCCATCAAGAGCTCTTTAACATGGTGATAAACCTTGGCTATCACCAGAGCTGCTGCTTTGTCTAAAGTTAAGAGCTGCCTCGACAGGCACTCCTCCTCTCCTCCATATCCTGGTTAGTTTTCCCTTCTCAGGGAGTTTATAATTGCTTCTTGCAGGAACCCAAGTGACAGTGGAGATTCACCACGAGGACACCAGCCCTCAGCTCATCAAGAGACTCTCCTTGGGAAAAGGTACAGCCCGGCTTTAAACCCCGGCAGAGGCTCAGCCCATCCTCCCTTCCCTGGAGCCCGGAGCCTGGGGGGATCCCACTAACCCTGCCTGGCTTCTTGCAGGTTCCCAGAGGCTGAGAGGACATGACAACAAAGGTGAAGCTCTGCTCTGTCAAGCTCTGCTCTGTTAAGTGTCTCCAAGCTCTGCCTCCCCTGGGAAGCTGCTCCCAGGAGGAGACAGGCTCACTCCCCCATGGGGAGGCTGCTAAAGGGCACGTGCTGCTGGACCCTGCCCACGACTGGGGCTTGAGGAGCAAAATCCTTCTGCTCCTGGGGTGTGGGTGTCTCCTCCTCCTCTGGCCCTGGGATAAGGCGGGTGGTGACACTGCAGTGACCCTCAGCAATCCCCCAGCTGCTGCAGAGCTCCCACTGGGGTTATCTACCAGCTCTGGAGCTCAGCACTCCCTTCTTCCATGCCTGGAGAGGTTTGGCTGTGCTGGGCTGGGGTTTGATGTCTCCAGCCCTCGGGTTAGAACAGGAGCTGCCTGTCTGCTGGGGCATGGGGGCTCTGCAGGAGCACACTCCACAAGGTGCTCACATCCATGTCCAAACACAAGGGAATGGGCTAAGAAGAGCCTCACTTCCAGCTTTTTCCACCCAATCCTGCCCCTCACCATTATTTATTTCTAGTTGTCTTTTTTTTCTGTAGGTAACAACCTCCTCCCTCCCTCTCCTTCTCTGCCTTGCAGGTTTCCAGAAGACTGAGGCCCCACGGCCACCAGGAGCAAAGGACCTCCATGGTAACCATCCATCAGCAGCAGCAGGGCTCAGCTTCCCAAGCCCCTGATCCTTGGGGTGGCAGAGGGGAGTGGCTTTGGGAGCCCCACACGTGCCCAAGGGAAGGGAAACAGGCAGAACACACAGGAGTGTGGGGTGTGCTGTGGATCCCACTCCTGCACAGAGCCTCTGCAGACAGAACCTGGCAAAGACAGATCCTGACAGCCACATTTTAAAAAAAGACCATTCCCTAACCAAAAAGGCAAAAAGTAATTTTCAGAGCTGTGGAGAGTGGGAACCTTTAAATGTGTAAATCTGCTTGCTCTCTCTTTAGGTCAGTGTTACACCTCCTTTCAAGGAAAATACAGATACACAAACCAGCCTGTTAAGAAATAGGTGCCCACATACTGGTTTTGGCAGACAGGCACCTGCCTGGCACAGGGATATGTCCATCCATTCCCCATGGCTCACTGATGGAAGACAGCAGTGTCAACTCATTCCAAGACTGTTCAAAAAAATCAGTTATCTGGTTAATTAGGGCAAGTTATTAACCATTTGCACACACTGAGTAGAACCAGGAGCTCAGAGCCTATGAAGATGCAGAGGGTAGGCACAGTGGGTTCAGTCCAGCTGCTCCCAGTGTTACCCTCCTCATGTGCCTGAATTCCTGCAGATTTGTGGTTCTTTACCTCACAAAACTCCCAGAGAAGCCCAGCTCTTTTTGCTCGGGTTTTTTAAGAAGTCATATGTTTTCTAAGGCTTGCACAGTACAGATTTTCCCTGATACTTGTGGATTGTTCTCCTGCCCCTCCATGCAATATCCCAGGATTTTCCATGCTGTTATGCAGTGCCAAAGTTGCATGGGCAGCTCATGCTCCAGCACTGCACAAATCCCAGCAGTCTAGACAGGATGGCTCCTGCTTTCCATGCAGCTGGCAGGGACCTCCTGCGGGTGCCCTCGTGTCCTCTGCTCCCTAAGCACCCGCTGATGGATGTCTCCATGGGCCAGCCAGGAGCTCTGGCCCCTTGCTCCACCATACTGCCAGGAAAAACACTCCCTGCCTTCCCAAAACAATGACAACGACAACTCGTTTCTTCCCAGCATATCCATGGGACAAATCCTCTTTGAAATCCATGCCAGTAGATCTGCAGCAATTAAAGAAGCTGGATGCCTACGCATTAAAAGTAAGTCTTGCTTTTGCCTCTGTCCTCCTTCCAGCTCCCCTGCAGCAACATTCCACAAACCTGGCTCCCAGCACCAACACCAGCTTAGGCTGTGCTATGGGGCAATGGCATTAGAATCTCCCCAAACAAGTGAAAAACCTTTTCCCTTTAAACATTAGCAAAGAAATCCCACTCTGGGAACTATAACCAAAAACACATGGACCTACAGCACTGTAGCTGTATTTTTAAGGGAGCTGGAGGCACAGCAGCCTCTGGCAGGTGGGGTCTCACTGCCTTCAGAGGAACAAGAGATGATGAGGACAGATCTACCACAGGGTAGATCTTCCCCATGACCTTGCAATGCTTGTCCCCACGCACAGGTGAACGTCACCAACAGCGTGGAGGAGCTGGTGAAAGCCCTGCTGAAACAAGCCCGGACGGACCTGGAAAAGGTTCGAGCCATATGGATGTGGATATGCCATCACATAGGTAGGCTGAGGGCTCAACTGGAGACAAGGCTGCCACTGTCACCCCTGTCCCACTGCTGTGGCATTTTACTGGGTATTTTGGGTTATTTCCATGTGGGGAGTGGAATGAAGGCTTTCTGGAGGTTTTTATCCAGAAATGCATCCAGAGGGTCTCTCTCCTCACACTGCCAGGCTGCACCAGGTTTGTGGGCCCATGATTAACCCGTAATTAACCTCCATTTGAGGTGTGACCAGACAAGTCCCTAGCAGCCAAGAGCCAGAGCAAAAGCCAGGCTGCCCAACACCAGGGGCCTGCTTGATCACCTTCAGAGCCACCCCACACCACCAGAGCCCAGTTTTGAGGGGGTGAACAGGAGGTGGTGATGATCCAGATTTGAGAAAGAACCTGGCCTAGTGGAAGGTGTCCCTGCACCATGGCAGGCAGTTTGGAATGAGATGATCTTTAAGGTCCCTTCCCACTCAAACCATTCTAAGTTTGTTCTCCATCCCTGTGCCAAGTCCCCATAGTCCCTCCAGCACAGTCTGATGCTGGTGTCTTTGCTCTGGGAGGGTCCCAGTGTCACAGAGGCACCACCAGGAACCCTCCAGCTGCCTTGCCCAGCTCCACATCCCACACTGGCACCTGTATGACTGCAGTTCCTGCCTGTGCCTGCACATTTTCAACCCTCTAGAGAGCTGCATCCACTCAGGTTCCCCTGCCCTTTCCTGCTTGGTCCAAAGGCTGGAGTTACAGAATAACCAGGAGATGGGAAGAGGAGGAGGAGGCAGTACTTGTAGCCTCTCGCACCCGGCACATCAAAAGGGGCTTCTTGCCACCCCAGTGCCTCCATGGGGGAAAACTGGATATGCAAAAATGTTTATTTCCCATTAAGTCTTGGGGGCAGAGAGGCAGAGCTGTCCTTTTCCTCATCTCCCACACATCCTGATGGGGCACTGCTGCAGTGCAGCAAAAGAGCAGTTTGGGCAGCCCTGGCCTCATCTCACAGCCACTGAGATCAGCAGCTGCAGGGTTAGCATGGTGGGGTCAGCCCCAAACTGCTCTAGTCTTGCCCTGAAATATGGAGAGTGCTGATTTCACTGCATGTCCTGAAGCCCAGGCTTTGACTCACCCAGCACTGGTTATTCTGTCTTTCCACTGTTAACCCATTTCTGCCCACACTACCTGGGCAGGGCCTGGCTGGAGCCAGTCCACACTCCTCAGCATTCAGGGGATGTCTCTGGCCCTGACAGCTATGCTGGGATCTCCTCACAAGATTTTTTACACCACCTTGGCCCTGGCTCTCATTCCTTCCTGTGAGACTGACCCCTATTTACACACACAGAAAAGAAACAGAGTTGGGAATTTAAATCTGCTGGCAAAAATGAAATGTATCTATCCTGGAATTGCACTGATGACATAAACTCCTTCCTCGGATGGATTTTAAGTGAGAACCCTGTTCTCTGGGCATCTCTTCCCACTCTGTTCAATCCCTGCCTTTGATGGGCTGCTGTGCCCATGCTGCATCAGCACTAAAGGAAATAATGCTTTCAGGTGTCACTTGCAGCACAAACAGAAAGCCCCAGGAGCCAGCAGCCCTCCAAGTGCCCTGTGCTTGTGGTGGTCAGTGAACAGCCAGGGTGGAGCAGCCAGCCCTTCCCAGCCCTGGAGCCAGCAGCCAGGAGGCATCAGCCAAGCCCCTCGGATGGGTGACAAGCAGGGGCAGCATTTCATCAAAGCACACACAGCCTGCTGCTGCTTTCCTTCCTCTGCCCCAGCACCAAGGGGAGGGGGAACCAGCTGATGCAGCATTCCTGAGAGCTTTGTCAGAAAAATACATCTGTATTTTAAGAAAGAGGTTGTGGACAGGGCCAAGGTTGGTGGGATTGAATTAACCTCCCCAGACCAGTTCTGCAAACTCTGTCTGAAGGAGTCCTGCTGTGCTGCTGTTGTGTCCTCATTCCAGCAAATCAAGATTTCCTGAGCTTCCAGGTATTGATATGACCACACTGGACAGGGCTTGAGCAACCTGGAAGGATCTCATTGGAATGAGATTAGCTTTAATGCCCCTTCCAACCCAAACCATTCTATAATTCTGTGACTCACTTGCAGCAAATCACTCCAAGTGTTTCCCAACAAGCTGCTTTTCAAGTATTTTTAATATAAATTGCTTGTAAAGAGTGCAAAAGTCTCAGCAGTTTCTTTTGAGGCAACACCAATCTGACTCCTCCAAATGCAGAGTGCTCTGGGTTATACTGGGAACTCTTCAGACTGTAGATCCTCCACTTGAGGGCAATTCCCGATGACACCCATTGTGTCCAAAAATCAAAGTTTTCCTCTCATTTGGATTCAACTGCTGAACTCCAGCCCAAGCTTAGACCAAAGGGTGATGAGGGACAGAGCTGTCCCTCTGGCCCAGCAGTGTCCAGGCCAGCGTCCCCAGCACAGCCACAGCTCGTTCCCCTCTGCTCACAGAGCTGAAAAACAACCTGAGCATTGCTACTGCTGCCCATCAGCCCCCTTTTCTCTGGCTTTTGGATGAACCCTTGTCTGTGTTCCTTCCCCCAGAATACGACGTCGTGGGCTACCACAACAAAAGCCAGCTGTCGAGCAAGCCCAGAGACGTGCTTCAGATGGGCAAGAGCATTTGTGAGGGCTATGCCGAGCTCTTTGAACATATGTGCAGGTAAATTAAGTCCAGCAGCATTCAATGCCAGGGAGAGTTAACATTCCTTGTCATCTCCGTGCCTATCCCGTCTGCCTTTGCATTGACTGATGTGACTTTAAGCAGGACGTGGAACTTTAGCTTTCCAGCCATGCTGTGGAAAAACAGCAAGTCCTAGAAAGGTCAATTTTGCTCTCTCCTGCACTCCCTCCACCCCCCTCCCCAGCATAATTTACTTGGTGCCATCTGCTGAGCTTCGCATTGCATTAACATAATGGCAGATGAAAACATGGAGATAATTTGATTAGAAGAAGTAGGATTTTCCTTGGGGTATCTGGATGTGAAGGTTAAAAGCATTGCAAGACTTCAACAAGGAGTGCTGGTCCCTTGCAAGAGGTAGGCAGAGTCCCAGGAGGAACTTTGCCTACACCCTCTGGAGATGCCCCGTCCCCCCAGGGACACTGCCTTGCACTTGCCACTCTGCTCTGTGCCCAGTCTCAAGGTGCAGCACTTTTGAGGCCAATACTGCAATTCCCTTTCTGTACCTGCCATTGGCATTTAATGACTAAAATCCTTTCTTTCTCCAACAAAATCTCATGGACTTCACTGGGGATGAGTCACCAAAACTTCCCCACAGAGCAGGGCTTTGCAGGCACAAAGGCATTTCTAAGAGGCAGCCCCTTCCTTGGGAGGGAGACAGGGATGCAGCCCCAATCCTAATCCCTAAGGAGAGGAGAACCCCCAAATTCCACAGCAAGGAAAGCAGTGAAGGTTCTTGGAGGTTTGGGATCAGTCTTGGGCAGAAGGGTTGCCCAAAAGGAGAAAACTGGACCTGACAACTCAGGGAAAGGAGATGGGAAGGGACTTCATAAAGTAATCCTAAGAGGGTGGGCTTGCAAGATGGCCCTCCCAGGAAGGGGGTTACATTCCTTTGGAAAAATCCAGATTAGTTATTAATAGCACATGTAAGTCACAATTGGCTTTCCACACTATCCAAAGGATTTGAGAAGGTTTTTACCATGGAACAGACAAAACCTACAGGGAAAAGGAGAGATTTAAAACACCCCCAGCATACTGTGCCAGATGCTGAAGTGGTAAATGCTTCCAGCCAACAACATATCCCACAATATACACTTGGTCCATTCCAACTCAAACCATTGTATGACATTGGATCTTGTTTTCTAAAGAGTAAAGAAATAGGATGGTGAAGTATGCATTTATAGCTGCAACCCATGGAACAGTTATTAGCAGTGAGAAGGGGGGAATTTGCATCTGTTCATTAAAAAGCATATGCTTAGTTCATTAAAAGCATTAATCTTTCCAAGGATATCTCTGGCTATTTAAAGGCTCTGTTGATTTACTCTCGATTCCTCAGTTCCAGGCTGATTAGTCACTATGTGATTCAGGAAACCTCCAGTCATCAAGACTATTATATTGTCAAATATTAGCAAAATGTTTAGCTCCTGTTGTGAAAAACTGTACTTAAAGACAACACCCCTTTCTTGCACAGAGGTCTCCTCATCCCTTCTCCCCATGCTCTGTGCTGCTCTTACACTGAGCCTAAGCAGAAAGGCAGGAGGCAAAGAGCACTTGTCTTACAGAAAGGCTTTTCAGAGCCAGGTTTTGGGGGGAAAAGGTGTTTTGACATGCCTTTTTTTCCTAGCTCCTGTGAGGGAACTTGAACAAACAAACCAATTTGCCAGTCACCAGGAGTCTCCCCAAAAGTCCTGCTGAAGGCAACGGCTGACGTTGATTGAGTCCCACTTGTCCCAGTGCCAGAGGGAACAATTCCTGTTGCAGACACAACACTGTCACCTCTGACCACAGCTTTGGCAGCCAGACTCCCTCCCATCAGCTGAGATTCCTGTCACAGAGGAAAGGTGGGCACAGATAGTGGGAAGCTGGCCATAAGGCATCACTTCCCAAACATCAGGTGTGCTAGCAGTGAATGCAAACACAGGCTCCTGACCAATGCTTCAGCAGCACTTATCAAGAACTGGCTTCTCAGCTGACAAGCAGACTCGAGGAGTCTGGCTAAGTGAAGCAGTGCAAATTCATTAATCCAATTTAGGGCAAACCTCACAGCCTGGAATTAGGGAGACACTCGCTCACCAGGGTTAGTGATGAAGGCACAATAATTATTTTCCCAGAGAGGTTTCAGCAGCTCTGGGAGCAAAGCTGGCCTCACTGCCTAAAGGGGATCTGATCAGTTAGCTAGCTGCTCCTTCTTCCTAACCAGTCTGTAAATATCCCAGATTTCACATCCTCTTGCTTCCCCCATTTCCTGCAGGCAGCAGCTTTCCCTCTTTTCAGGCACAGAGGCGTACACCTACCTACCACAAGCATAAACCATTCTGTTCCCTTCTGGAGAAGCCAGATTTGCTCCTTTTTTAGATGAAATGATCAAAGTCAACCTAAAATCAAAGGGAAGAAGATGCCATTGAATTCCAGTGACACCTGTAGTAAGAGCCAGATTATTTCCCACGGTTTTTGAGGCAGAAAAGCAATTTTGTGTCTAATCTCTTTGCTGCACCAAGCAAATGTTGCCAACTGTTTCTTAATTCAGTTCTTCCAGTCCATTTTGTATCTAGGTCGTCTTCAGCCTCACACTGCCACTCCAACCAGTCCTGGAGATCTTCCCAATCTTCTCTCTGCCTGCTTAATTTATCTGTATGAAGTTACTGACATGAGAGACATGAGCACCCTTTTCACCAATACAGAATTGCTCCTTTACAGGATGTTTTAGCTTGGATTTTTGTCTATTACTAGAGAGATCAGTTTAAATGTTCTGGTCTTTATTTTGAGAACTTTGAACACATCCAAACACAAACTCTTCTTGCTGCTTTGCCAACATTCACTGTAATTGAGAGCACCATGAGAGCAGAACTTGTCCCTTAATGTCCCCTCTAAATATCCCAGCTAACAAGAATGTCTAGAGAAGCCTGGAAGGATTAGCTCCAATCCCCATGAAATTAGAGGGAATTTGGTACTTAGCTCCTTGAAACTCCCAGGATCAAATCTTCACTAATGCTCCCAGGCCAGCTCCTAGTCTCAGTTACATCATGCAAATCCAAGCTCTCACCAGTCTTGTCAGAGGAGTTGTTCCAGATTTACTGCCCAGCTCCATGTCAGAATGTGACTCACAGGGGCCTGTGGGCCTTGCCAGCCCCAGACCACCTGCAGCACCAGGCTTCTCCATAGTTTTCCTTCCATCCTGACCTGTTGATTCTGGATACTCATGGAACAGGCAGTGCCTGCCATCACTGCTCCCTCCTCTCCTTTGCTGAAGTGCCCACCTCCCCTGGAAGTGCCCATCCTCTCCCTGGAAAAGCAGCCCTCTTACAAGCTCCACTGCACTGCCACTTGCCAGCCAGTATCTGTTATCAGGCCTTGACTTCTTAACAACCACGCTCATTATCTTCCCCATAAATATCACTTTTCTCCTGAGCCAAACCCACATTATGCAGACAATCTCACTCTGGAAGCCTGCACACTTTATTACTTAAGGTAGTTGTTCCATTTAACACATTTCTCTATGAAGAAGAAAAATGTCAATGCTGTCCTACACAAAAGAGAACGCTCCAAGTGAAGCAATTTTAGATTAATGGTGAAATAAGATGCCAATGTTAGAATCCATCAGCAGAGAGCTTATTAACACAGTGCTTATTTAAATCTTATTTACACATCCACGCAGGTATTCATCATGTTTTTAGAGAGAGACTATTTAATCATTTCTACCCTGGGCAGGCACAAGCTCATTCTTTCAGGAAACTAAATCAGCATCCACAATCCCGTGAGGTCTGAGATACCTCAGCTGGTGTCAAACACCAGGCCCACTGTCACAGGGAGAGAACAGCCTGTGCTTTTAATTTATAATTACATGGGCTAATTGTGGACAGCAGCAAAGGGATTCCACTGAGTAACAAGATAGAGAGCAATTAAGCACACTTTATCTTGTCATCCTCTAACAGTGCTGAATCGATGGTGCATCAGGCAAAAAGACAGGGAATATGCAAAACTGGGAGAGAAAAGGCCCTTCCTCCAGCAGGATGCTCTCAGAATCTCGGTGCAAAGACTACAAAAACAAACAGCCCCACCCAACACCTCAGGCATCATCACCTTTTCTCCTTCCCCAGAAAGACCTGACAGGTTTAACACAGAACCCTCCTGCTGCAGCTTATCATTTCCTTTCAGTCTTGCAGGGATTCAGTGCAAGAAGCTCTCGGGACATGCCAAAGGACACGGGTACAAGACAGGGCAGACCTTCACAGGGGACTCTGACCATGCCTGGAACGCTGTGTACCTCGAGGGAAGGTGGCATTTACTGGACAGCACCTGGGGGAGCGGCTCTGTGGATGATTCCTTCACCAAGTTCACCTACAGGTAAAGACCCCCCTCTACCTGAGTACACAAACCCTCCACAAAGGCAGTAGGAAAGCTGCTGGGACTGGCAAAACAAACAGACACATCTGGGGCCACGGGCAGACCCTCCACAAAGGCAGTAGGAAGCTGCTGGGACTGGCAAAACAAACAGACAATCTGGGGCCATGGGAAGACCCAAAGCTGTCACAGCAGACACCACAGTATGTGCTGCAGTCAAAAGGGCCATGATACACAGAGTGTCACCATACAAGCCCTCACCCAAACACAGTAACACCTTACCTCACCAGAAGGCTTCAGGCATCTGCCCATCCCACAGCAGACACCACAGTATGTGCTGCAGTCAAAAGGGCCATGATACACAGAGTGTCACCATACAAGCCCTCACCCAAACACAGTAACACCTTACCTCACCGGAAGGCTTCAGGCATCTGCCCATACACAGTAACATCGTGGCACTTCAGAAGGCTCCAAGCATGGGCCCTTCTTGTTCTCTAGCCCAGCCTTTTATGCCCTTCTGTTGATGCATTGCACCTGTGTGCCCTCTGCTCCCTTTGGTGGTTGCTCAGTGCCCCTGGGCACTCCATGGCTCATTGCTGTCAGTGCTGCTCACCTGCTGCTCACAGCTGTGCCCACTGGGGATGAGGCTCAGCCCATCCCAATCACCACACACTGTGTGCCTACACAAAGCCATGAGCAAGGGACCAGGCTGCCTGTACAAGGTATGTGGCACAGCCTGAAGAGAGGTATTGGCTCTGAGCAGCAAGTCACAAACTGCTAAAAGCCAGCTGGGTTTGCTTGTCACATCTTCAGTTTAGGCAATAGTCTGTGGCACTGGAGTCACAGCTTTTGTGAATTGACTGCAGTCAACACGCAGTGCCTCCGTCTTTTTCCAGGAGCCTGTGGGTGCAAGGGAATAGTGCAAATACTCAGGGTTTATCCCAAAGCTCAGCATTTGCCCTGGAAACAGAAGACCAAAGCTCAGGTTTCTTCTCTGCCTGGGGAATTTAAAACCCATGGGTCTCAGTTTACCAGCAGCTCAAACCACTCCAACACCCTCTTGCTGAAACCACCACCACTGTGCGGGGGAAGAATTCCCTATTTGTAATTACTCATTTTCTCTCATTTCTCCCTTCTCCCAGGTACAATGAGTTTTACTTTCTGACTCACCCAGCCCTGTTCATTAACAATCACTTCCCAGATAACAGTAACTGGCAGCTTCTTAAGCCCACGCTGACGCTGAAGGAGTTTGAGAACAACATGCTGCACAACAGCAACTTCTACACGCTGGGGCTGCTGGCTGCACACCCAGAGACTCCCATCATCCGAACAGGTAAGGGAGAAGCCATGGAGCACCTTCCCCCATGCATCCCACACCCAACACACACCACTGAGCACCTCTTCAGGCAATACTGAGCGAGTCCAGCAGCACTTTTAATACAAAACCACTCAGGTGCTGCAACTGAACAAGGTGCACATTTAAAACCCCCTCCCTTGGATTTTTCAAGAGCTGCAGGAATTTAACTGGATGGCTAATTTGTGAATGCTAAGAACAGAGTTAAAACCTATGGACATCAACATTTTAGGACGTAATGAAGACTTCAAGCTGTTTGGGAACAGGCTCACAGGGAGGTAGATTAATCTCATAGCTACATACTGGAGAGATCCTGCAATTTGAAGCTCCTGGGAGCAGCTACTGGGCTGGCAATCAGGTCTAATCACCTCTAATTCAGCCTTTCATGATCACAGAATTACAGAATTCTATATTGGTTTAAGTTGGAAGGGACCTTAAAGCCCATCTCATTCCAACGCCCCACCATGGGCAGGGACACCTTCTACTAGACCAGGTTGCCCCAAACCCCATCCCATGCGGCCTGACGGTACTTTCAGTTATATTTCACACAGGCCTTCACATTCTAGCAGACCACAGCTCCATGGCAGGGTGTATCAGAACAGGATAAATGCACATCTCCCAAACAAAGGCCACTCTCATTCTTTCTGAGGGACACTGGTCTAAGCAGACAGATGACAAGCTGTGACCTGACAACTGCAGCTCTTGGTTTTACTTCTAGAGAAACAGCAACTTATTGGGGCCAGATTAGCTTTCCCAGAACAGGGGGTACATTAGGGTTAAAAACTACTGACACTCCTATGCAGCCTCTTTTCTTTTGTATTTCCCAGTAAATGGAAAAGCCTCTGTATCCGTGGACTGCCGCTCCGGCACGTTATTTATGTTCAAGCTGAAGGGAACAGACGAACACGGTTTGATGACTTTGAAAAGACACGGAATGCAGCTGGATCTCTACCCACAGAAGACGGGGAGCCACAAGCTGGAGATCTTTGCCAAGCCCTCCAAGGCCGAGGCTTCGGATGACGTCTACAAGTGCGTGCTGGAGTACGTGGTGGAGTGCGAGTCCGTGGACAAGGCCATGCGCTTCCCCAAGGAGCTGCACCAGCCCGTGGGGCCCAGCTGGTTCTCCGAGCGCCAGGGCTTCCTGCGGCCCTCGCACGGCGAGCCCGTCCTGCACACCAACGACGGGCGCTGCTCCCTCACCTTCACCCTGAGCAAGGACATCAGCGTCCTGACCTCGCTGCACAGCGACGGCAGCGGCAGCCTCGCGGAGGACATGGGCAGGCGGCACGTGCTGCAGGTCCACCGCAGGAACCAGGTGGAGCTGAAGGTCCAGCTCCCGCACGCGGGGAGCTTCGTTCTCAAAATCTACTCCAAGAAGAAGTCGGACCCGGGTAATTACGATTACATCTTCAACTACCTCATCAGGTGCCTGAACACGGAGGTGAAGTGGCCAGCCTTCCCCCAGAGCTACAGCAAGTGGCTGCAAGACTACGAGATCCTGGAGCCGCTCTCGGGCCTGCTGCCGGCCAACCGCAACGTGCACTTCAAACTCAAAATGCACGGCGTTGCCAAGGTGCTGGTCCAGGCTGAGAACACCTACCCCCTCACCCAGAACAAGGGCTGCTGGGAGGGAACCTGCAACACCTCGGGGTGCAGAGAGGTGTTTGTGATGGTGCACGAGAACGCCAACCACAGCTTCTACTCGCACGTCCTCAAATACGAAGTTGAGGCCCAGTAACACCCACTCCTTGTTCTTTCACTCACCTGCATGAACCAACCTCCCCAACACGCCCTAAACCAGCACAGCTTTAGGAGATTGCTCATTCTCTCAACCAAATCTGTTCTTTCAACAAATGCAGGACAACACTTGCAGGCTTTTATGAGACTGCAGGCTCAAAGATGGTCAAGGAAGCAGAAAATCCTGTTAAAAAAAGGAGCAGCAGTGGAAGACATGAGATAAAACCATCACCTACAGTTCAGTAACACTGTCCAGACAAATATTTAGAAGAAAACAACTGACTTGTTTTCTTTCAAACACAGAATGTCTCTGTAGGACATTCTGTGCCAGCAGGGATTGCTGGTTTCCAAGTTATGGACCATAAGAAAAGTCTTACGAGTGCTACTCCAAGAATTCACCTAGTTGTGGGGCAGGATGAAGAAAGTGTACCCTGGTTTTGAGCAGCCACATTGGACATGAGGAACTTCAGGATATTTAAACCAACTTTCATTACAACTGTAGTCAAGTTGCAAAATACATCCGAGGAGAGAGAAGAGTTAGGAAGAAAATACAACATGAAGTTTCCTTGTGCACTTCACTGTCTTACAGATTTCAATAGTACAGGAAATTTTTTTTTTACACTGAATCTTAAATACAATAAACAAAATAATTTTTACCTTTTTATATTAGAGTATCGTAGAGACTTCTTCTGCTGTAATTATATCTGAAGCATATGGGTGTTTCCATAAGGAAAACTACAGTAAAAATGAGAATAAAGCTCTCAGAAATCACTCCTTCCTCCAACCTGTCTGTGCAATACTGCAGCTATAAACTGACGGGGTTACGTGGGACAGCAGGCTGAGTGACATTATTATCATGTAACAAACCATTTGGTGCTGTACTCTTGGAAAATGCCTCCATGCACAAGGCAAAGAGGGGCTTCTACTGAATCCCACCACTACTGCACATCCTGAGATGGAGCAACATTTTTCTAACTGATTCAGATGCCCGTGAACGTTAGCATGACCCAAGAGATATTATGTTTGAGCTTGAATTGAAAATAAATCTGTTATGGTTTTGCACTCTGTTTCATTGACCAAACAATATGAATTCTCTTCCCAAAGCTGCTGTATTTTCCATGCAAAAGAGATGGGTTATTCCTACACTCCCTCCTCAGTGACTGGGTGGCAGGAATTCCTCACAGGGCTGCCCACCCAACTCCTTTGACCCCAGCATCCAGGGCTGAGTTCCCATTTAAGCAGGTTAAGTACCTGCAGCCAGATTCCAGGACCAGCACTCTGTGAGGATGCAGGCTGCTGCAGACAGGAGCTGCAAGCATAAACACCACATGTGAGCTAACAGGGCTTACTCCAGGGGAAGCTGGGAGCACAGCAAAGCTTCAGGATCTTTTTGTACTTGGCGACAACAGGCTCCATATGCAACACAAAAGTAGGTTTTAAGTCCTCCCCTAAACAGCTCAGCGTGTTTGCCCTCAAAAACTGGTGGCAGCAGCTCCTCCCTGCAGGAACCCTCACCAGCCATGGAGCCCAGCAGGCTCCCACTCCCTGGGCATCAGCACAGACTGAGCAGCACAGATGCAAGGCAGACTCGGGGATCTTTTGTTTGCCTAAGGACCTTGAAGGCTAAAGCAAGTATTGTCTGTCAGCACAGACAGTCCTGGTTTATTTTGGTGCCTGGCAGAAGGGCTCTTTTTTCTCAGATCCCACTTTTCAGATCAAGGAGGATACACTGCAGCAGCTTTCATTTCACAGGTCAAGCTGATCCAGTCAAGTATGTCACTTCTTACAATGGCAGGATAAGGAAGCATCCCAGAGAGCTTAGTGACTAAAGAAAACAACTTCTTCCACCAAACAGGGTCAAGGATACCAAAGTACAGACACACTTCATGGAACCACACACTTGATGTTCACAAATAGGCACAAGCACACAAACAGACACTTTGGTAAAGCCTCTCTGCAGGTGACCCTGCTATGAACACAGTCCCTGCTCCTTGTCTCACTTCCACAAGCCCTCTTTCTAAGCTCTATTTCTGTCTCAAGATGGCAGGGGGAACAAAAACTGACCCCCGGAGAGCAGAGAGGACAGTTTATTTCCCCCTACTGAGCACAACCTTGGGGAGAATTCCCTGTTCCTGCAACCCAAGTCTGCAGGCACCTGCAATTCCACACATCTACAGAGTCCCAGATTCTTTAAGCCCTCAAAGTAAAGAGTGACCCCCAAGCATTGTCACAGCCACAGCAGAAAACTGTAACACACTAAAGACAGATGAAGCCTGCACAGCTTCCCACCCTACAGATGTACAAAAGGAAGTGCTGCAAATACACTTCCACACTTTTGTCTCAATCAGAAAACAAACACTGGCTCTGCCTTGCGAGTGTGCAAGAAATTCTTAATGCTATTGAAGGCATAAGTTCAAAGCCAAAAACCCCCTCTTCAGCTTCATTAATTATAAAGTTTCCAGGGCCAGGTGATTATTCCAATGGAGGTTTGACACTGCAAAGGCAGAGAATTGCTGAGAAACCCTGCAGCCCCAGATAAAAGCACCTCAGAAGTCTGCACTTGCTGTGACATCTCCCTTCCAGGATAAACACAGCTCCTTCTCCTCCTCCTCATAAAAAATGCACATTCTTCAGTGCAGCCAAGGCTCCAACACCAGGAGAACAGTTCTGGAACAGATTTCTCAGTTCTCTCAGGGCATCTGCAATGAGAGTAAGGGGGAAAGACAAAGCACACACACACCAACACAGGCAAGTAATTCAGCAGTTCCCCTGCTGCAGATGCTACTTTAGATTACATTAGTTCAAATTTTTAGATGAATGAAGCTGGTGAATGAATTTTCCCCGAATGAAGCTGCTTACTACAGGTATTAGAAATTGATAAAACTGTAGGATTATAGCTGCTAATTAAGCAAATGGATCATCTTCAGTCTTGCTCTTCCCTTCTGCCAACATGAACTGCCAAATATCTCTGAAGGGATATGGAAGAGCACATCAGAAACAAGGCAAAATGTCTCCTGAATGCTGAAAACACCAACAGCATGATGCAACACCCAGTAACTAGTTTGACAAATCATCAGGAAATACAATACTACTTGCAAGGTATCATTTAAAAATGACATTGGTGGTCTCACTGAAGGCTGTGAGGGATCCCTAAGGGTTCTGGCATATCACACACTCAGTGCATCTATAGGTTTATCTGCAAAGAGGAAACAGTTTGGTGCATTCTGCTGTTCAGATTTTATCAAAATGCCCCATGCCCAACAATTCCTTACTTGAGATCTGGACAGACAGGGAGGATGTTCCAAAAACACCCATGGACAGCTCTGCAGAGGATCCAAGGCCACTGCTGGCTGACCACAGTCATTACCAAGGCTGCACAATGAGAATCCAGAAAGGATTTGAAGGTTTTATCCTCTTGAAGGAACTCCACAAGAAACTTAAAACACAATCACTTTTGGATTGGAACATTTCTAAACTCTGGGATGCAGAGATGCCCAAGTGCAGCCCCAGTCTGCAGCCAGGCACCTCCCTGGCTGAACTCACCTGTCTGACACAGTGGCTGGGCTCTGTGTACATATGGTGCTTTTGAATTCCTGTTCCTTGACAGCACTAAACTGCTCTAACACAAGGTGAAGCTGATGGAAAGGAACAGGAAACTTATGGGCATGGAATATTCACATTCCAAGGCTTGCCTGCACAAAGACCATAAAGACTCAGCCACAGGAGAACTGCAGAGACCTCAAAAGAAAACAAGTCCATAGGAAATAAGTCTTGTGCACTCATTAACAACTTACTTTCCTCAAGGAAAGACTGAATATTTTCCCCAAAAGAGGTCACAGATGTATTTTGATGCAGCAGTTCCACTGGATTGTCCAGATTCAACCCAGGCTGGCACCAGCTCACATGGCAGCTGCAATGACATGTGGATGAACCTCACCTGCTTGAGGTGATCCCATCTAGTGTCATTTCTCATTCCTATTTCTCTTTTCCAAGAGCCACATCCAGAATTCAGCAACTCATGCCTCAGCTATTCTGCAGTGCTTCAAGCACCTTGTACAGCAAGATAAAGACACCAGATACTACACAAATTGGAACAGGCAGAAGCTACAAGAACCAGGAAATATTAAGAAATTCCACTTAAGGGCAAATTAACTGGAAAGAAATACAGATACCCTAAAGGAAAGAGGAATTTTATTCCCTGTTCCTTGAAGAACACAGCTATGCTGTGATGGAAAAGGTGTTGATCCAAGTTCCTGAAGAGAAGGGAATATAAGCCACAAGAATCACTTTGTGTATTTGTAGAAACAAGAAAAGAGGTGTTGGCCATTCTGATTTATTTCAATGCTGTTACACGTATAAAATATACTTTAAATACATAAAAACTGGCAAATGGTTTGCTTTTAAAAAACACCATCAACTTTGTGAGTGAGCACATAGCTGAGATGCAGGTCTCTGGCAATGCCTATGGCAAGCTGACTAAAATGCTTGTGGTGTAACACCCCCCATCAGAGCAAGCATGGAGACAGGAGCTCCTTTTCCTCAACTCCCACCCTGCCGATCCAGCTCCAAGTGGGACACATGGCCTCTCACTCAAGCTCCAATCCCAGCTGGATAGAGGCACCTTCCCAGTCACAGTTTGGAAGCACATAAGGAAACCAGCATTCCAATTCCACAAGGAACATCACTCCTGGTGTTCAAAGCGTCTCACTATCTTTGCACTCTCTGTTTTCAGCTCCTCAATGTGAGCATTTAGGCACTCCAGGATGTGCTGGGATCTCACTTCTTCATCTTCCAGGTATCGTGCAGCAATGGATCCCACAGAAGCTGTAGGCAAGGGGCACTAAAGGAAACAAAGGGATTATCAGGCATTCCTTCATTCCAAGTTTTGGCCAGAAACACCTCTGATGTGCAAACCACGCCACTGAACCTGCTCCTAGAGGGCTCATTTCCATCTCAGTGGGCAGACTAAGCTCTCAGGTCTCACACCTGTATTGCAGGTCTTGTCCCTTCCAACAGCCAGCAGTGACTCCTGCACAAAGCCAACACTACCAAAAAATCAAGGCTAGAGAAGGTCACTACAGAATACCAAGGAGTTTGCCCTGGGTGTTGGTGCAACTCAAGGTCTACATCCTGCTTCTTCTCTCCATAAAAATCCCAGTGGGTGGGAGCACCTCAGAGTTTGGGTCCATGGAAGGGAAAGCACTGCCAGACTGGGTTTTTACCACAAATTCCCCACTGGGAATATCTCTGCTTTCTTTCCTATACCTCCTCTTCTTCCCCAAAGTAACAGGCTCCTGGTACAATCCCACAGGCAAGTACAGGCCAAATTCCCATTGCTGCTCACAGAACAGCACTTCAGTCCAGCCAGCAATGGTCAACAAAGTACTCCAGATTCTTTCCTTTACAGTCAACAACTATTCCTGCTCCTCACATCACTTACCCACAAGTTATTAACTTACAAAAACAACACTGTAAACCAGGCTTAATGTACAAGTTGATGAAGAGAAGCCTCGTGCACAGGGGCTGGCACGTGAAATATTAAGGTTACTGAGGGGCTGCTTTCCATTACAGACAAGTTGTCTCAGTGTCTTGGCAAGAGATAAGAACTGGTTATTTCCAAATCCTGGAGTCTCGTGGTTTTTAGGTCTTGTCAACAGCCAGGAACAAAGGGAAACAGAAAAGGCTACAGACAACAAGCAAATCTCTCCCACCCCACTACTGCCAAAACTTGGAAGTTCTCCTCTCTTACTGCCAAAGGATTTAAAGACACTGGAGCCTGACTCAGTCAACACCAGGAGAAATATCTGCATTTCCTTAGAAACCTTATTTCTACCTCTCAGAATAAAAAGCAGCCCATTCTCTTCTATTAAACATCAAGCCCTAGAGCTTCTCAGACCCTGAAGTGGAACATTTCACACTTTGGGTCCAATCTTGCAACCTGAAGAATTTCCATTTACATTACTGCAGTTCCCTAAGCTCCCAACACTGTTTTCTGGGTATGTGCACAAGCTACTTTAGTCTTGAAAAATCAAGACCTTTTCTTGGTAGTAAACTTGATCAAGACCTGACAAGCCTCCATTTATCTGTGCCTTAGCCTTTGAGCCTCTTCTCTGGACTCCTACAAAAAGATGGCTAGTATTTTAATAGTTGTCACTGCTACCAACACAAAAACAGAGGAGAAACTGCTCTAAACACTGCTGGAGCAACACATCTGGAGCAAGGACTAGTGCTCAGCATTCTCCCCTCCCTAAACATGACAGGAAGAAGTGATTCAGTGCAAATTTTCTTTATCTTGGTCAAGTGCTTCAGCAACTGAGCTGAGGTAGGACAGAGAAAGTGCTAACACTGCTCCTGATGAAAAAAGTATGATCAGCAACTGGGAAAAAGAGCAGGCTCCCCTTGTGCAGTGAAGCAGGGATTTTAGGCTTTGTCATCTGCAAGCATAAGCAGCTTTAAGTTCAGTGTGCTGACTGCTGCAGCCTGTTTGAAAAGGGGTAAAACTCACCCTGTGCTTTACAGATGTGCAGCAACCAGTCACCCAGAGACTGTGAAATACCAACATACTCAGCACTCCACATCCACTCAGCCTCTGCCACACACCCAAGCCAAAAGCTGAAGCAGAATTCTGAGGCGACACGAGCAGGTCCTGGTACACAGTGAGGTACAGCACCATGAGCTCCTGGAATTAACTTAGCAAGCACACAAACACAAAGCTCTTCTCCAAGGAGTTCTGAAGAGCCACCATATGGATGCTCCTGGCCAAGTCTCAACCATCCAGCAGTGGCTTTCCTTCCCTGTTTAATATTTGATTTACTTAGAGAATCACACACAACATGCAGTTAGGTCATGCATTCAAATGCCTGTCTCCTTTTGCCAGGTAAGAACCCAGCTCTATTTTCAGCTGTTAAGCAGCAACTAGCTCCTGTACAACTGCTTACCAAAACCATAGATTCTCTGTGATGATTTAAGGCAGGCTGCTTAGACGCTTCATCTGCAAAATCTTTGTTTTCAGGCACCACATGAAGCACAGACTCCGCTCCCGGCCAGGCACGTGACTCCTTGCAGTTCTTGCTGCTGCTCTGGGAGGGTGGCTCACCCATCTCAGGGGCCACAGCTCCTGTTTCAGCAGCCCCACAACTTTGGGAGTCGCTGTGATGATGCTGAGCAGTCCTGTCAGGCTGGAGAGGAGTCCTCCCTGTGTGCTCATCCTGCTCGTGCTGTGCTTCCTGAGCTGTCCTGGAAGGCAGGTTTGAGCATAGAACAGAGTTTGTCTCTTAGCAGCTCAACTCCAGCAAAAACTCACACAGAGGCAACAATTAACATAGATGTTACTAACAGCCCTGGCAGTCCAAACTTGTTTCCATAGCACTTCCAGACACACATTCAGTCCCTGTGGAATTCTCTCTCTTCTGCTGCTGTAGATACCAAAAACCACAGCCTGCACATCCTAGCACAGCAACAGAAAGGAACACAGCTGCCTGGGCCACGTCTAATCCTGTCACCAAAACAGCACAGACTGCTGCTCCAGAGAGAGGCAAAGGCAGACAAAAGACAAACTGCTGGCTCTGCAGAACACAGACCAGCTGGGACTCAAAGCCACTGCACTGCTTAAGGCACACAGGCAGATTCCCAAATAGTCCTTGTGTTCTCCCAGACGCACGATGCACTGGAGACACCCAGCATGCCATTACACCCCACACATCCCTGCTCTCCTTCACCCTGAGGAAGCAGCATCCCTGGGGTCACTCACCTGTGCTGTACATCCCTGGGCTCTTTGTCCTGGCCCTGCTGAGCCATGCCCTCAGGTTCACCTGGGCCCACCTGTGCAGTGACTCCCAGTTTCGCCCTGGTCTCTGCGAGGTCCTTCCTCAGCTGCTGGTTCTCAGATATTAATTTCTGCAGCTCAGCAGTGTAGTCCTCCCTGAGTGCTCTCAGGATGCCATGGTCACCCTAACAGGCAAAGAAGGGCAGAAGTCAGAAGTTCTGGTTTGCAAGACACCACAGTCACATCCAGAGCAAAGGCCAGCAAGAGATTCCTTAAGGCATATCCCCTAACCTCATTTTGACTGGCAAAACCTTCAAGACTTCCCTAGGAGAAAATTAATTATATATATTGCCTTATTGGGCTTGCATCCAGACTCACTGTGCTGATCTGCTGATCTGCCTGGGATGATCAGTCTCTCTCACCACTGGATTTGTTTTAAAACAGGAAAACATGGACCTAGGATAGTTCAGATGTACCTGCCTCTGGCCTTTGTGAAACTCTGAACAACTTGCTTCTTCCCATCATCTTCTTTTTACTAGGCCAAGTGGGTATAATTTCCACTGCTTCTACTCCAGTGACATTCCCACTTGCTTTTTGCCAATTCTATTAAACTCAGATGCTTAATTCGTTCTCGTTAGCTCTGTATCTAAGGTCTTTCCAAATGTGCATTAGGACTGCCAGGCCAAAATCCAGCTCCTGTTCCTTGGCGCTGTGGGGCTTTTTTTTAAGGAAGATGTCTTGCTTTGCACACTGCTACCACACAGGCAAAATCCACCAGGCATTTTTCAAACAGAAAGTAATGGGCCTTAGGTTATTTCAGTTTCAAACCAGCCCTCTAGAAAGCTGTGTTTTTAATCCATCTCACCAGCCACAAGCTTCTGTTCAGCACTTTCCCAGTAACTCTGCACATTTGACAATCATCCCAAACTAATACTAAGAGCTGAGTATTTCCTTCCCACAGATCTAACAGGATAACACATACATACATGAGGCTCTCAGCTGTCTGCATCCAGCCCTTGCCCCCTGGGAAGCAGCCATTCTGCTTAAGATGAGACAGAACTTGCAAACCAGCCACTTTTTCCTTCACAAAATGAGTCAACTCGTTATTTCTGCCAAGGCTGCACCTCTACCATGCAGGCTCCTCTTCTCCCCTCTGCCTCAAGGGTTTTGGAGGTTTTGTTCAGGTGCAGGAGCCCACCACGGGGCCCTTTCCAAGAACACTGCCCCAACACATCCAGCCCATATTCCCAGTCTGCATCCCGCTCATGGAGAGCAAAGGAGAGCCCTGCTGAATGGCTCCTCACCAGGGGAGAACACGCTCTCACCCCAAGCATTTCAAGGGCCAGAGCAGTTACAGCAGTTACAGGACATCACAGGTTGAGAATCAAAGGTTTGAGGTAAGCTGGCTTAAAATGGAAGTGTAATGAAATGTATTAAAAAAGTGAGGCAAAGCCCATGGAGAAGACACAGAAAGTATGGCTGCTTCTGCAGTTCTCTTCTCCACTCTCTGACTGAACAAATACTTGGTATTTCTGCACCTTATTTCCTTTCAAATTGCCTCTTTTGCTTGGGTTTTAAGTTCACTGAGCTCTGTCCCCCATTTTGAGAGGGCTGGGCAAAGACTCTGACTATTCCCAGGCAGGTACACAAGGCTAGCCCCTTCCCAGCTCCTGGCCCTCAATACCTTCATACCTTCAGCTTACCACACTCTGTTTTTTCCAGAATGTCTGAGAGATGACGGTTTTCCAGCCTCAAGGTTTCCAGCTGGACCAGAATTACCTGAGGAGACAAACAACAAGCTCAGAGAAAAGAACACAATGCATGCCCACGACACCCTCAGCTTTTGCACAGAGGCTAAAGAGAGAAAGAAACTACTAATGTAGCTAAAAACCAGGATGGTGCTCCAAGCCTTCAGATCCCTTAAACAAACAGCATAAGATTCTTGTGCCTTTTTTACCCTGTGCTCCACTGCTTTCCTCTCTGCTCTTTCAATCTCTGTTCTGAGCTGCTGCTCCAGGTTTGAGGTGGAGCCGCTCGCCGATGCAATGGTGATGTCCCGCTGCTGCAGCTCCTGTGTCAGCCTGCAGCTCTCCCTTTTCATCCCCGCTAGCTCACTGCTGTGCGTTTGTTCAGCCTGAGAGAGCTGGTCTTTCAGCTGGAGGAAGACATACACACATCACCCACGAGCTTTTAAAACATGTTTCAGCTAAAAATGCAAAAGTATTGCAGTATTGCACATGGGAATGTGAAATCTCAGTCCTGGAAAACAAAAAGCTCTATGTAACAAAACCACTGCACGTGCTTGTCCCTTCTGATTGAAAGCCACCTCACCCCAATCCCTTCCCACACCACACACTGTCAGCTGGAAAGAAGTTTCATGCCATGAGAAAACCCACAATTTATCAAACAAACAGCCTCTCCAGCTCATCATTCAACCTCTGTAGCCAAAACCAGAGAGCCAAAGGTTTACCATGACTGGGGAAGCACAATAGCTCTTGGAAAATATAACCCTGCAATTTGCCACTCTGCCTTCCTGAGGTATTTGAAGATACCATTTAAAGATGGTAGCTTTAAATAGCTCGAGCTGGATTTTTCTTCCAGGAATTAATTTGCCCTAAGTCTTTTGAATCGATATTAGAGTTGAATCAATGTTAGCTCATAGCAACTAAAGCTTCTCATGGCAAACTTCCACCAGCCAGCTATGCACAGGGTAAAAATACATCTCTTTGTTTTTATAACTCTGTGTGATGACCACTAGGGCCCTGCATTATGAGAGGGTAATCATTCCCTATTTACTTTTCACATGACAGGCATGATTTTATTTTCAGTCCATTCAATCTCATTTATCTCTTTTCCAGTTTGCTAAATCCTATTTCATTCAGCTGTTGCTTGTATAAAAACCACTCCATCCTTTTGGTCATCTTTTTCCATACCTTATCTTGGTTTATTCAGTGCTTTTAGAGGTGGCAGACCTGCACCACATACCATATACTGGTAGGCACACTGCATATTTATTCAGTGGCAGGACAGACCAACAGCAGCATAATTCCTTCCCCAGGACTCCATTCCATTAGTCAGAAATATTAACCACCCAAACACACAGGATTTTTCTGAGAATTACAAGCATTTTAGAAAATTGAACCAGATGATCTCTGCCTACCCATGTAAATACTGTTCACACGGTGATTTATCTCCATGTCACCTCAATGCCTCCCAAGTATATAAAACAGAAACAGCCTTCATAAATCTCTCCCTCCTCCCCAGCAGCCTGTGGGAGATTCATTTACTGTGTGGCTGTTTGGATGTGTAACCAAGCACACATCTCTGGCAAGATCTGCACCTCTGTATGTTCAGAACAAAGGATGAAAGATTTCCACACAAGTGAGGTTTTTCACTCAGGTTCAATGAGGCTTCCACTCTTCCAGGCTCCAGTGAAAGCTCTCACACAAGCTGATGCAGACCATTATGAAGAGCCAAGTTAGGGAGGGCTTGCCCACCTTGGGTGCTCAGAGCTCTGGGGTGAGCCACTCGTGGCAGGTGAGCTGCTCCATTCCTCCCAGCCCCTGCCCTCATGTCCAGCTATCCAGCCTGAAACACACTCCCTTATTCACACAAGGACACATTTAAGTCCTGCCTCAAGTGTGACAGGACATACTACAGCAAACTCACTCCTTCTCTGCTCTTCATCCTATTGGGAGCCTGTATTAGGCTTAAACTCAGGATTCCAGACCTTAATTTCTTTGCATATTTGCCCCTCCAGCAGTAATTTAAGTCTCTCCACAGTGTAGAGAAGTTCTGGGGGAGGCCCAGGAGATACTCACAAAGCCAGGTTCAGACACCTGCAAACAGGTGTCCTCTCAACCCTTCCTGTGCCAGGTGTGCTCCTGACCTCCAGCAGATCCCTGCCTGCACAGCAGCCCTGCCCTGGTGCCACTGCTGAGGCACTGGCACTCAGGGATCAGCTCACTCCACCAGTGCCATCCCACTCCCCAGGAACAAAGCCACATTACCTTTTTAATCTCTGCCCTTGACTCAGTCTGGTCTTCTTCCAGGGACTGCAGCTCTTTGATATTCTCACCCAGCTCCTCGCTCAGCTGCACACACCTGGCATTTGAAGACACCAGGCTGCGTGCCAAATGCAAAAGTATAGATTAGAATAACCCAAGGAGGAGGAAATGGTCAGAGAAACTTTGATCTTCCAGGCAGTCCTTTATGTCCATTACAACAGAAACTGAACTCAGCCTACAAGTTCCTTACCAACCCTTTGGGTTTGTTTTCCAAAATCATTTCACAAGAGATCAGGAAGCTCATGTAACAGATAACAGCTGTTTCTTGCCTGTTTATTTACAAACTAAGATTACAAAATTTGTATTTAAACACAAATCTGAAAACCACAAACTTGGAGAGGAATCATAGAGTCACAAAATGCTTTGGGTTGGGAGGGACCCTAAAGCTCAACCCATTCCACCCCCTGCCATGGGCAGGAACACCTTCAACTGGACCAGGTTGCCTCAACCCCCTTCCAGCCTGGTCTTGAACACCTATAGAGATGGGGAGTCCCCAATCTCTGGCAAGATTTGTTTATAATCCTCACTTCACAGGAAGGTCTGGATCTGGTTCTAACCAGCTGCCTAACAAAGACTCCTTAGCCTATTATGAGTGAAGGTGCTGAGCCTAAGCAAGCTGGAACACTGAGAACACCCACCATGAGCAGAGAAAGGCAGCCAACCAATTAGCAAAGCAGTCACTATTACACTGCAAAATGAATAGCACTTGATTTCTTTGGCCCTTTGATATTTAAAGCAAGCCTACAAAAATCACCGGTTAACTCAATGAACACAATTAGCTGCAGTATTATTATCCAAGACTACTTGCACTTGCAGAGGCAGCAAAAAGAGAGTTACCTGTTCTCAAGACGAGTCACCTCTGACTGCAAGTGCTGTTCCTTCTTCTGGGCAACATCCAGCTGCAGCAGCACCTGCTCCAGCTCCAGCCCAGCAGAGGACAAGGGCTTCCCTTGCAAGCGCTCCTCCAAGGCCCTGCACAGGAACAGCAGCTTCAATATCAGCACAGAAAGAAAAATGTCTGAGTTCACTGGTACAGGAAATGTAACTACTGTTTTCCTGGAGTTCTCTGAAAAATACACAGCAGGTGACCACTATGTGCAGTGTGAGTAAGCAAACACAGCAGCTGGATGACAGCCCCTGCTTGAGTTAAGGCTCACTGAAAAAGACTACATTTTATTTTGATGTTGGTCTCCCTGCCAGAGACTGGTAGGTGACCAACACAGCAACCAGAACCCAACAGCCTCTGCACATTGCAAGGGCAGAAGGGAAAGGCCAAGATGATTTTGACACAGATGCAGCTACCTCACCAAGCCCCAATCAATGAGAACTTTCACCTAGGTTAATAAGCATGTTATAAAACCCTGAAAGATCTCTAGCACTTGGCTGAAAATACCTGGGAGAAACACTCTCAAAAACCCTGCACTGCCTCCAGAAACCCAGCTGAGGAAAGTGGATTCCTTCCATGCTCTTCACTGACTATCTGCTAATTCCAAAAGCAATGCAAATTGAAAAATGCTGCAAGGCAGCACAGTGCTTGTGAGAAACTGCAGTGCACTATGTTAAATACAACCAATACAGATCCAGCTGCATGAAAATGCTGCTACTGTCCTCAGTGAGAGAACCTGGAACGTGGACAGGGATTGAAGAGCCAAAGTACCAGCAAGGCACAGATGCTACCTGATGAGGAGTTCTTTTGTGTGAAGAGTTTCAGTCATCCTGTCCAGCTCTTTCCGTAACTGTTCCTGGTGCAGCTTCGAGCTGTCAATGAAATCTTCTTGAGACTGCAAAGTGGCTCTCAGCTCCATCTTCTCATCCTGCAGCACCTGCACAGGAGGCAGAAGGAAGGATTGCAGCAAGATGGACCAAACCAGTTTGTTGCAATGTGATGAGAGGTTGATCAGATTTTTTAGGACCCTTGGAAATACTGCAGAGCAGCACATGGCTACGAAGTCAATTTTGATGCCAATCAGGAACTTCACAAAGGCTCTAGAAAGAGACAAAAACTCCAGGATGAAAAGCCTTCCCACCACTTCAGACCCCATTTCTTAAGAGTTCCTCCACTGACCTCTAACATTTTCTTGGACTGCCTTAATTCCTCTTGAACTCTCTGCTGATCTTCCAGAATCGTGCGATTGTCCTCACTGAGCTCATCCACCCTCATGCTGAGCCTCTCCACCTCCAGCTCGTTGGCACAGATGGTGTCCTTGGCCCTCTCCAGCCTGCTGCTCAAGTGCTGGATTTCCGAGCGGCTCGCCAGCTCCACCGAGTCCAGGACCTGCTTCCGATTGGCCAGCTGGGTCTGCAACAAAAACCACCTGCACTGGAGCTCAACTGCAAAAACACCAAGGCTCTACCAAGAACTGGTGCTTGCTGCTGGTACCAAAGCTGAAGTCAACACAGCTACTGGTTTCTTGGTGTAATGAGCCACATTCTCATTCTCAACAATACCTTCCAGGGAATTAGGGAGAGTATTGTTCCAGGGTTATATGATGGATAAAACTTCCCAAGGCAAACAGAATAAGTAAAAAACAAAATGAAAAAGGAGAGGGCCGTTTGATTCCAAAAGCAGTTCAAAGAGAATCTGGAAAATGAGAATCTCAAATCACTCCAGCTGCCTGAGTATGATTTGTCTAAGAATAAAGCCTCCTGCTACTTTTTGCTCATGAGCCCAAGGCTAGACCAGGACTAATGGCTGCAGGTAAGAAAGTTCCTAAACCAAACAGGCCATTAATTCTACACCAGGACAGAAAGCAGCTCTAGGTGCACAATTGCAAAACCACAACCACCGAACAGCCCCAAAACAAACCAGTTTTAACAGCCAATTTGCTTTGCTCTCTGCAGTAAATACCTGTTTCCAGCAGCTTGGGGGAAATGCTCACTTTGAATTTTTCAGTGTTTTAATGGCAGACAAAAAAGTTACAAGGAACGTATGAGTAGCAGACAATACCTGCTCTATAATTTATAGGCACAATACTTTATTTCATAGCATTTCTTTCCACACAGCTAGCTGGTGAAATTTAACAAGCCAGCTCTCACATAAACTTCTAGGAACATTCACTTCATATAGTCCCTTACTGTATAAAATCTTTGAATTTTTAAAGGCTGGAACAAAATATTTGAGCAGTCCTATACTCCCTGTTTCAAAGAGTAGCAATGCCTGCCAGCTTCAGAATCATCACATGCCTTGATTTACACAAACTGTAAGAACTGCTCATTTGCAAGGCTATGGTATAGTTTTGATTACAGCCTTTTATTATTATTTAAATAGGCATGACAGAAAAGGTAATCAAGAGGGCTGAGAGTTTAAAGCAGAGCCTTTCTTCACTCAAGAAGCCAGAGTATCTGACTGCCTGAACATTTATTTCTGCATTAAGAAAACATTTATGCTGTCTCTTATTATTTCCAGCCATACAACATCCAGGCCAGCAGAGAATTCCAAGTTTTTAGGAAAGGCTGACTTTAAAGCTGCAGGTGTTCCAGAAGATGGTCTGTACTGGGGAAAAATTCCAGGCTTCCCTAAGCTGCTCTGGAAGAGCTGAGGGGAAGCCAGATGAAAGGAGAGGGGAAGTACTCCATGGTCATGGATCTCAGCTTGACCTTGTGCTAGAAAGACAACTAAGCATGTAAAATGTACAGAAACATCCAAGATAAAAAATTCAGCACTTCCATGCTGGGCTTTTCAAAGCAATTGAGGATTCAGGCAGTCTGCTCACAGTACCTGTGCACCTAAGGCACCTATGCTGCTTTGGGAAAACCTCCCCAGCCTCCTGGTTTTCTGCTGCACACAAGTTCCTCTGTGCCCCAGTGTCCCAGCCTGAGCTCCAAGGACACATCTGTTCCCAAACAATTGAGCTATCAACGACACACAGACAGCAGAGCAGCAAGACCTTCTGCTCAAGGACTCTCTCTGCATTTGTAGCTCTCCTGGTGTCAGCCTCTCACAAAGCCCCTGTCAGAGCCAGCTTCAATCCTGTCATCACAGTCTCCCTCCTCGCAGGAGCTTCCACTCAAGAGCAACTCAGGAGCCCATTAAGGCAAAGTCCCCAGCAAGAGCTTCTTATCAGTGTCTGCTGTGATTGTGTCTGTGTGACTTCACAGCTGTGCTCTAGGTCAATTCATCTTGCTCTGCTGCAGCACCACTAATTCACTGAGCCATCAGCTTTGCAGAACAGCAGCCCCACTACTTCTTGCCTTTGAGAAACCTAAAAAAAGGGGTGGGGGGCTGAAAACTGCTGTTGCTTCAGTATTTTATGGAAGTCTCTGCTGTAGGGGAAGACTGTTTTCCAACAGTAGTCTCTGAGCTGGACCCACAAGGTACGTATTTACCTGCTGGCAGGTACACAGCTTTCAACTAGACAACATGATGTAACATATTTTCAAGTGTCATATGCCTTGGTCTCTGCCTCCCAGGGAAATCTGCATCCTACTCTCTTCTCTGCTAACCAGACTGATGGCAGGGAGAGCTGCACAAGGTTTATCTAATCTCTGATGACAGACTCCAGATCTTTTTTCCATACAGCACTCGTACAAGCAAACCTTATTCCGCCAGAACATTAAAAGTCACTTCAATGGCAATCTGAACTGGATGGGAGCCTGAGAGATTTCATTAGCCTCCCCTTCCCTGCCACAAACAAAGCAGAAACTTCCAGCATATGTTAATTGTACCTGCACGAGCTCGGAGTGCTCTGCCAGAGCCCGGCGCTGCGCCTCCAGCGATGCCACCTGCTGCTGGAACCGCAGGCGCTGCTTCTCCCAGTCAAGTGATTTCTGACGGAACTCCTGCAGGGACAGCAGGGTGGCTTGGAGCAGTACATCCTCCTCCAGCTCACATCCACGTTTGCCTTCTCTCCCCACCGTACCCTCACACCTTTCCCCCAGCAGGGAAACCATTAGTCAGTCACCTGATGCAGCAGCTCAGCAGTGCAGAGCCCTCACACACCGTGCTCGCTGCATTCCTCCCCACCCGAGGTAAAGCTGCTCACAAATGTTAAGTGCCAACACATTCATGGCTGGTTTCATGGGTTTGCTGTCAGGGGTTTAACAATTCAGACTGGCTTTAGCTTCCAAAATATGTTGCTGTTGAAATCATCGAGATGACAAGAATTAAATACAGAATTAACTGCTAATCTCTGCTCCAGAAATTGGGCACTACATCAGTCAGATGTGTGTTGTTACCACATCTCTCAGGAGGAGAAAACTGAGTGGGGTTGAGCTCAGCAGAGCAGAAAGATTAGAAGATGAGACAGGCTTGAGAAGAAGTTTGACATGTAGCTCCCTCCTCCTCAAAGAAGTGAGAATACAACCTCCCCACACTGGAATTCGTTCCATTCACATAATTAGTTACTCTTCCAGCACCTCCTTCCTTTTATTTAGTGTAAGGGTAAGAACAGCATTAAGGTTTAAGCTGTGCAGTCAGAGGCCCCAACACACGAAAATGCCTTTATCACATATGCTGTTGAGAAGAGCTGCACCTGGAGAGTGGGTGGCAGTGCTCCTTAAGCAGGACTCACAGTCCACTTCCTAGTGGACTGTTCAGTCCCCACTGAAGCCCAGTAAGGCAGTTAATACACACAAGCTGGTCAGCACTTCCTCTTTCACCACACACCTCCAGCTTCCTGGTCAGTCGGCTCAATTCAAACTTGTCCTCCTCTTGTCCCTTGTTAGCTTCGCCTCTGCTTCTTGTTTTTTTCTTCTGCAGCTTCTCATAGCTCCTCCTCAGCCGGGACAACTGCAGAATACAGTGAAAGAGAGCTTTGCTCAAGGCCCCAAGGCAAGAATTATACAGCCCTTTGAAAGAAGACACACAAAGTGGTTCACACAAACAATGCCCTCATCAAGGCCACACAGCTCCCAAGTGAAGGCTTCTATTTGGATAATGAGTCTTTTATACCAACAGCACTGCAAAACACACGAGTTGTATGAGAGTAGCAAGATGCCACTGAAGTCATGACATCAGCAGCTTTAACTAAAGCTCTCTCTTACCATAATTAAAGCATGACTGAAATATTGATCAGATGGAGGTTTACAGGCAGCTGACAATGCAGCAAGAGCACGGCATCCCCCTCTCTACAGGTGGCTCCCAGCCCCAGGAAGAGCCAGCAGCACCTGTGGCTGATCTGCTCACCCACAGGAGCACACCCATCACACCACACATGGGTAAATCTTGTGTGATCAAAATATACTCGTGCAGCTCAGGTGGGAACTGGAACTCTCCTGCTTAGTGGGAGAAGGAAGATTTGAGAATTGCCATTACCCATAATATCAACACCACTTCATCTGTCATTTTCTGCTTAGATACACTGTGTATTTCACAATGAGTGGAGAATGCCAACAGAAAATATCACTCCTACGCCTGCTGCTAGGATGCTGAAGTTGTATCAGAAGCAGGAATGAGGAAAAAACTCTTGACATTTAAATGACCCTCTGTGCAAATAATCACTTGCAACTTGCAGAGAATTTTTCATACAATGAGCTCCTGCCTACTTAACTATTAAATAAAAGGCTCCCAAATAGCCACATCAATTTGAGAAGCCATCACTGTTGTTTTACTGATGGACAAAGCTAAGCCCAGGAATCAACAGAAGGACCATGAGAAGCAAAAAATATCTGATTCAAGACCTGATGCATTCAGTACTTCAGTGTGTTCAGTGGGAACAGACAGATGTTCAGGCTTAGAGTTAATATCAACTTCTTTTGCCAAACATTTCAGGAGATAAGAGGTTTATTCTTTCAACAGTCTCAGTAAGTTAGACACTGTACCTGTAATTGCACTGGAAATGGTGGTAAACAGAGACAGAAATAATTTCCCCAAACAGTACTAAGAACAGAAGACTGAGGAATATTGGAGCTCAATGTCATCAGCATTAATACTGTGTAGGTAAAATACCCACAAACTGCAATTTAGGCCACAACACACAGGCTGTATTTCAGCCATAGCAATTTAGGGTGATCTGCCAATGTACCTCAGCTTTGCTCTGCAGCTTATCCACAATTCCAGTGAGAACACCCAGCCAATGAAGACTGTTAGTCATATGGAATAGTGAGGTGTTTTTAAATGAGAAAAGATGCCTTCTGTCATCAGAGCACAGACTACCAAATTAATTTCACTTATGGCTTACAGTGAGCAGGAACTAGGCCCAGCCCTCCAGAGAAAACAGGTCAGTGCTCTATGAGCTGCTCATGCCAGTTCACTCCCTGCTGCTGGCAAGTGCAGACAGGCAAGGAGTTCAGGCAGAAATCTGGAATGCTGCTATACCACCTGCAGGACAGGTATCATCTTGCACTGAGCAAGAGGCTTTGAGATGGAGGCTCTGATATTACTGCCAAACAGCATTTTATACATACACTTGGTTTTTATAAAGGGTATTAAGACTAATATTCCTTGAGAGTACAAAATCCCTACTAAAGTCATCAGTGTTAACAAAGGCAAAAAGATAACACCACACACCACTGTTATTTCCTGATCTCACACTAGCCAGGCCAGTTACATCTCCACCCTTTTTGAATTTCAGAAATGCTGAAAGAGCAAACTGCTGCTGCCTGTATCTGTGGCAGCTCCAGAACCAGCACTGTGGTGACTGGGATGGGCAAACACAGGACATTCTTGTGGTGAACTTCTGCAGATGTCCAACATATGAAAACATTTCTACTCCAACAGTTCTCTGTCTGTCACCAAGCTCCTCCAAATCACAAAAAACAGGCCAATTGAGCCATACAAATGTCACTTTATCTATGCTCAATGCTCTTTTTGGTAAGCACAAACATTAACAGAGTGGGAAATTTTAAAACCACAGCATTGAAACAAAAACAATGACACAATTGATCCATCATCAACGGGGAACTAGAAACCATACTCTTCTTTTTGCAACTCACATCCTCCTGTAATTTCTTCAGCTGCTGTTCATACTCTCTAACCATGTCCTGCTTGGATTTTTCCACATCTTCAACCCGGCGACGCAGCAGGCCAACCTAAACAAAGGGATAAAAAGCAAATAAATACAACAGAAGTAGGCTTTATTGCCAGCAGGTACATAGATATTTCAGTGGGGCCCCTCATTATGAAATAGATGGAGGCTGTGCCTAAACCTTTGGCAGGCTGGGGCCACAACTGTTTCTGTTGTGGCCTTGTGTTTTGAGGCAGTTTCTGGATTTCACTCCTGGGGACAAAGTTGACATATTTGGTTTGTGCCAAAAGCCTACTTCTAGTCAGCATTTTCATAAATTCATCACAAACACTCATTACGATGTCAAGCTATCTACCAAGAGAAAAGTTTGCCGTGTCATCATCTTACTATGCTCAGAGAAAGGAGAGAATCTTAATAGCAAGGAAAAAGTAAGAAAAGGGGTTTTGAAGCTCACAGAAGAGACTTCCCTGACACTGATTCAGCTGCTCCTTTGACTTATTTTTCTCCCTTTTTTTTCCCTCCCATCTTTTTTCCCAGCCACAACCTGAGTGGTCACAAGCCAACAAATTAAAATTAAAAGAAAACCCACAGAAAATTCATATGACTAAACCAAAAGCATGAATATACTCCAGCAGTGACTTCAAACATACTTTACAGTTCAGTTTGAAATCCATGTTGGCTTTTGGAGGTAAGAGACATTTCAAGTGTCTTGAGAAAACATAATTGATAATAACAATAATAAACTATATGATAAAAATCATCATTCTTGCAAATGAAAATTCTGTGGCTCAACTGCACCTTATGGTCCACATCCTTCACAAAAACTTCACTAACTAATAATTTTCTACCAATACAGATTTTTTTTTTTTTGCACTTCCCTCAGGCTTTCATTTAAAGATCACAAAACCAGAGCTCTGTAAAAAAGCCCATGGAGAGTTTCCCAGCAATATCTTGGTGTAGTTCATAGTAGGAAATGGTTTTCTTGGTGTAGTCTATATAGCAGGAAACGGGTTTTTTCTACCAATGACTGCATGTTGCTGGGCTGTCCATTACTGCTGTAGCCAGCACCAGTGCCTCTGGGATCTCTCTAATAACTCTAACAGTTCAATATGTGGGCTTCCACCAACCCTAGGGGAGCGGATCACTTGACTTGGATTGAGTTATGAACCAGACACCTTGTTCCAACAGGTCCTTTGAAAAGTCTATTCCTGATTTCCTGATTCTAACAGGTAAAACACACTGCTGACTCCAACCAAAAAAGAGTATGAAACCAAGGTACCTCCTTTTGCTTTTCCTGCAGAGCTGCCTTGGCAGAGGAAAGTTCCTGCTCCCGAGCACTCAGACAAGCTTCCAAAGCCTGTGTGTGCTCTTCCCACTCGGATTTCTTGTGAGCCACCATGATGTCTATCTGCTTCATCAGCTCCTGCAGCTCGGCCTCACAGGAGGTCAAGAACCCACCACTGGAGGGGAGAGAGCCTGGAGTTAAAGCAGGTCCCACCCAACACGTCCAGTGTCCCAAACCAACACAGGCAGCAGAACTGACTGGCACCGAGGCACCAACTCTGCACATGCAGTGCTCACACACAAAACTCTCTTCAAATCAGCTCACAAGAACAGAATCACAGAATCATTAAGGTCAGAAAAGACCTCCAAGATCATCAAGTCCAACCTTTTACCCAACACCATCCATGCCCACCAAACCACACCACTTGACACTTAGGCATTCGGCCTTTTGCCTTGGGTACTAGGCATTATGTAAGTAAACCAAAGCGTGTTTAATTCATAGTTTGTATTGCCTTAACTGCTCTCCAGGCAGTGGCATTTTATAGCAGGTTTCAGTCACCAGAGGAATCTTACAGCCAAGCTATGAGCTCCCAAAAACAGAAGTTGATCACAAATGCAGACAAAGCCTGAAGCAGAGGGGGCTGGATGACAACATGATAATGAAGAATCAAACCCTCGCAATCCATCGGGGAGCACGAGCTCCCTAGCGATGCCCAGATTTCTAATTTGGTGCAGTAATTATTGAAGCCAATTCAAGTAACTCCTCTAAAACTTCCCAGCTGCCAAGACAGGGACAATGTTAAGGTTTGCCAGACACAGCCCTAGAGGGTGGTGAACTCCATAATGATCTCTACCCCTTTAATTTGCCTGTCAAAGGGAAGAACTGAAAAGAAATGGAAATCAATAGGTTAAGGGATGGAAATTTCTCTGTTCCCCCAGGGCATATACACACTTCATTACTTGGCACTTTTTCTATAGGAAAAGAAATACTTCTTAAAGGAGCCAAAATCAGTCACATTTGAAGTTCACCCTGTCCTGTGAGTTAACCAAAAATTAGCAGCTATTATGCAGAGCAGGAACATTTCCTTCACAGCATCTGCTAATATGTAGCAAATTCTAAACTTGATTTCTGCAACCAGCTCTCTAAAGAAGATACAGTAGCAAATAAATTTGTGTCACATTCTCAAGGATGACTAGGAAAATGGCATCAGTGACTTTTGCTTCACGGTTGTTTAACACATAAAGCATTTTGTTCTGTTATTGTCACTACAGTCTCTCTCGGGGATTGAAAAGTCTAGAGACTCTCACCTCAGACAGAGCATTAAGGATTCACTCAGAGCTGAGTGGGACTGCAGTTTCAACACAAGCAGGAAATAATCAGATGTTTTCAGTAAAATCAGATAACAAAGTCACATCTCATTAACCTTGCAAGGCTGTTACAAAATAAATATTTATTCACAACTCTATTTACTACTGCTCCTGGTGTTGGACAGTAAGAATAGTTTACAACAACAACTGAGACAAAAAGACGCTCAGGTTTCAGGAAGATGTACAACTAAATTTCTGACAATTAAGACTATAAGCAGGGATTAGTGCAGAGCCAGCTCCCCCAGTAATTTCACTTCTGCAGCAGCTGAAGGCCACTGCACACTGACACCAGAGGATTTATTCTGAGTAAGAGGCAAGGCTAATACCTAAATCATTGGGAATGACTGCTGTGTACAGTTGCATACATACCTCCCCTGCCCATTTCTGTGCATTCCTTCCAGCAAAGCCTCCATCACTGAATCCTGGTGGCTTCAGTACCAGGGAAGTACAGGAAAGCAGTGGTCACTCATGGCAATGCACAAACCAGGCTGCTTCTCCATCCAACTGCAGGAAAAGAAGACCACAAAGCAAAGAAGTCAAAAAACAGACAAGAAGCATGTAATTACAGGTGAGGAAAACAATGGCACTTTCATGAACTTACAGCCAAATAGAGGAAAACAGATTTTTCTACCAGAAAAATATACCCAATGCTATCATCCAGCACTACCAAATTGCATGATATAATCATGTGATCTAATAAATTCAGAGAGGAGCAATGAGAGTCTGCACTTGTGTGAACTCAACACAGAGGCACTGGTAGAACTCCTGGGAGCACCAGCCTGTGGAGAAACAGGAACATCTGGGCTTCAAATGGGCCAGCCCAAGATCCACCTCTGACAGGGAATTTGTCACTTCAGAGAGAAAACACTAGCAAGTAGCAGTAAGAATTCATCTATAAATTGCATATTTTCCAGGCCTCTGTTACAGACTAGGTTCAAGAGACCATGCAGGTTATCACCACACTCAGAACACACTGGTTGTTCATACGGTTGTGGGAATTTTAAGAAAACACAAACTCCTTAAAATTTCTTCTTAAATTATGCCTTAAATTATGAAAACAAGTTGAACAGCTTTACAGTAGCAGTACATTGCTTCAGTTATAAACTACACCTTTTAAGTAACAAACACATGCATGCATATTTCAAATCTTGGTGAAAGCAGGAAGGGTTCACATTAAAGCCAAAAATGGGGAATAAAAAGTTCCCATGAAACCACAGCCAGGAAGACAGAATTTATTTCAATGTCTCCTTCATGAAACTGCAGCTAACACAAAAATGGTTAAACTTGTTCAGAGCTATTAACACAAATTTCTGTTTCCAAAATCTGCACACTTTCCAAGTACTGAAGATGGATCCTTCCACCATCTTTCCTCAAAGATTAATATGGCATTATTAAGCAATCAGCAAAAGGGGAGCAGGTCACAGCAAGGCAGACTTTCACAAATGCAGGCTCAGCTTTGCTCTCTTTCCCAAACAATCTTCTATTGTGCTCCTACAGCACTTTAAAGAGGCACTGGTAGAACTCCTGGGAGCACCAGTCTGTGGAGAAACAGCAACATCTGGGCTTCAAAGGGGCCATCCTTTCTATTGTGCTCCTACAGCACTTTAAAACACAATTCAGGGATTAAAACCTGTCCTTGGGAGCTTGTGTTTTAAACCACAAGCATATAAAAAATTCAAAGAAAAAAATCCTATCTCTATTCTGACAGTGTTTTGTCTGTCTTTGGTCCTGTTTGTGCTTAGCAAAACTCAATCAGTATGCAGAACAACTTTGTGGTTCTGCTGAGGGCAGGGTGCTGAGGAGAGCAGATGAGCAGATCCCCGGAGCTGCTGACAGCATTCCAAGAGCTCTCCAGGTGGCAACAGCAGACATTAGACAGTAGCAGCTCTCCTCTTTCATTCTAATCACACCTACACAGAATCAATTTTCAGTGGGCAGAGAGATGAGGAGACAGCATAGAATTCCAGAACACTTTGGGCTGGAAGGGATCTTAAAGCCATCTCATGCCATGGGCAGGGGCACCTTCCACTAGCCCAGGTTGCTCCAAGCCCTGTCCAACCTGGCCTTGGACACGTGGGAGGGACAGCTCTGTGCCTCTGCCTGACCACCCTCACAGCCTGCCAGCATACCCAGATTTTGGGGAAAAGCCTTAAAATCAGACACCTCTAGCCAGTTTTATGCTACATAAGGTTTGCTGACTTAGTATTAATTTTAGCCTCTCATGCTTGCAAGTTGCAATGTGCAAGTTACAGGCACCTGAATAAAGACAAATCTCCTTCATTAACAACAGCTGAAGCAAGGAGAGCTGGCTACTCACTTCTGAAGAAATTGAAGTATTTGAAAAACAAAAAACCCCAAAACAAGACAACACATTTAAAAATCAACAAGGCTTAGCATCCCAGCTCAAGGCAGAATTGTAGCAGAGCCAAGTGGAGAGAACTTTACAATACACTGGAGGATTTAAGAATACTGCCCAAGAGGCAAGACTGGGATTACTTGGCATTTAAAAACACAGAAAGATGCAACCTTCAAGCGCTGCTGGAAGCATTACAGTGAACACAAAAGGAGCAGTAACCTCCCAAAGGCAAGACCACAGGCGAGCTCCACTCGCCAGCGGCAGGAATGGCACCTGCGGCAGGAGCCCGGAGCGAACCCCTCGCCAGGGCGAGAATCCCAGAGTCCCTGAGCTTGGGAAAGGCCTCTGAGACCATCAAGTCCAACCTGTGACCGATCCCCACTTTGTCACCCAGCCCAGAGCACCAAGTGCCGCGTCCAGTCTTTCCTTAAACCCCTCCAGGCATGGGGACGCCACTACCGCCGCCGTGGGCAGTCCCTTCCAATATCTAATCGGCCCTTTTGGGAAGGAATTCCTCCTGCTGTCCAACCCAAACCTGCCGTGTGCAGCTCACGCCTGTGAAGCGGCCGGGCCGGCGTGCCCGGGCAGCGCTCCCCGCTGGAGCCGGCGGAGCTGCCCCGGAGGCGCTCCCCGCTGCCGCCGCTCCCGGCCGCAGCCCCGCCGCCCGCGCCCTCACAGCGCCTGCCCGCACCCGCCGCGGGACCTCCGCTGCCCGGGCCCTTCCCGCGCCGCGCCCCGGGGAGCAGCCCCGAGCTGCAGGCTGCCCAACACCCCAGCTCTGACAGGCTGCACGGCCGCCCTCCTCCCTTGCTTGCTTGCTTGTTTCTTTCCTTCCTTCCTTCCTTCCTGCCTGCCCTTCTTCCTTCCTTCCCTCCCTCCTTCCCGCCTCTCCCACCCCGGCGGCGGGCACGGCGCGGCCCCGCGGCGCAGCGCTGCGCATGCGCTGTGGCGGCGCCTGCGCAGCAGCGGCCGCTGAGATGGGCAGGGTAGGGGAGCGCGGGGACAGCGCGGGGACACCGCGGGACGCGGCGGTCACGGAGCCGCGGTGGCCGGGACCGGCAGGGGATGCGCTGGGATGCGCTCAGCCCCGTGCCCATCGCCGCCCGTATCGCGGCTCCGGCAGCCGCGAGTGCCAGGCCTGGCTCGGTTTTGAATGAGTGGCAGTTATCTCGCTCCCCAGGCTCCAGCTGCTGCTGCTGCTGCCCCGCAGGGAACACCGCGGCCTGGGGGGCCCTTCCGGGAGGGCAGAGTACAATGAAACGCTCCGGAGTAATTATTGGGGGTGAAAGACAGGTCTCGTTTTGCTTCTGTTTCACTGGTTTCCTGGAGTTCAGGTTGGGGCAGAATTCTGGCTACCTTGAAGTCCTTTGTTGTGACTCGCAGACATGCGAAGGAGGCAGTGAGGCACGGCACCGGTCAGGGGCTGTAGGCCAGCAGCCACAAAGGGTTCTAGGCACTCTAGGTGCTCAAACTCACTCAAATTAGACTTCTAAAACTCAGTCGGTAGATATAAACACATGTAAATATCATTAATAATAACCAGCTGGTTTTATATATTCATCTCTGATGTAATCTGCAATTCATTTTGATAGAGTTCTTTTCACATGAAGTTCTTATCTGTGGCTATAACCCCTGTTTAAGTGGATTAGGGAAATCAAAATATCCTTGTAAGTTTAAACTTCATATGGATTCCATCAAAACTGGAGCACAGTCAACTCCAGCTCCTTGGCTGGGGATGTTATGAAAACAGCATCTGCTTTGTGTCACAGATTTAGCTGCTCTCGCCCGCTGTGAGGATGGACAGCGAGGTGCAGAGGGATGGCAGGATCCTGGACCTGATCGATGATGCGTGGAGAGAAGATAAATTGCCCTACGAGGACGTGGCCATCCCTCTGGTAGGTGAATTGCTGCTTATCAATCTGAGTTAAGGCTGCTGTGTTGATCACAGTCCCTTCCAAGAAAAGGCACAGAGTGTTGCTCGTGGTGTGGCTAATTTGTACAAGATGCTCCTGGATCTGACTGCTTCCTTGCCCTATATGCCAGTCATTCCTGAGTGCATAAGGACATGGATGCTTCTGTCCCTCGTCCCCTGACCAGTTGCTGAATCCTCTCAGAACTGGAGTACCCTTCCCATTGCACTGTCCTGGGTTTGGCACCAGGGAGAAGTAGAATCATCCTTTCTCTCTGCTTCCCTTTTTTGTTCCTGGTGTTTGAGGTACTTTCCTGGTTGGTTTGGAGAGAGAGGATCAGTCTCACTGACAGTTCCAGTCTTGGTTACTCCTTCTTTCCACTTCCTGCCATTGAAAGAAGCTGAGATGTTTTCATACATGTTTCAAAGCAGTCTTTTCCAGATACAGTGTTGCTGCTGGCAGTTCCAGGACAGCAGGGAAGGACTGGCAGGTGCAGCAGGATTCTTGCCTGCAGGGCTGTGTCCAGGGCATGGCACCTCTCCTTTCATGCAGCTGCAAGGCTGGAGAGGGGCAGCAGGGGAAGAGCTACTGCTGATCCCACAGAGCCCAGAGCTCAAACTTCAGATCTCCCCAATGACACCTTTCCTTAGCTATTTTGAAACTTCCAGGGAAGTTGGAGGCAGCTGAGGATTTTCCCTTCTCTTTTTCTGTCTGGTACAGCTAGCACAGATAAAGCAGCCATGGAGATTGTGTGGTGCTGGTTTCTTTCAGCAGAGAGACATTCCAAATTTGTGACATGGTTCAAGCTTTAGCCCTGCCACCACTGGCTTTTCAGAGAGAGCGAGGAGCAGCTGCCCAACTCAAAATCCATATGTCCAGCACATATTTTGCTGCCAAGAGTTGGGCTTGAGGGAAGCATCTTGCAGAAGCGTGAGTCTCAGCTAAAAGAGCCCAAACCCTCCTTTGCTTGGGATAACCTTTATTAGGCAAGCTGAATACCATAAACAGGTTCCTTGCTGACTATTGCCTTCACCCCGAGTCCAAACATTACTGTTTCTTCCCTTAGAGCCATCTCATGATGGCTCACAGTCACATACACATGACAGCCTCACCAACTACCAATAGAAAGAAAGGCCTGGCTGCAGATATCAAGATTCCCAGTCATGGGATTGGCTCTGATCACATAGAAAAACCAGCATGAATTCACAGAGGACTTACTCAGGGACATTGCAAAGAATCAACCAGAATGGCTGTGAAAGTGGTGTTTGAGCCTGTCCTGAGATTCTGCTCCAGTGCTCACTTGAGACATTTCTGGCAACTCAAATGGGTTTGGATCATTTGTTGTTTTCAAAGCTGAAACATTTTATTTAGCTCCTGCTGGGATCTCCAGAGGTCTAGAACTCAGAATTCCTGCCCACATGGTATGTGGCAGAATAGCACACACTCAGAGTGACTACACCAATACAGCAAGACAGAGAACAAATAATGTAAGGAAAATGAAATCTCAGTTAAACTTTCCTTCCCCTTACTGTGCCATGAGCAGCTCTGTGGCACACCTGGCAGGGGGTTCTGGCTTCTAATGTTGATCCAGCACAGCTCCACCTGAGTCCAGCACACAGACAGGAAGGACTTCTCACCTGCCATAGGAAAGTAACATTCCACAGAACCAGTTGTCTGCAGTATTTGTATTCTTGGCAACAGCAGAAGCAGCACATTGCAAACAAACAGTGGAATAATTGCATTGTACTGTTATTTACTTACTTTGCATTTGCTGTATATTCTCCCTCACTGCATGTGCAGTCTGAGTGTATAGCAAGGCCCCAGGGTCCTGGAAAACAATTTACCTTTCAGATTAAGCACCATATTCAAATGAAAACAATACTGTTCATGATGGGGCTCAGCAATATTTTTAAGTGGATCAGTATGTATGATATTTATTGTTCAGATGCACCCTCTGGTCTCGTTTGTGGGGTTTTGTATCTATCCATACAAATATAACAACCTGCTGCTTGCAGAAAGTGTATTACATGTGGAATGCATTCTACCTGTGTTTTGTTCTCAGAATGAGCTCCCTGAACCAGAGCAAGACAACGGTGGCACCACTGAGTCTGTGAAAGAGCAAGAAATGAAGTGGACAGATTTGGCTCTCCAGTATCTCCATGAAAATGTTCCACCCACGGGAAATTAGTGAATCAGTGGGATTTCATACAGTGGATGCATGAATGCAACATAAAAATATTTTTCAGCTGACCATTGCTGCCCTAAGGAGGAAACAACATTAGAGAAACTTTCAGACTCCAACAGTTGTTCTGCTCACAATGAAGAGTTTAAAATGCTTCTTTCTTGAATGTGAAATAGCAGAGGCTCTGACATCTCAGAGCCAAGTGCAAAATGTTTCATGCTTATAAGATTATTTCATGTTTTCTGTTAAATTGTTCTTAAATTGGTGCCAATTCTGATCTTAAATGTTTTCTACACGTGATTAAAAAGTTTTTACTGTCTCAAGTTGCAATTGATTTCAAAGCTCACAGTGGGATTATTGTTTCAGAGTCCAGTGTGCAAAACTCAAATAGCTGTGAGTTGTTGCCCTCTTTAACAAGTGTGTGGCTGAGGCAGGATGTGTGGGGCAGGTCTGAAAGGTTGGTCAGCAGAATCAAGAGCAGGGAGTAACCTTGAATTCCTGCTCTCAGGATCTGATGGTGGTGGTGGACAGCATTTCCAGTGCTGACATCCTGGGAATGTTTGCCAGTGTGTACAGTGTACAGACAGTCTACTTTACACTGAAATGGTGGTTACTCAAAATCACGGTGTTCCAAGGGATGGTTGAGAGCTCCAAGGAAGAACCTGCCAGTCCCATGTAGGGCCTCCTGCCGTGTGAGCCACTCAGATGAGCAACCTCAGATGGGAAATCAAGATTTTAAAAAAAGTGATGGGGAAAAGAAATTAGTAGGGCTTAGCTTCAGGCAACAAATTATTACCTCTTTTTGTATTGAGATGAAAGGCAAGGCCCTCAAGGACCTTATTTTATCTCAAATGTCTTTTGCAACAGGTAAAAGCCTTCTCTTCTTCGTGTTTCAAATTGGACCAATTCCGTCTCACCATTGGCAGAACTTCTTGCTAAGGGAAAATATTTTGACAGAGTTTAGGATTACTGGTAGAGGTGAGAAAGGAGCTGGAAGGAAAACAATGTTTAAATTATAATCTTTTGTCAGTACAGCAGAAAAAGTACTGTCCTGGAGCTTCCAGATCAACAAATGTTATTTGGTGTCTTTTTTCAGTGTTGATTTTCTCCAAAATAGCAAGCCCCAACTTTTGCCTGGGTGATTATCAAATGGGATCACAGCATGGTACATGTTCAGTGAGACTCAGATTGCTGAGCTGCTTGAGGCTGAAGAGCTCAAGGTGCTTGCGAAAGAACCATGCTAGACACATGCTCTGCCTCAAGTGATCCATGCCTGCACCACAGGAGCAGCACACACTTGTCTGAAGGAAAAGGAGCTGCAGGCAGCAGGAAGAGTTAAGGATTAACCTGAGAATTAGCAAAGTCAAAAAGCTTAATAAGTACAGCATGGACCAAAGAACCAGCTATGCCACTGGGAGCTGTAATAGTTCAGCTCCTCATTGGATCACCACCAAGGGAAAGAAAGCAGAGCCTGGGCTTAATCAGGTATTTCTAATCCACCCTACTCTCCCTTTCCCTGGCCTATGTTAGAAGAATTTGCTAAGAAAATGCCAAGCAAAACTACCATCCTACTTCTATCCAGCAGCCATCCCTGCTCCCTCCCTTCTCAGCCCTTTACAAACTCCCCACCACCCTCGTTTTCCCGATTTTGCCACTACACCTTTCAGTTCCAATTTCAGACTTCCTTTCCTGCCCCTGATAATTGTGTTTCCTTGGCAATCTCCTTCCTCCCATCCAACAAAAAAAAGCCTTCCTTACTTGAATTAGAGCTGCATTTGTGAGGTTCCAGCAGGTCCATGAGAAAATGTGGGAATGCCAGTTGTATGAGTGTTACCCAAGACAGCAGCTGCTTGGGAGCCCAGTGGAGAGCCAGACACCTTGAAGTGGTTCTTTCCCTTTGTCACTACACAGTGCTGTGCACTGTCTCCTGCCTGAGGTGGTGACAGCATTTGTAGAAGGGACCCTGGGCCATGGCTCTCAGGAGAGCAAGAAGGACATGGGAGATATTAGGGATCACCATGACATCTCCAAAGGCAGGGCTCTGTGAAACCAAGCACTGGCCCCACCCAGATGCTTATCAGGCTTGCAGTGATATCTACAATCTTCCTGACATTCTTTGCAAAAGACAAATAGACAGGCAATAATTTCCTTAGTTTCAACACGTGTAGTCAAATTGCTGCTCACAACTACCAACCCATTTGTGTCTTTGATTAGTCATCCCCCAAGGCAAACTATATTTAAAATAAGGAAACCTGCTAGAATAGAAGGTGCCCCACCTTCTTAACAAGAAGCTTCATTTGACTGGTCTTCATTCCTTGGCTGGTAACTTCCTGCATTCACCACACCTACTGTTACTGGCAGAAAAAAAAGCAAGCAAACTGCTGTCAGAGCCAGCAGACACATGCCAGAGAAATTGTGGGATCCTTCAAATCTCTTACCAGTAGAAGTTCCATGTGGAAGTCCATATGCTGAGGCTGTGTGTTGTGTTCATCTGCCTTTTGTATGGGGTGAAAACAGGTAAGAACTCAATTTGTTTTGAATGTTTTTGTCAAATATAACACATTTTCTGTGCTTTACAGCAACATGAATGTACCTGTCCTCTGCATTTACAGTTACTGCACAGGATTTCTCACTAGCATTATTTATTTTGGCAAAGCAAATTATTCTGGTTACATGAATGTAGTCAGTTCTAAGAGTTCTAAATGGAAAACCAGAACTATTTTTTATTATCTTTTCCTCCCTTTGCAAACATTTCTCTTATATAAGCACTATCCATCGACACTGAAAATGTCATTTGAAATCTTCAGAGAATAATGATTTCTTCTCAGGGGTGTCATGTATGGCAGAGGCAAAGGATGAATTACCATTTATGAACAGTAAGCTCCATTTGATAGCCTCACAGCCCTACAAGAACAAACCTGTGTAACAATAAACAAATGTACTGCCTTGTGTTAGCGTACACATGGGAGCAAGGCAAGTTACAGCTCTCTGCTTTGTAGGGAAAACAAACAGGACTAAAAAAACAGTGTTCTTATAAATACTAACTTGTGTTTCATTGGGTCCTCTGGAGTAATCTCAGGGTCGCCTTTTGCTTGGTTTGTTTGGTTAAGACTGTAAGAAATGCAGTCACAAGAAGTGGGAAAACGGAATGGTTTGAAAAGGCACCAGCGAAATGCAGTGAGCTATTGAGGACCAGTTTAGGAGTGAGGGCACACCCTCTCTGTGGAAAAGTGATGGAAATCTGCAGCACTCATGCTCTCGAGATTCATGGTGTGGTGTCAAGTGTGCTTAAAGGGGGAAAGATAGTGTTGATGGTTAAGACCAGTCTGATGACACTCATTGCACAAAGCCCAGGCAGGGCTGGTGGGCCAGAGCTCCTGCAGACACAGAAGCAGTGACACGCTCAGCTGAGCTCCATGCAGTGGAGCAAGCAGCTCTGTGTCCCAAGGACCACAGCTGGGACAGCCACACATCCAGCCAAGAGACCACTGACCCACTGAGGTCATCTGTTGGAACTTCCCTTTGCAAGAGGACAGGCTGGTAAAAACTTCAGCAGCTACTTTATTCATGCAGACAGCTCGGTACCACAGCCCCAAAAGGCCACCATGGCAAACCCTGCCTGTCATAGGATCAACACCAAAGAGAAAGCCTGCAAACACCATCTCCTAGAAAGGAATGAGCCACACCAGGGGAACGCAGGCCCGAAGAGCACTGACTGCAGTAAATACCAGGAGTCTGCCTGGGACTGTCCCACTCCCTGCAATGCTCCCACCTGGGACTATCTAACTTTGGAACATATATATATATGTGTAACTTCAGAACCAAGTTATTCTGAAGATGCCTCCACTGCTGCAATAGCACCTTGGAGGCTGATCTCAGGCTTGAGACCAAATGTGTCCAGCTCCCTGGCAGGTAGATGGATTTAACACATTTTTGTGCTCCCTGCTGCAGGTTCTGAGAGATCAGAGCATCTTGCCCAGCAAACCAGTGTTTGCCTCCTATTTTACACATCAGAAAACAGAGCAGAAGGAGAAGGGGATTGCCATGGGCTGTCTAGCAAACCAAGACAGGGCTGGGTACTGGGATGCTGGGTTAATGGCCATGTTCATTCCCCTTTACTGGAAGGAGGTGACCTGTTGGACATGGGTTAAGTACAGTGCCAGGGGATAAGTTTCTACCTCATTTATTTGCTTGCAGAGTAAATCTCACTAAGCCATCTGCCCCAGTCATCCTGAGTTTCAAAGACACTTCCAGGCATTTGGGTAGGAGTCACAGTGCTCAGCAGAAGGAAGAGCAAAGCCAGGTTAAGTGGCCCTCCTCATGTGTCAGTTTTTGAACACATGGTAGATGAGGCTGGGATTGGCACCAGCTTGCCAAAAGAGAAGCTGGCAGGTTTCCTCCCCTTATTAGCACTGATTTGATTTGGTTAATCAAAACAGAACCAATCTAACAGACCTGGTGCAGATACAACAAGGCTCTTTACACAGTCCCTGTGTTAGGTATCAGCCAATGCTGACCAGCTCTCTGAAAGCACTTCTGTACCAGAAGGTTTGGGCTGTTCTGATGACAAACACAGTGCTCCTCTGGGCAAGCCTCAGCACAGTGCAGGAGACACAGAAACAAATTAAGCAATCAGTGCAATCTTGCACCATATAGAAGTAATTCTTGCCTGGCATTTCTGCCTGTATTGCTACAGCTTCAGTAGCAGTAAAGATAATTAACAACACTATATAGTGCTACTATAGAATAACTAAAACAATGCCTAGTTATTAGTAAAGCACAGAGTTGTATTCTTTTATGCTGCAGTAGCACCTAGAGGACAGTCACTGAGTCTCACTGTGTGAGCTGGTGCGCATGAGCAAAAAATGTTAATTTTTCTCTGCTAGTTACTTTGGGATCTCCACAAGAGCAGTGTCACAGAACTGCTGCTGCTGTTTCTTACAGAACATCTTGGCACTGTAAGAATGAGCTGAGAGCAGGCTGGCCAGGCAGGCACCTTTTCCTCTTGGGAGCAGGGCCCAGAGTCACACTGCTCCTGGGAGCTCTGGGTGAGGCATTCAGAGGCAGGACACCCTGCATTCAAAGGGCTCTGATTTCACTGGGCCTGGCTGGGGGCTCATTTCCCACCAGTCCTGTCACACCATTCATATGTTACCATAGGCTTTAAACAGGAAGGACTCCATGGATTTCAGATGTTAAAATTTATTTCTGAATTTATGGTAGCAATTAAAAATATTCAGTTGGACTTAACTGCAACATCCTTTTAGCCTATTAATTTTTATTTCTAGAGCTCCTGGGGCTTCTACAAAGTAATTAGCAGAACTGTGGTAACTGAGAAGATTGTTTTATGTGCTGGGCACACAGCATTTATATCACTCTCATGCTCCTGATTTCCTGAGGAGGAGAAAAGGAAAGTTGCTCATAGAAACTGTGAGAGTTTCATCATTCAGAAATTAAAATGCACAGAGCATTGGAGATTTGCTAGAGCATAATTAACTTACAGCTGCAGGTTTTCTAAACCCTGCTACCTACTGAACAGTTCTTTAAGCAACAAAGATCAGGGAAATTCCTCTAGGAACTGTAGCCTGAACAATTACTGCAGCCCAGGACATATGTGTGAGAGACACACTCTCCCCCACAAGGTTCTTCAACAAGATTATGAGGATTTGAGGGAAAGGATTGTGAGCCAGGAAGAGGCTACTAAACCTGGGAGGGCCTTCATAAGTAGTGTTTGTCAGGAGACAGTTATTCCATTCCCTGACAGTGCCCTGTTGGAGTCTGTATTGGGCTCTGAAGGCTCAGTTGGTGTTGTGCTGGAAAAGCAAAGAACAAAGACAGGCTTTCCAATGGCACAGGTCATCCCACTGAGCAATACTTAGATGAAATTCAGTTACACTTCAGCTGTGTATAAAGCACAGTTACCATCTCACAGACCCAAGGGTGCCCCATTTTGCAGTCTGGAATACCAGGCCACATCTGCACACACAAATGAAGCATTGAGCTGCCCCTCACCACAGCAAGACCCTCTGCAGCTGGGCAGCTCCAGGCTGGAGGTACAAACCAACCCCAAGGACACCTGTTTAGCTGAGAACACCTCGATGCAGGATGACCCCCAGCCAGGGAATAACATGCAGTGATCCAGTGATTCAGAAGGCTCTTCAATTGCTTTATTAAGCTATACTATATTACATTACATAACATACTAAACTCTATACTAAAAAAAAACCCATGACCCCTCACAGACAGTCATGACACAGCTTTGACCTAATTGGTCAGTCAATCCAAACAACCATCACCAGAGTCCAATTAACAAATCCCTTCTTTGGTAAACAATCTCCATAATACATCCCACGTGTTCCAAACGACAGGCACAGCAAGTAGAGATAAGAATTGTTTTCTCTTCTCTCTCTGAGCTTTCTCATCGCCTTCCTCAGGAAAAATCCTGGGAGAGAGAATGATGTGTCTCTCTGCTCAAAAAGTATGTGAATATCACACAGAACCTGTCCAGAGTACCTGGATGTGCTCACAAACCAGTACAGTAACCATCCCATCTGTTGGTCTCTTAATACCTTCTTCACATCAATGAGATTTTTGGACGGAGTCCCTGCCAACTCCCAGCTGCCACAGGAAGCAGGGCTGTGGTGTTTCAGGGAATGATGCTCCAAAAAGGTGTCATTGCTCTCTGTGTTCCAACACAGCAAGAAAACCTAAGTTCCAAGGTAACCTCAGTGATGAGCATGAGAGAGTGGAGAGGGAAAGGGGAGACAGGAGCAGCCTCTGTGCTCAGACAACTCACAACACACTTTCCTGCCCTGTGCAGGGTTGGCAGGTACAAGAGGCTGAAGAAAACCCCTTGGTGCCAAACTCCAATTGCCACTGTGCTCCTTTCAGATCCTCAGGAGACATGTCCTGCATTCACAGCCCTCGGCTTCGGGAATGCTTTGATAGGGACAGATCTGAAAGTGAAGCTGCTGCTCTACACCCGGCAGAACCCAAACTGTGCTGAGGAGCTCCACTCAGCAGCCTCCACATACCTCAATGTGACCAAGAAAACGACCTTCATCGTGCACGGGTACCGATTCACAGGTTCTGCCCCCGTCTGGATCCCTGCCCTGGTGCATCTCCTGCTTTCTGTAGAGGACATGAACATCATCGTTGTGGACTGGAACCAGGGGGCAACGACTCTCATCTACAGCTATGCTTCCAGGAAGTGCAAAAGAGTTGCTGAGATTCTGAAGAAATTCATAGATGAAATGTTGGTAAGTTGGACGCTCATGCTATGATACAGTCATTAAGGCACAGTATGTAAAGGGCACAAAGGAAGTGCTTAAACCAGCAGGAAGTCTGGGAATAGAAACTCCTAAAAAAGGAATACATTAATTTTTGGAAGTGCATGTGTATTGCAGTGCCAAATCCTACCCTTGGATTTGGTACAATGGTATTTTGGTGTAATATTCAGTTTGCACTCTAAGTCTCAACATTTCCGGGTACAAAGCTCTCCAGACATGTTTTCCTATACATAGAAGCTCTACTTCTACTTTCTGTACATCCACAGGGAGCTTAAGGGGATCAGCTACATTTCACAGCTCCTCTAAGGTGTTGCACAGGCAATGATGATGCTGGATCCTTTAGGATCAGAGTGTCTGCTAATTCCTTGCAGGAACCACATGATAAGCAACTGGAATTTTACTCCTGGGGCCCATCAGTGGTTCCTGTCCACACTACTAGTCATTGCCCCAGGAAAATACAACCATTGGCTGAACTGTTCTCGTCACAGCTCTCTGAGGTATAGGTCTGAAACAGGAATGCTGGCTGCCCTGTGGGATGGTCAAAGGGGAAATATCTACACAGAGCGGAACACTGGGAGATGTCACATCCTCCTCCTAATTTTTTTCTTCCAAAAACACATGACCATGAGTACTTTTACATCTCAGATTGATGGAGCGTCCCTTGACTCCATGCACATGATAGGAGTGAGCCTGGGAGCACACATCTCTGGCTTTGTGGGACAGCTGTTTGACGGCACACTGGGAAGAATCACAGGTAAGCCCTCCTCCAGCATCCTCCTGCAACAAGGAAGGGCAGCGAGGAGATGCCCACCCACGGCTTTGTGCTGCAGGCCTCGACCCCGCGGGTCCCTTGTACAGGGGCACGGCGCCGAGCGAGAGGCTGGACCCCACGGACGCGCAGTTTGTGGATGTCATTCACTCCGACACCGACGGTAGGCGACATTCCATCCCCCTGCTGCACACGGGAACCCAGGGACTGACCGGGAGGAGGGGAAGGGGGGCTGCTGGTGGGCAGCAGCGCTGGGGGTCCCCGCTCTTCACTGAGCATCCAGGGTGCTGTGCTGCCCATGCTGTCCCCAGCTCCCTCAGGAGCTGCTGGTTTATTTGCATCCCAAAAGGTGCTGCTGACACAGCAGTGATAACCTGGCCCAGGACTTACAAGGACTTACTTAGGAATCAGTGGAGCACAGTCCACACACCACCATGCCACCACAGGGTCAGGCTGCATCCGAGCACACAGCATTTCCAGAGCTGGTCCCACAGCTCAGTCACATGCACAGAAAATCAATTATCCCCAACCACGTTCCCCTGCGTGATGCTTCCAGTCTCCATCCCACCTCTCAAGAGCTAGACTTTCCTCTAGGGCAAATCTGGACTCTCCCTCAGCCCTGTCCTTTTGCAGACCCACCAGCCAGGCCAGCAGAGCAATGCCTAGCCCCCCATGCTGCTCCCATGGCCACCCTACCCCTAACACTTGGCTTTCCCACCTAATTGCTGCCTCTCTTCTCCCAGCCCTTCCAGGAAGTCAGGTTTCAGCAGCACAGCAACATCCAGGTTTCACATCCCTCCTCCTCTCCTGCACACAAGTGACACAAAGCCCCCCATTTTGTTCTGCTGCATGCACAGACTTATTTTAGGTAGTTGATACCACTGTTAAAATGATCCAGCTGGGTCACAACTGTTTGACCTTCTGCCTAAACAGAGGGATGACATTAGTATTCCTGTACAAGCAGGCATCCAAGAGCTAAATAACTACTATTTTTTCCAGTTAGGTTGCTATATTTCATTCTTGTGCATTTTACAGTTTATTGTTCCCTCCTGAGCCCTGGTATTCCCTTTTGCTAGGACTGGGTTATGGAGAAGCACTGGGCCATGTCGACTTCTATCCCAACGGCGGGAGCGACCAACCAGGCTGTCCACTGACACTCTTTTCTGGTAATTAATCCTGCCCTGAATTGCACAAACCCTCACAAAATGTTTCCAATCAGAAAAAGAGGAGAAAGCCAGAGAATAATCACCACTGCTTAGAAAATACATGAAATCCATATTCTGGGAAACCCATGGCAGCAATTTCTTCTCAGCACTGGCGTGACAGGGATTTAGCTGGTGTGCAACAGGCAGAGATGAGAGTCAGGGTGACCTCTCTGTGCCTCTGTCACAGTGCAAGTGGGACTAATCCTCTGTGTAAAAGTCATCAGGTAGATGTGTGCCTTTGTTTTGTGGCTATGTCCAGAAAATCCGTGGGATTGTTTCTAATTATTTGTAACACACGAAAGCCCAAGGACTAGCAGTGGCAAGGACCTGTTCAGAAAACAGGTTCAAGATGAATGTGGAGCAGGCAGTTATCCCAAATCAAAGACACCTTCCTTGGCAGTGACAGAAGGTGCAGTCTGGAAGGCACAGCCCTGATCTTGAACAAAAGAAAGCTTTTTTCCCTTTCAGCCTGGCAGCAGAACTTGTTTGATGAAAGGTGGGTGAAGAAGATACCTTACAGAAGAAAATGCAGTATTGTGAATTCAACCCTTATCAGACCCAAGAGAATCTACATAGGAGAGCAGCCTGAGCCAAAAATCCCTAGGAAATGAGGCTTCACTGATTTTGCTGCTCATGCAACAACTCATTTTATTAGTTATGTCTTTCTAAAGAGTTTTTTACACCAAAATGGAAAGTCATGTGCAAAGCTAAAAGCAATATCCAGCTGTCAGGCCTGAGGTCAGAGAGGAGAGAACACCAGAGTCAGAACTTGATCCACAGTTAGATCCTCGAGAACTGCAGCAATCACACAAATAAATGTTTTTAAAACCAAAAATACAAGAGGAAAAGCAAAGCAGACACAAGGCAGAGCTGAGTGCACTCACAGGGAGAGGCTGCTGCCCACCTACTGTTCTGCTCCCCAGTGCAAATTGTTGGGTTCAGACCCAGCTGTCCACTGGTGTGTCCTGAGGCAAGAGGATTGCTAATGAAATATTTCTTTCCTGTACATGATTAAGGATTGCAGTATTTTAAATGTGACCACCAGAGGTCTGTTTTCCTGTTCCTGTCCTCCCTGACACAGAGCTGCAACATCACCACATACCCCTGCAACTCGTACAGGAACTACAGGGATGGCAAATGCACCAGCTGTGAATCCTTCTGGCCCATGCCATGCCCCATCCTAGGTAAGGATCCAGGGAGTGTCAGTCCATGCTGAACACTGCGCTGCCTGTCGGCACTGTAACTCAGAGGGAGTTTTGCTGGAGGAATAACATAACATAAATAAAGTTATTTCTACTGAGGTGTTTGAGATATCTCAGGTCTGCTCCTTGTAATATCACATCATGTTATGATCTAGAACAGAAATCCACAGGTATAGGGTCCAGAACTAGAAAAGCCAAAACTAAACTTGGGATCTTTTACTAAAGTCAGAAAAACAGTGAATTAAAATCCCTCAGTTGCAGAGTTTGAGGGACAAGGGCCTGTTCTTGCTAAAATAAGATTTACAATTAAATTCCCAGCATCACAAATCCTTCTGTGCTCTAAAAGGAATGGCAAATGGGTGAACAAAGGGAATTCTGGACTTCTGCCCCAGCCTGGGTGTGACAGCCCAGCCTCAGTCTGGCAGCTCTGAAATGTTGATGCTAAAACACCTGATACTTCCAGAAAGGAACTGGCAAAGCCAAGGGGATGATTTTCATTCTGCACTACAAAATAAAACCCTTGACCATGGACAGCAGATGTGGAAAAAGATCAGCTTGAAGAAAGTGCTGAACAGTAACCAGGCACATTCAGTCCTAAGCCTCTGGGGTACAGGAGGATGTGTGTCAGTGCTACTTGGCAGCTGGAACACAAAGCACTATTTCTTAAATATTTGCTCATTTTCAGCCATTTAGTGGCTCATCTACCTGTGCACTAACTTGGTTTCATTTCAAACTGTCACCTGCAGGTTATTATGCCTATGAGTGGAAAAGCTATTTAACACAACAGAGCCATCCAGTGACAAGTATGTTTTTCGACACAGCGGACAAAGAGCCATTTTGCAGTAAGTGACTGAGATTGCTGAGATTATTTTTCTTTGTGCACTGCCTCTGTCAGCAGCAGCCAAGCAGATAGTTATTTGCTGGTGGTGTTACAGCCAGCATTTTAGAAACTACAGTTGCTGCTGGATGGAATTGTGTCCATCTGTGGTTTGCCATAACCTTCTTTATCTGCCAACCTGTCCAGTGCTTGGAAAGCCAACTTGCTTACAGTTCTAGGAAATTGGTTAAGAACTTTCAAATTAAGTATGAAAGTTCCCAAATCATGTTTCAAAGCAACATACCAGTCTTTTGTGAAAGAAAGAGGTGTGTGGGAACAATAAGAGAGAAAGACAGGCTGTACAGGTGAAAAAGCTACCCTGGAGAAAAGTAAGAGGCACAGGGAGAGGAAGAGAATCTGTGGAAAAAAAGGTTTCACCAAGGTAAAAAGTTTCATCTCATCCCTGTGATTACCAGCATACCAGGGCATGGGCTGGGATTATGGCCTGAGCTCCAATGCTGGTCAGCAAGTCAGACTCAAGGAACAAAGAACAGAAAATTCTGCTCCGTGACAGAGCTGACAGATACAAAGAACAGAAATGGAGGGGTTCAGAGGGGGACTGAAGAAAGAAATACAGTCTGGAAGTGAAGGGGGAAGGCAGGCAGTGAAGGGCAGTGTGCTGGGAACCACACAGAGAGGCCATCCTGCATGGACAGCCCTGCTGCAGCGCTCTCCTGACACCTCCTAGTGTTTCTGGTTGAAATCTCTGCAAAGAGAGATGGAGAGCAGGCAGGACAGAGGGATTTTCCAGACAAACTGCAGGGCCTGTGTCCATCTGCTACCCACAGCTCTGCTCCCAGACAGTGCACAGCAGGCTGAGCCCACAGGGTCTAACCCCACTTGCCCTCTCCCCTCAGTCTATCACTACTTGGTGGACATTATCACATGGAACAAGGACACCAGGAGAGGCACCTTCAGCATCGTGCTAGCTGATGAAGATGGGAGGAGGGCAGAATCAAAAGTTAATCCGTAAGTCTTACTGGTCTGAGCTTTTCCAAGTGTTAGTGCATCCCTTGGTACAACTGCATCCGGGAGGAGGTGACACATCCTCCCCCAGTTTCTCTGCTGATACCTGCTAGTGCACATGGGATTTCCTGGCCCTACGGGATTTATTGGCCCTAAGAGATTCCCACAGCCTCCCCCAGCCCTGACAGCCCAGCCTTTTGGTCTGAGCCCTTCTCTGTCGTTTTAAGGACTGAAGTGGACAATCTCAGCCAGCAGCACAGCTGTCCTAGGCTTCCACTAAAGCAGAAGGAAAAACATGTCTCCCTCTTTCCTTCCTCTCAGAGGGAGTGTTCTGTTCTAGTTCCAGTGCCCAAGACAGCTGGGGATTAACCTGGGCCTGAATATGTCACATTCAAAATCAATTCATTCCACTCAGAGAGACAAATTAATGGTGTTTATGTGACATGCAAATTCCTGATTGATCTGAACAACACCTCAGCCAAACAAACCTGCACAACTAGTTCTCCCAAGTTTCCCTAAGTGCCTATCTGGTATCTGCTTGCACTGGAGCAATCAGCATGGATCCCACACCAAGGCCAGGGCAGATTTCATGCATATCTCAAAGTGACTCAGTGTTCAGGCCTGCACAGACAGCCAGGTACAAACATCACATGGCTCTAGTCCACCTGGGATCAAAGCAGAATCACAGTGAAAATTCTGGGCCAAATGGCATCCAACCTCTGTGTCCCCACTTCCACCCCAAAAAACTGAGGGCAGAAGTGGCTGAGCAGGCTGGCACCTGGAGACCTGAATCCATACCCATTTCCTGTAAATCAGAAACTGATCACAAGCTCAGGCCTCCTCCCCCAGCCTGTTTCTAATACTACAGTGACTGCATTAAACCCAGTGCTATTCTCTTGGTGACTGACACTCTCTCTTGTCTGCTTTACCTTTAGAGAAGCTGCCACCTTCCAGCAGTACAAACAAATCACTTTGCTCATTGGGTTTGACCAGGATCTTGAAAATGTGGAAAGAATTTCCTTGACATTTTCCACGGGATCTGTCATTGGCCCAAAATTCAAACTCAGGATTCTCCAGATGAGGTTCCACTCACTGACAAACCCAGAAAGGTGAGCAGATGTTTACAAACAAACCATTTCTGTTGGTGCAGACTGGAAAGAAGTAAAGGAATCTCCCAGATTCCTGGCCTGGCTGAGTATGTGCAGAAGAATTAGATTTATTTTACATTTAGAAATTCACATACATATATCTTGGGAATAAATTCCTGCTTAATGGAATCCCACAGCTGAATATTTACTTGAACACAGAGGCTGTCTCATTGCACTGGGAACATGTCACATGTGATGTGACTGACGTGGCCTGACACCTTAACCTTTGGTCAGGAAAATTACCTTTGGGAAGCTGCCCAGGCCTGAACCCCAGGATGTAGGGAAATGTAGAACTCTGGGAAGAACACATGTTCAGCCCCAAACACACATTTTATTTCCCAGTCAATTTGTATGGCTAGTGAAGCAGGGAGATTAATTTACTCCTGGAACTCCAGCAGTGGGAGCTGCTGGCTGCTTTGCCCCAGAGCCCTGGCTGGTACCCAGAACATCAGGGGGTACCTCTCAAGACATTGCTGATGAGATTTCTGTCACCTCATTAGCCTCTGTCTGCTCTGCTGTCCTACCCTGAAGGTTCCCACCTCTGGAGGCTGGGAGCTCTGCCTGAGCTCAGCAAGCACAGAATCTCTTGTGCTGACTCTGTGTGCAAGGCCACTGTGGACACCACACCATGCTCTGAGTTTGGCTTAAAGCAGGGCTGCAAGACCACAGGGTCAGGAGGGTGAAGCAAACAGACATACAGAGCTGCAGAACATGTTTCTTTGCATTTCATGAGGTCTGCTACCCTTATCCTAGACTTGGAACAAGGAAAAGACTGTGTGTATCTACTAAACGAGGTCCTGCAGCTCTCCCTTGTTGCCACTCCCTGCCTCCTGTCCCACACCTCCACAGTCACTTCCAGTCCCAGATACACATTTAGTCTTTTAAAAAGCAGACACTAATGACCTAATATTTAATCCCAGGATGCTGTCTCTCCCTGAGGAAGGGCTGCCACAGGCCATAAACACAGCTCAGGACTTTGAGCACATCATCTCATCAGTCACTGCCACAGGGAGGGATGTCCTGCCCTCTCCCCTTCCCTGTTGCTCAACCCACTACACAGGGCTAATGTTCACATTTCCCCAGTGAAAGCCCAAGCATTTTCTCGGATTTTTTGGCTGAACTAGCTCCAGACCAGATCTGTGTTTGGACCCAGGTCAGAGCAGTGGCAGAATTTCTCATGCCTGGAGCAGGGAAGGGGCAGGAACAGGCAGGTGGGCTGGAAGGAACACCTTGTTTGGGGAACACAGGTGTGCACTGGCTTAAAGGGAACCACGGGCTCTGCAGCCAGTGCCTGTTTGTTTGCTGGATGTTTTGTGATCCTTTTTTTCCACAAGTAAAAGATAACGAAGAACAGAATGGTAAAATGCTCAAGGTATCCCTGGCTTAAAGCCAACCTCACTTCAGGTGGACTTGGAGCCAGTTCTCTTCAGAAGATGACTTAAGTAGGCCTCCAGCAGGTGGGGAGATGACAGAAAAAAAAAGTTTTTTTTTTTCACTTTTGGCCGTATTTTCACACAGACCCCAGCTGTGCCGATACGACCTGGTCCTGACTGAGAACACCCAGAAAACCTTCAAGCCCATCCCATGCTGAAGCAGGATGCCGTGCCCGGACGGGGCAGAGTCATTTCCCCGCCGTGTGGGACTCACCTGGTGGGCCCCGGGCGCCTTCTGTGGGGACCGAGCCGCGGGACCCGCTCTCCACGCAGTGTATAAATGGGCTGGGGGAGCGACAATAAACCATGGCGGCACTCGGTTTTAAAGCGTGGTTTTAAAAGAGGGGTTCAAAGCGTGTGTCCGCGGCTGAGCCGGCTTGGAGCCCTCACGAGCAGCAGGTGCCGGCAACTCACACTAACACCCTCAGCCCCCTCACACCCACGCCCGCCATCACTGCCCCAGCCCCGCCCCGCGCCTGCGCAGCCGCCTCGCCGCGCTGAGGGCGGCACGGCCGGGCCGGGAGGGGCCGGGTTCGCTCGGCTCGGCTCGGCTCGGCCCGGTAGCGGAGGCCGCGACCCGGGATGTGGCGGCGCCCGGCTGGGCTCCTGCTCGTCTTCTCGGCCGCCACGGCCGCGCTGTGGCTGCTGTCGGTGCGGCTGAGCGCGGGGCAGGCGCGCAGGTGGGTGTGGGCGGCCGGCGCTGCCCGCGCGTCCCTCCCTGCCCCCGGCGCTGCCCGAGCGTCTCTCCCCTCGCAGGGCGCTGCGGTTCCCGGCGGACCTGGAGGAGCTGCGGGATCTGGCCGAGGCGCTGCGGGACTACGAGCGACAGCACCGGGGCGCGGCGCTGGCTCTGTTCTGCGGCGCGTACCTGTACAAGCAGAGTTTCGCCATTCCCGGCTCCAGCCTCCTGGTACGGGGAGGGCGGCGCGGGGCGGGGGCCGGGGACGCGCGGGTCGGGCAGGAGGAACCCTCAGCAGCACAGCGGGTCGGGGCTGTGCTCCTGGAGAGCAGCTCTGGGAAGGCTCGGGGGTGTTGGTGGATAAAGCGCCCTGAGGGCCAGGAAGGTCGGTGGGTCCTGGAGTGCCCCGGGCAGAGCTTGCCGGCAGGTCAGGGAGTGACCGTGCCCCTCTGCTCAGCCTGTGAGGCACGGCTGCAGTGCCAGGCCCAGATCTGGGCTCCCCAGGAAAAGAGAGACGAGGAGGAGAGGGTCCAGCGGAGGCCACAGAGAGGTGCAGCTGCAGCATCTCTCTGATGAGAGATGGTTAGTCTGGAGAATACTGAGGGGATCTCATTAATGCAGCTCCACAGGATGTCAGAGGATGGTGCCAGACTCTGTTCAGTGGTGGCCAGCAACAGGACAAGGAGCAATGGCCATAAACTAAAACAAGAAGTTTCACCTCAATCTGAGGAAGAACTTCTTTCCATGGAGGGTGGGAGAGCACTGTGAACAGCTGTCCAAGGGAGGGCAAAGTCTTCTCTGGAGGCATCCCAAACTCACCTGTTCCTGTGTCACCTGCTCTGGGTGACCCTGCCTTGGCAGGGCATTTGGACTGGATAATCTCCAGAGGCCCTTTCCAACCCTAACAATTCTGTGGTTCTGTGACACACTGTGTCCCCCAGGCCTCACTCCATGTTGTCCCCACAGAATGTCCTGGCTGGAGCACTCTTTGGACCATGGATGGGGCTGGTGCTGTGCTCAGTGCTCACATCTGTGGGAGCCACCCTCTGCTACTTGCTCTCTGCAGCTTTTGGCAAGCAGCTCATAGTCCACTTCTTCCCTGAGAAGGTGGCTCTGCTGCAAGGGAAGGTAAGAGCTGGCAGCCCTGGGCCAGGCTGCTCTTGGGGTGACAGTGAAAGGAGACAGTCTGTGCAGGGGATGCACCAGGCCTGCTGAGGGCACAGTCTAGGAGCAGGCAAACCTGTTGGCAGAGGTGCTGCCAGGAAAATCCTGGATCTTAAGGAAAAGCAGCTATGAAATACAGGAGGGTTTGGGAGCTTCTGTGCTCCAGAACTGCCTCCATCCATCCCATCCTGTGTTGTACACTGGAGGTGGTTCTGCTCTTGACTTCTTGTTCTTTCGTTCTGGTGAGATCCCATTTCCACCCCTTCTTTGAAGAGGGCTGGCTCACCGTTAGGCTCCCATACAGACATACACAGGATTGCTGCTTTCCCTCAGTTCTGAACTGATGGTACACTGTGGCATGTTAGAAGAAAAATTCACTCCAGTATCGTGGCCATTTGAATGTTACTGCTATTTGAGGAGCAGGAATGATATGGAACGTTTCTTTTGGCAGGTAGAAGAGAACAGGAGCTGCTTATTTTTCTTCTTGTTGTTCCTGAGGCTGTTCCCCATGACACCAAACTGGTTCCTGAACCTCTCGGCTCCCATTTTAAACATCCCCATGTCCCAGTTCTTTCTCTCCGTTCTCATTGGTAAGGCCTGGGGACACGGCCTGAGGTGACAGTGTGACACTGCTGCTCTTGGTATCACTGAGCCAGGGAGGGCAGAGTTGGGACTCTGACCCTTGGCTTGTTTCCTCTATGCTGCCCTTGAGCAGCACAGAGGTGTCTGGAGGTTTCCCCAATGCTGCAAATTTTGCTTTACACCTGGTTCTTTCTGTTACAAGCACAAACCCCAGTGTCTGTGTAATGGCTGTAAATTAAAAAAACACTGAGTTCCACCTCAACATGAGGAAGAACTTTCCCTGGAGGGTGGCAGAGCACTGGAACAGCTGCCCAGGGAGGGCATGGAGTCTCCTTCTCCAGAAACATTCCAAATTCCCCTGGACACATTCCTGTGTCACCTGCTCTGGGTAGCCCTGCCTTAGCAAGGGGGGTTGGACTGGATGATCTCCAGAGGTCCTTCCAGCCCTGACAGTTCTGTGATTTCTGTGTCTGGCTTTGGGCATATTTAGCTAATTCTCCCTAGGGGGGGAACTAACAGCTTTTTTCTGCTCTGATTCCTTCAGGCCTTACACCGTATAATTTCATCTGTGTGCAGACAGGGGCCATTCTGTCCCAAATCACCTCTCTGGATGCCATCTTCTCCTGGGACACGCTGCTCAAGCTGCTGGCCATGGCTGTGGCAGCGCTGATTCCAGGGACCCTCATCAAGAGATACAGCAAGAAACACCTGAAGCTGGATGGTGACAAGCAAGCTCAGACACTAAATGGCAGAAAGAGCTTGTGATGGCTTAGGTGCCCCAGTTTTGGGGTAAAAGCTGCAGGACTCTCTTCCCAGGGGTTATATTCTGCATGCTCTGTGCCACTAAGGACAGTGGCAATTTTTAATCATCCTTCTCATCTCAGAGGAGGTGTCTGTTCTTATTTTTAATGAATGTTTATCTGTGCATGTATCTGCACGGAGAGAGAGATACAGGGGCTTTGTGAACACTCAGTTAATTTGCCTGTTTCATTTAAATCAGTCTCCTGTGTGCCTGAGGCTGTGGGGAATAAAAGGAGGAGTATTGGCATCCTGTGAGGAAGGCAAACCAGAACCCAGCTGTGGATCACTGGCCAAGCACAACCCTGCGGGGAGTAGGCAGGCCCTGCTCCCTCCAACTGCAGACAGATTTAGCATTTTTGGCCTGAAATGATGAGCCATGTGCTCCTGTGCTCCAGTGCAGCTGTACAAGCACCAAGCTGAGAAAATAATGGTGTTTCAGGGTGCAGCTGTAGAAGATTCTTCTTTGATTCCCATGTTAAACCAGCACACTGCAGCAAAATGCTCAGGATTTGAGCTGCCTGAATCAGTCATGTGAAACACTTGAGACAGCTTCTCTGGTCTGCCAGTGGCTGCTACTCCCCAGAGAGAATAAAGGGGAAAAGAACAGGAATGGATGTGCCTGACTGGCAGGGATTTGTCCTTCAAAGGCACCTTGAAACCCATACATTTCGTCCTGTATAACTAGGAGGTTTCCATATAAAGAGGTGGGCTCTGTCCCAGCTGTGAAGAACATAGGATCCCAGAATGGTTTGGGTTGGAAGGGATCCTAAAGTCCATCCTGTTTCACCCCTTGTCATGGGCAGGGACACCTTCCACTATCTTAGGTTGCTCTAAGCCCCATCCAGCCTGGCATGGGACACTTTCAGGGATCCAGGGGCAGCCACAGCTGCTCTGGGCACCCTGTGCCAGGGCCTCAGCACCCTCCTCCCCTTGGGATGATACTCTGCTCTTGGGGTTTTGGTATTTGCTCTCCATGGGGAGATCCACCTGGAGGATAAAGTAACATTCCTGGTGTGGAAGGGGGCAGGTGGGAGACCCCAGAGCAAGGCTTCATGACATCATTCCAAAGTCCATGAGAACCCATTCCCAGATCACCAGACCAGCCTGCAGCATTGAAGTACACTGGCTTTTTATTCCATGCATTGTTTGCTTTGATAGTCATTCTTGTTTCCATCACTGTACACTGGTCAATACAAAAAAAAAAATCAAGTTTGTCTCAGGAATCCACAGAGCAGGGAGGAGGGGATGAACACTACTGGACAGGGCCAAGATGAAATGGGTACTTAACACGACAGTGGGGAGGGCAACATTCAGCTCTGGGAGAAAATCTAGGCTAGTGTTCAGGAGCTGTCAGCAGCCACAAGAACTGGATCAGGGTACTCGGGATGCTGGAAAGGAAACCCACAGTTTACTCCGGCCCTGGAATGCAGTGCTACTACAAGGAGTAAGCAGCTCACCTACACCTCTCAAGCCCAGACCCTGCCAGGAGAGGAAGTGCAAGGAACCACAGCAGAGGTGGCCATACAGCAATGAGGGGTCTGTGTCTGTGCAATCCCAGGGAGGTGTCACTAAGGAAAATCCTACATAACCCCCCCAGAATTGACAGCAACCATCCTGGGAATGTGGGGGTGCTGAGCCAGCTCTGCCCACACCCAGAAAGGCCATGGGACAGTGTGCAGGGGAGCTGGGGTGACACCTCTATGGGCAGGGCAAGGGGCTGCCCTAGCAGCATTCCCAGAGGGATGCAGGGTCAGGAGCAGTGACACTGCACTGGAACAGTGCAATGACCCGGGGGTGTGAGAATAGACCTAAATGTGGCAGGCTGGAGGGGGCAGCTCTACTTGCCCAGGCTGCAGAACAGGCCAGCATGTCCCCAGGAAAGGATGGGGAGGGATCAGCTGCATCCAGGAGAGCTGGCCCAGAAGGGTCTCAAAATCCCAAAAGCTCTGCAAGCCCAGTGGAGCTTCAACCCCTGGTAGAGCCTATGAAGAGACCACAGGTACCCAAATCCCTCTGGAATCTGTCAGGGACTAGATCACCACAGGCCAGAGGCCCTGGGGACAGGGACAGGCCTGAGCTGGAGGCAGCTCTGCTTTGGGGCTGTTTGCGGGACTGCCCAAGGATACCAGTGCTGCCCATGGGTCTCCCAGAGCCTGCCAGGTCTGTGCAGAGTCTATCCAGGGACACAGGGCTTGGCATCCTCTGATGGGAACACCTGATGGCAGTTCTCCACCTCTCTTTATACCACAAGGTGTTCTGTGCACACAGTTCTCCACTGCTAAATTCCCACACCTTGGCCTCCAGCCTCCTGAGTAACCATCTGCACACCAAACCCCCTCTCACACCACAACAGCAAAGCCATCTCTGGCCTGCCAGCTCCTCCTGCCACTGGCCAAGAGACAAAGAACATTGGGGAGGAGAAACAGAGGGTGGGAAGAGAGAGGGAAGGAGCCAGGAAAGAGCTTCTCTCCTCACAGGGTTCTGCCTCTGCCCAGAGCAGGGTGAGCAGGTCACTCCCTCTCCAGGAGCCTGTTTGGTCCTGCCCAGATAATCCACTACATGGACCCACTGCCCAGGGCAACTACCCTCCTCCCTGATGTTGTTTTGGATGCTCTGGCCAGGGAACTCTTGTCACAGTTATTCACTTTGCGATCCATTCAAAAGCCCCTCACTCCCTGACCACCCTTCCCACATTCCCACCAGCTCAGTGGCTGCCGACCATCAGGAATGTGAGCAAACACAGCTCTGCCCACGAGGAACCTGACTGCAGCCATCCACCCCTCTCTGTTCTCTGCCCTGGAGTAACAGCATCCCTGGAAATCACGAGAGGCAGCAACTGCTGACAGCCACTGAGCCCAGCTCTGCTCCCACCCCTCTGGCGAGCAGGGAGAAGGTAACGTCACACACAGAGATTACAATTGTGCTAGCGGTGAAGCCAACCTTCTGATCTACAGAAATGATAATAAATAATAAAATAACATCATAACTTAAGATCTGTCTGTAGTCCAGCTACAAAAATTTAAAAATATGGGATAATTTAACTCATACAATACTGCTCTCTGTATAAGTAAGACATTTTCCTTCACTTTGCCATGAGGCTATAAATTACCACAGTTAAGTTCAAACCAATATTTTAACATAAAATGTAAACAAACAAAGCAACAGAAGTACCTGTCCATGGTCCATTCCTGCCATTCACCTCTGGCTGACTATGACAGCCAGCACACTGGGAAGGGCAGAGGGAGAGCTCTTGCAGGGGGACATCAACTAAGGAAGAGGGGGGGAACGTGCTCTATCGTTTTGTTCTCTTTCAATATTGTTTTAGAAGAGTAGTGTTTGAAGGGAAGGCACTATGAGTTCTATCAGAAAACAAATTTTTCTCATCTGCCAATGCCTCGGCCTGTCACATACCAGTACTATCCTCACTTGCACCTGCAGAGTTTCAGCTTGGAGGAGAAACAGAGGCCTCAGGACACACCCGAGACACAGCGGTGCCACGGCCATGCCAGGATTCCCTGCACGAGGCCTGCCACGAAGGGCAGGCAGCTGCTAATGCTGCCAAGAATGTACAGTGAATAAGGAGACAGGGCAGGGCTGATGCTCTTAGCCAGGCCAGGGATTCCCAGTCTTCCCCCTCAGCACACAGCCCTCTGCTGGTTCTCGATGCTGCTGTAGGTGAGAGGCTGCTTCTCCCAGTCCACTCCAGGCGTCTCCAGCGTCCTCCCCAGAAGTGCTCGGGCTCTGCGGAATGTGCTTTCCATGCTTTGCAAGTCCTTGCTTGGCCAACACTGAGTTGATTGATTTCTTTGACTGACTGAAACAGACAGGAGGTAAGAGGAGGAAGTAAACTGGGAAATGGCACACTGCATCTGAGAGAGGTTTCCCTGCTCAGCTGGAGGTTGACACTCCCAGAGTGAAGCAAGGACGGTGGTAAGAAGTGCTCTGATACCAATTCTCAAGAGGACGAGGTTAGAATACATTTGCAGGATCTCACAACAAAATGCTGATTAAAAAAAGAAACTAAAAATCCTTAAAATAAAACCCATCATTACATTCCTGGGGATGTATCGACTCAGAAGACCCTGGTTGTTAGCACCTCAGTACCAGTTTTCTCCAGGAACATGTCCACCTTCTGATTAAAAATGACCCAGCTGGTTATACTGAAAACACTTTGTTCACAGGTGACCCTACAGTCAGGTCTTTTTCTGCTTTTCCTCATTTGATAAGACTGAGTGGTTTAGTTTTCTTGATCTGTTCTCCAATCTTCAGGGCCACGAGGCCTGGTCCCCTGTGCAAGCAGCAAGAGAATCCCCCGCGTCTGTACACAAAGCTGTCCAGGCAGGACTCCCAGGATGTTTCTCCATAGTGTGCTTGCTTTCTGAACGTTTTTTTTTTTTTTGCAACAAGTCTGTGTGTCTATAAATACAATCCACTCTTTACAGTAAAAAGTGTTAAAATGTCAAAAAAATAAATATCCATGTTACAGTAACTAGATTATTCAATAAAATACATCCCTGCCATTCTTGATTGAAATGCTCAAAGAGAATTAATTTCATTTGGACATTTTCCAGAGATTCGGGTTATTGCAAATCACTCCTGGGGTGGGAAGGAGAAGCATCTTCTCTTCCTGTAAAGTGTGATGAAGGGGAATGAAGTGGAATCTCAGGGAAATCAAAATGCCAGTACCGGGAAGCTTTGGGGGAGATCTGTATTACCAAGTAGCAGAGCTGCAGGGCTTATTGGTCCTGACCGTGGCATCAGAACACTCCCCTTCAGAAGAGTCACAGTCTGATTCTCCAAACTGTGGTGGGTTCTGCAAGACAAAAGGAAAGGGGGAGACTTGAGCACCATTCCTGTACTGCACATCACCCACACGTCCCAGTCTGTCACAGCAGCCAGGCAAAGGTCACCACCTGCAGAGGAGGAGAGTGGCACACATGGGAGAGGCACAGCACACGACTGCCCCACCAAAGGTCACCTGTCTCCCCTAAGGGAGGGGACAGCACAGAAATACCTGGTCAGAGCACTCTCAAACACAGGCTTATGAGGAGATCATGCAGCAGGCTCTGCTCTACCCCTCCAAACACTTGAAAGGCAGAGAAAGGAAGAAAGCCTTCCAGGCTTTGTCAGCAAGGCTGACGAAGGATATGTCTGAGGCAGTTTATATCCACTCCATTTCATTACGTATTTTTATCCCACGTAATGCAACTGCAAATCTGATAGGTTCCCAACATCACACTCATCTTGACCAGCACATTATGTTCAGCTTTGTTTGTGCTACTTTCCCCCACCCACTCTTCTGCCAAGCAGGAAGAAGATTGGGTATTGCAGCAGTTGCTTTGCCATAGTACACCTACCACAGCATTTTCTGGGCAGTGTTCCAACTTTCTGGCCCTCGGATTCCTTTCCATAACATTTATGTAGTTTTTTTCCACTGAGAGAAAGGACAAGGGGATAACCAACTCACCTCACAGCTGTGTTCATCTGCACAAAGTTTGCCCAGAGACATCTGAGTCTTGACCCTGCGCACAGCACACTCTTTGTCCGAAAGCCCATCCGACTGCGTGGAGATTTCAATGGGGATCTCTGGAGTCTGGGACAACATGTCCTCCAGCTTCTCAGCCAGCTCATCCTCCAGCTTGGTGGCCAGCTCATCCGGGCTGTTCGAGTGGTCGCTTGTGTTCCCCTCCTCTCCATCTGACACAGAGAAGTTCTCAGAGCTGAAGGTCGAGTAGGACTGGCAGCTACTGATGCAGCGGTGGGGTCTGCAAACAGGGAGAAGTTCAGTGTTCACCTTGGATGACAGTCACAGGGAACTTCCTGGGTGCTGTGTTCACTGCTCTGCTACACCAGGCCTTGTGGAGTGCCTTCCACATCCTGGAGCTACAGAATTCTACCCTTTGTGAATGACATAGTTCAAGATCTGCATCTTGAAATTCATCTGTTCTTATCTGGTCCTGTCTGATATGTCCATGTTAGCTGATCTAACCTGGAGCATATTTTTTCTTGGACAGTGCATTTTCCTAAAGTGCTAGGCTGTACTGTGGAATTCTGTTTAATATTTTTATTGATGACATGGATGAGGGGATTGAGTCTTTCATCAGTAAATTTGCAGATGACATTAAGCTGGGATTGTGTGTGGATCTATTGGAAGGTAGGAGGGCTCTGCAGGGAGACCTGGAATGGTTGGATGGATCAACAGAGTCCAAGGAGATGAAGTTTAGTAAGTCCAAGTGCTGAGTCCTGCATTTTGGCTGCAATAACCCCCTGCAATGCTATAGGTTTGGGACAGTGTAGCTGCATAGTGCCCATGCAGAAAGGGTCTTGGGGGTACTGCTGACAGCCAGCAGAGTGCCCTGGTGGCCAAGAAGACCAAGGGCATCCTGGCCTGGATCAGGAACAGTGTGGCCAGCAAGAGCAGGGAAGTCATTCTTCCCCTGTACTTAGCACTGGTGAGGCTGCACCTCGAGTGCTGTGTCCAGTTCTGGGCCCCTCAGTTTGGGAAGGACACTTGAGCACGTCCAGAGGAGGCAGCGAGGCTGGAGAGGGGCTGGGAACATAAATCCTGTGAGGAGCAACTGAGGGAGCTGGGGGTGTTTAGCCTGGAGAAAAGGAGGCTCAGAGGTGACCTTATCACTCTCTATAACTACCTGGAAGATGGCTGTAGTCAGGTGGGGCAGGTCTCTTTTTCTAAGCAGCAACTGATAGAATGAGAGGACACAGTCTTAAGCTGCGCCAAGGGAAATGTAGGTTTCATGTTAGGAAAAAGGTTTTCACAGAAAGAGTGATAAAGTACTGGAATGGTCTGCCCGGGGAGGTGGTGGAGTCACCATCCCTGGATGGGTTTAAAAAAAGATTGGAGGTGGCACTCAGTGCCATGGTTTAGTTGAGGTGTTAGGGCATGAGTTGGACTTGATGATCTTAAAGGTCTCTTCCAACCCAGTGATTCTGCGAGTTCAAGCTAACCCACAGGGAATACCTGCATCACCTGGCAGCCATCCCAAAAGCTGGCAGGATTTAGGACCATCCACTCAAGAAATAAGCTCACAGTTACTTAACCACAGAAATGGCCAGGATGCAACAGCAATGGGACAACACATCAGTTGAGGGAACACACAACTTGTCCTCCTAATCTTCCAAGTTAGTAAATCACAGAGGACACAACATTCCACAGGAACTGTACAAGTCACATAACTCATCCAGCCCAGCATTCTGCCTTCAGCCCCAGGCAGGAAGGAATAATCTGAAAGAAGTATGAGAACAGGGTATGCAGACAGAGTCTGCTTTGTCCTGGCATCTCTTCCTGGCCTGTGCCATTCAGCAGATCTGAGTTCTGAGCAGAAGCTCTAACCCAGGTGACAATGCCAACAGTTACTGATGGATCCATACTCCAGAAATTCTGCACTTACAGCTCTTCATGCTTTGATTTCCCCAGCACACCTTGACAATGAGCTGCACATCTGAAAATGTTCTGGATAGAAAAAGCACTTCCTTTTGTTCATTTTACCCTGTTTGCTTCACTGGCTGCCCCTAACATGAATGTGAAGAATCATTCCTTGTCTATTTTCTCCACATAAATTACAATTTCATGCACCTCTGGTGCTGCCTTTCCTCCTGCTAGAGAAACATTTCACATTAGTTTAATCTCCTCTTTTACAGAAACCATCCCTAACCACTCTTGTCACACTTCTCAGTACCTTTCCAAACTTTACTGTGGTTTTTGAGCTGGGGCAATGAAGGGAGCACTAGGATTTAAGCTTCAGGTGTGCTGTGAATGCACACAACAGGAGACAAGATTTTATTTTCTTCTCTGCTCCTTTGAATCAAACCTTTATCCTGTTTGCCTACTGGATCACTCCTGCGCTTGAAGCAGCTGTTTTCATGAAGCTGCAGCACCAAGTCCATGATGTCTTTCCTGAGCACAGTACTGTAAATCCTACTGTTCCCCAGGTTTATGTAGGAACACTCCCCTTAAGTCTTATTTTACAGGCTACACCATCAAATTTGATCTGCTGTTGTCACTTGGCTCTGCAATCTTATCTGAATTCAGCTACAAAGGTGCTGGGCTGGAGTTTTACCCACTGCAACAATTAATAAACAACACTGGGAGCAGCCCACAAAGAGTTCCCACATCCACTAAGTCTGACCCTGGTGAAATACATGCAGCAGCTCATTTACAGAGGCAGAATAATGTTATCAAGTGTGATCAAGTTGTGCTGCAAACAGCCTGCAGGAAAGCCAGCAGGAAAGCTGGGCCAGAGAGAACATCTCAGGATGGGCTGGAACAGTGAGTGGACATGACGGATCAGCCGAGGGTGGGTGGGACACACTGAATGGGATTCTGCTCTTTTGCCAGCATCTTCACCAGTTTCAGTGCTGGTGTGCAGGAGTTATGAGAGTTCTCCTCAGTTTTGTCCCACCAAAGAGAGATTAGAGTGAATTCACCTTTTACCTTTGTCTACGAGGAAACTCCACTTCACTGTCAACTTCGCCCTCTTCCTCTTCTGACGACTCATCCCCACTCTGGCAGAAAACAAGGACAAAAAGGTGTCACATTTGGGGAAGTTCAAACATAGCTGACCCTTGGTCCTTCAGGACAAAGCCACTACAAAACAGTGCAGAAATCTACAGGCTGCAAGAATGTAGACCAGAAAACAGCCTGTGTGTCAGGAACACTGACTCAGACATTGTCACCCAGAGGTTGTTTTAGACAGTCTCAAGGCTGCTATTCCCAAATCTGGAGTGACTGACTGGGAAACACACTGGAGTATTTCAGCAGGTATGGAGTACAGAACGTGCCAGATACTCACTGAAGCAAATCAAGTACTGAGTATCACAGGAAAACCCACATAAATTATGGAGCTGATTTGGCCCTCTTGGCTTCACCCTCTTTACCACAGCCCATCAATAGGGCAGGATGGAGGATGACACAGCCTTTGCCAATGGGTTTCCCCAACTAGGAGAAGCTGGGATTTGTTTTATGCCTCAGTGAGCACACACCCTTTTATTCTCCTTCTCCCATCCAAATTTATCCCAAAACTGTTGTTTTTTTACAGCCTCCTTCTATCCTATCCAGCCTGTTAGCCGCTCATTAAGATTAAGCCTTTATCTCATCCCACCCCCTTGTCTTACAAGGTCGTAGTCCCAACATGCTGGGGCCAAACCACTCTTGGTCTGGTAATGACACTATTTTCCTTGACTTTTCCAGCCAGGCTCAGTTTTTCTGCTCTTTGAACTCAGACTGGTTCTTATTTCTCTCACCACCTGGACAGAAGCAGAAGGAACAAAGAGCTGCTTCTGTACAACTCCAGTTGTTGCTTATAAACAACTGTGCCATAACCTTTTACTCTTGCAGAATCTTCACAAAATATAGAAGAATTATGACTTTCAGTGCAGGGGGACAACTTCTGCCAGGTGCTGCAAAAGGGATGTCCTCAAGACCATGGCAAATGTTGAATCTTTGCCCCGAGACACAGCAGCACCACAGATTCTCAAAGAAACTCTCATGTGATATTACAGAACAATTTCAAGAATGCATTTATCCCTTCCTTTGGAGAAAGGCTTGAAAGCATTTTGAGACCGTTTCAACATCAAAAATTCAGTAGAACAAGCTGCAACTCAAACCAGTTGGTGGAACTGCACGTAACAGAACCAGGCCCTACCAAAACCACACCTTCAAACCCCAGCGCTCTGTCCTCACCTTTTGGAGGGATCTTGCTTTGCAGGGCAGCCCTGAGGAAGCCAAGTGCTGGGGAGTGCCCAGGGCGGACACCGCCGTGCCCTGCTCCTCCAGCTTCTCCATGAACTGCGCGCTCTCGTAGAGGGACGCGGGGGACTGGGGGCGGCTCCCCCCTGGTTCCACAGACGCCATCTGCGCCTGGCCACTGTCCTCATCCCTGCACTGCAGGCAGGGGTCGTAGGGATCGGCCTGGCAGCACTCCCAGCGCTCGGCCGTGCTGTCCTTGCTGTCCAGGCCGCGGCGGCAGTCGGCCTCCATGGCGGTGGAGATGAGGTCGGGGCTGGAGCCGGAGACGCGGCGCTGCGCGTGGTTGCTGAGGGGGCTGCGCAGCGCGGCCGCGGGCCCGAAGTACCGCAGGTTGTTGGCGCAGGTGGCGATGTCCTGCCCGTGGGCGTGCAGCCGCGAGTGCTGCCCGTGGGGACTGAGCCCGGGCTGCTGCGGCGCTGCGGGGGCATGGGGAGGGTGGGGAGGGCCGGGCTGGGGGGCGTCATCTTGAGCTGGCTGGTTTTTCAAGATCCCTGCAAATTCGTTGTAGCTGCCTTTGCTGTTCCCCCGGCGGTGCCGGGGCTTGCTGCGGTACCGGCTTTTGCCACTCAGGGTTGACATCTTGGGACTTCCTGAGACTGGGGAGCCATTGGATGCTGCTTCTGTGCTGGGTATACCCTCTGACTTCAGTAGATCTGGCCTGGGAGACAAGGAGAAGAAGTTACATGTCAAGCCACAAACAAAGAAGTGACACCGGCCCAGAGCCAGGATGAAGAGGCAGCTGGAGCCAAAAGCACCCTCTGCTCCCTAAAATCTACAGGCTGCCCTCCCCTTCAGCTGCTTGACTCATGCATTTTGGTCCCTGTGATTCTCTCCACTCAACATCCTCTCCATTCAGCCCATCCTGCTCTACACTCTTGTCTTGCTGTTTTTACAATAGCTGTCACACACTCTCCTTTTCCGCTCTTATTTTGATGTTCTCTCCCAAAATAGCTCCCTCTCAGGACCTTGGTGTAGAGCATGGCTGTCACTCTGTGCATGTACAATGGTGGTGATCAGGCTGCTCATCTAAGAGCCATGTGGGGATATTAATTCAGAAGTGATTATTCACTTGTAATCAGGACTAACCCCTGGAAATCCCCAAAAAAGTAAAGACTAAGACAACCCTTCTAGAAAAAAAAACAATCTCCCTATCTAAAAGTCATGCAGAAGAGAAATAACAGAAAGGCAAGCATGAATTCCCAAATCTCAAATCCCAAATTAATTCCTCAACAATGAATCCATCCTTCCTGAGGCCTGCCTGATTTCCACAATCCCTTGCCCTGCTTATTCCCATCCAAATCAAAGATGATCTTGGACAGTTCGGAATTTGAGAAAACACAAGAGATACCTCCTCTGTCCAAGCACCATCATCTGCTCAAAAATCACATGGACCAACAATTTATTCATTCAACCAACACATCCTGTGATTCTGTGGTTCCAGAGAGCTGCCTAGGTGACAGGGATGGCAGGATTCATCCCTTTCACCTTAAGATCATTAAACAATTATGATTCTGAGGATCAGACCAAGCTCAAGTGTGAAACCCCCTTGTCCCACCCTGCACTTCATCAGGGTCAAAGGGAAGGAACTGCCCAGTGGGGATCTACCACTGGCCTGGGTTGTTACTTCTCACCGTTTGGTCTGGCTGCCTGGTTTATGGGACACCCCTTTCCTCTTCATCAATTTCTCCACTGTATTGGGGTGGATGATTGGTCGGACTGGGTGGCGTTTGTAAGTTCCAGGGTACTTCTTTTCCACTGCTTGTTCCCTCCTGAAACATCAGGGAAAGGAAAAAAAAGAAAATCACATCAGTTCTCTCTCTCTACACCTGCTGCTCCCGCTGGACAGGAACTGGCTCTGCAGGGAACAGTCTGCATGCCTGATTGCTCTGCTGGGAAAGCACACAGACACTTCTAAACTCCTTCTAAATTCCTTCTAAATCAGGCAGCAGGCACAAGGCCCTGGCACACATTCCAGGAGCAGCACTGCCATTCCCTTCATGCATGGGCCAAAGGATGCCAGCACCAAATGGGAAGGTGCCTTTCTCCAGGCCAGTAACCACTGATGGTGGTCTGCAGGAATTCACTCCAAAGGGACCTCTCCCTGCTCACCAGCAATTCCCTAACCTTTGTGGTTACTCAGGGGACACTAAATCTCCAAGTGGCACTATCCAGTTCAGAAATGAAGTGCTGCTTGTGCTCTGCTGTGTGCAGGCTGTTCACAGCACCCTGCCCAGACACGTACTTGATGAGCTCCTTCTCCCGCACCTCCAGCTGCAGCATGATAGCACTGAGCTCCATGTACAGGTTATTGGCTCGCTCCAGCTTCCTCTCGTAGTGCTCACGGATATCTAATGCATGTCTGAAAGGCAGAAAAGGCTTTATTCCAGCCTGACTTCCATGGACCAAGAGAAGAGAATGAGGAAAAAGTACAGGTGCTTTAGGAAAAGGCCTTTTAAAAGTCAAATTTGCCAGCTGTACTGCACTGAATCCCAGATACAGCTAACAGTGAATGATGACTGATTAAGAACCTGACACAGCAATAAATCATGGTATGGCTTAGAAAGTGTTTAACAGCCTTGAAAGTGTGGCAACACTTCTCCCTAGAAGGGCTGCAAATGCCTCACACACACCCAGGAGCCCTCTGGCCAAGGCTTGATCAGCCTGTTTGCACAGAAAAGGGGCTAAACCAGCCTCTACAGAAACAGGAAAGAAGTAATGTGCCTGTATTTCATGAACAGCAGGGTGTCCACACAGCTCCAGTACAGCTGAAAGATGTGGCCATCCAAAGCTCCCTGGGGACAGGGAACACTGAACGACCACTACATCAAATTCCCTGGCCAAGGGTCCCTTTGACTCTTCAGGTTTGACACAGAACTGCTTCTTAGAGTTTTATGTTTCTCTGTCTACTGTATTTGCAAATTTGTATCACAGGATACAATTTCCCTTCTTTAAATAAACCCTCTGCTTTCAATTTTAAGTTGGTATAATCAAAATGCATTTCAGTGGGCTGTTTATATGAAGTATGTTCACTTCTCTGTAATAAGTAACCCAAAGAAAGAATCAGGGCAGAGAAAGCTCACAGCCAACCTCAGGATGGATTTCCCACTGAGATGGATGTCTCTGCTTCAGTGCTGTTATCACAAACACCAATTCTCAGGCAGAAATATTCCCTAGGAAACACACAAGCCTTTGCCACCTTCTCTGGAGCAAACTGTTGAGACTGCCCAAGAACAGCGACAGCTCCCACAGCTTCTCTCCAGCTTCCATCAGCCAAGCAGTGCTCATGGCCTAGGCCATGCCCATGGGAATTTTGGTTTCTGGGTTCACAAGGAATTTAGGCTGCCCAAATTTATACTGCCAGGAATACTGCATCCTGTTTTGGGAACCTCAGCACAAGAGGAGAATAAAAAAAGTCAGGAGCTGGAGCAGGAAGCCCTGTGAGGACAAGCTGAAGGCTCATTTAGCTGGGAAGGGAAGGCTGGATAGGAAAAGCAAACAGTACACATGAAAGAATGTGAACAGACCTCAGCTCTTCTCTCCGACGGCGAATCAATTCTTCATCCAGCCGGTGGATACAAGTTCCTTCACTTTTAATTTTCTCAAAATGTTTCTTCACTTCTTCTCTCCATTCAGCCTAGGAAAGCAATTTACTTTTAGCTATTTACAAAGAACTGGGATCTGTAGGTGTACCACAAAAAACTCCTGGGTAATGTTGTTTGTGTCTGCAGAAAATTACAGCTTTGGGTTGAGAATGTATTTTTGTTAGCTGAATTATTTTGGGTAACAACGCTGCAGCACATTTAGTGCCAGCATTTTCAAATGGTATTTATAATTTTGTGATTCAAACAGAGAATTTACAACATATCTGCATTTTCTAAGAAATATTTTTTTTTAATTCCTAGAGTTCTTTTTATCCTAAGAGAACATTTTTTTTCTTTTGGCAGTGAAAATAAGTAGAAAGGTTCATTACTTTGAAAGCCCCATGATGATGCCTGTGTGGATTGATACTCTATTTGCCCCTTGAAGCCCTGGTTCCTGCAGCAGAAATCTCAGTAAAAGGTTTCCAAAGACCCATCAAGTTGCTCCTCCCAAGAATCAAACTGAAATCATGGATCCAGACTTTCTCTACTCAGTGCACCCTCCAGCATCAGATCCTTGGAGCTAATTCCATACTCACAGGCTACAGCCTTTCCCCACTTACCTGGGATTTGAAGTAGGTTTCCTGAGGAGTAGCCAGCACATCAGCAGAGGCAATGTCCAGGTGCATCAGTGTCTGCCGGAAGGACGGACGGTTCCGGGGCTTGCTCTGCCTGAAACAAAACAAACAGCCAGGGCTGAGGTGAGGGATGGGCACTGCCAGCCTCTCCTGCCCTTCTGGGGTCAGGGAGGGGCACTGCCAGCCTCTCCTGCCCTTCTGAAAGGGTCTCACTAGATCCTGTTCTCTGAACCAAGCAGCTGACAGGTTAGAGCAAAGGAGCTTTTCTGGTTTTCTGTTTTGCTGAATACAATTTAATTGTGCTAGAGGTGGTTTGTGATGACCCATTCTGAAGAAACAAAGGAAGGTGCAAAATGTTTAAGACCAGAAAATGAGACTACAGAGTGAAAGATCACAGAAAAGTACAAAATCTTTTGGATTTTTGAGAAAAAGGACCAGCACTTGAGTTTCAGCACCAAATCCACCTTGCACAGGGCAAGAGCAGTTTCTTGAGCTTTCTCTCCCCCAGCAACCACCTCCTTCCACTAGGTGGGGATGCAAGTGTTTGTAGGTACTCTGTGGTACCGAGCTGCACAAGCTGCCACAGCCCGGCTGCTGCAGCTCAGGGTAAGCAGCCACTGGGAGAGATCCACACGTGCTCTGGCCTGTTGTCCCCTTTGTGCCATGGGGAGGATGGCTGGTAAAACCCATGGAGTGAGAAAATGCTGGAAGACCCTTTACACGGTGTCAAGATGTAATTACAAAGACAAAGCATCGATGTGAAACCCAAGACAAAGAATTTCAGCTCTCATCTGGTACATGGAGGAAACTGAAAGCATTTTCTATATGTGAACCTGGAAAATCTGTGTTCCAGACAGAAAGCTTGTATTTCTCTTTGTGCAGTCCAAAAGCCAGTCCCTCACAAGGGGTTTTCTGACTGAAAATAATCAGCTCCCTACAATCTGGATGTGGCCTCAAGGAATTTTACCCCTACTTTCCTTCCAGCTCTTTTTGTCTTCCCACAGAGCCACCTTTTATCCCCCACTTTGCTACAGCAAAGCAACACCCTCTGTGAAGGCTCCTGAAGATGTCCTGGCATCCAGGCCTGTTGCCACAAGGAATCAGAATCCAGAATGTCAGAACTTATTGCTCTCAGGACAAGTGTGAGAGCATCTCAGAGCCCTCTGCTCTGGGCTTCACCCTGACTTTCATGGGTTTTGCTGGGAGCTAGCCCAAGGTCTGTGCTTTGTGGGGTTCAGGCTCTTACCAGGTTTGCTTCATGAGGATTTTGAAGCCATCTGGGCAGGTGGAAGGGACAGGAAGGTGGAGGCTGTTACTGCCCACTCCCCAAATGATGGCCGAAGAGTCCACGTCTTTGTAGGGAATCTCTCCTGTGAGCAGCTCCCACAAAACCACCCCAAATGACCTGATGAAGAAATAAACCAGGATGAATCAAGTTCACACAGAAGCTGTTAATGAAACATCTGGAGCTTGAAAAAAAACCAGTTTGTTAGGCAAAATAGGGAAATAGGGATGTCTGGTCCAAAACTGCAAGTAGGTGCAACAGTGATTTTTAGCAGGTAACTCCTCTGCTCCAGCACTGGGCTGAGCACAAAACCACACTGGTTTCCACCCACCCTTTCCAACTTCTTTGTGAGATTTTAAAGACCCTGAAAGCACATTTTCTGTACAGATTAAGTCTTGTTCCTCTTAAATGAAGAGACTCCAAAGTCTACTCTCAGACAGACTTTGGACTGTTCTTGCTGGTAAGAACAGATGATTGACTACTGCACAGACTGACAAGTGTCTTACAGAGACAACACAACAAAGGTTTTGTGGCTTTTTTACATTTCATTTAACTGGTTTTGTTTTCTTTTCCCTAACCAAAGGCTCCCTCTGCTGTTACCTGTAGACCCAGGTAAAAGTTTCAAGGTTTGAGACAGCACTACAACTACTGCAACACAGAAATTAGGAAACAAATGCTACTTGCATAACTGTCAGTACCAAAAGCACATGAGGTCTCATCTGATATTCCTTTTGTTCTGAAGAAAGGAAGGATAAAGCAAAAAAAGAAACAAAATTAAGAGAACTCAATCAGGGAAAGAATCTCCAACAAGAACTGAAACATGTAGTTAAGAAAACTCACTTTGCTTCTCTTCCTTAGTGAAGTTATCAGAAAGAACCAAAACCTTAATTTTTACCAGCAAACATTTGTTTTGTATACAATCATCACCTGATAAATCACCAAAGAAACCCAAACCAGTCAATACAGAGGTAAACAAAATGCTGCTGAGAACCACCACCACTGTCACTGCACATCAACAACTGGGCTGTGGTACAGGTGAGGCACAGCCACCCCTATCTCCAAACCAGACCTGCCACCTCACTCTGTCCCATCCTCTGTGGGACACCAACCCTGCCAAGCTGCAGGCTACAGCCAGGTGAAAGGTGAGATGGATGTTTCTGGCTTGTACCAATACCCAGTGCTTTTATTAAGTACAGAAGAACTTCTAAGGGACAAACTCCCAGGTCTGAACAACCATCAGAGAGGAAACAACTTCATGTGAAAAACACTGCACTTTCAAAGCCCAATCATGTGTAAAAAAAAAGCAACAAGCAGAATTTGAGTACTTCTCGCCTCAAAATCCTTTTCTGTAGGCTGCAGGAAAGCAGGGATCCAGGAGGTTGGACAAACTACCAGGGAAAGCTCATCTGGTTTCATATTTGTTATGACTAAGCTGACAAAGGATTTCCAAGACTCCTGATAAGATTATAGATTTATTTTTCTGCATGCTGTTAGAGATGAGAGAGAACAGGCATATAAGCAGCTCAGGAACTGTTCTCATTTGTTGGCAGCATTCATGAACATCATTTTTATTCATCTTGAAGGAGGAATGGATGGTAAGGGAGAGTCTGAGCAATCACCACTGTTGTGAACTCCAGGGGAACTGGCACCAAAGAGCAACATTTCCACGTCACTGAGGGAAGGAGCAAAGGTTTTACTGGACAGGATGTTCTGTGAAATACTCCTGAACAGAAACCACTCTAAAGGACAAAAGCTGAGGGTGGAAATCCAGCACCACTCGTCCTCACAATCCTGTGATTCAAAGAGAGGGGTTCAGCAGACAAATGCTGGGTGTATTTCTTTCCAGAACAACCCAAGTGTTCTCCCAGAGGAGCTGGCTGTGCTGTGACCTGGACACCAAAATAAACAGTCAGGACACCGTGGGCACAAGAGCAGCTGCACACCACAGGTAATATCACCTGCCCTGCAGGAAATCTTGCCCTTCAGGTCAAGCCCAGGCCAGAGCTAGAACTCCAGCAGCAGCTCCTGACTCCACTGCACCCTGGACCACCCACAGCTTTGTCCAGCAGCTCCCTGCCCTGTCAGGGAAGGAACAGCATCTGAAGCTGAAAAACCACAGGAAGCAAACTCCCTCCTGGCTGTAAAGCAGGGAGAAGGGCATTTGTCCTGGCTGCTGACATTTAATATGCAGAAATAATAAGGCACAAACAGACATGCAGATCCCTTGAGGGCTCTGGAACCTGTGGAGAAGCTTCCCAAACGAACTTCAAGGCTGAGCCCTCTCAAGCATTTTCAATAACACAGAGACTGAACCATTCCTTGCGTTCCTTTGGACACAGAGCATGTTCCACATCAATGGAAACAGGTTCCAAAACTCTTACAACCTGTTCTGGTTTCCTTCCTCTTGGATCCAGGATTGGATTCACTGGATTGTAATCTTGGGGCTGCCCATACAACAACCAGCCTGCTGTGCAGGAAGCACAAAGGGTGAGGAGCAGAGCAGGGGCCTCCCCACGGCTCCAGCATGGCCCTGAAGAGAACCAGAAGCAATGGGAAAACCACGCTGGCTGTGGAGGCTGCTGAGAGGGCCCTGAGCACAACACTGGGAGAAAGCTCTGGGCTGGATAATGACACAGGGAAGAACTTCTGCATTTGCTTCCTGCAAGACACAGACTGCACTGAACCTCAGCTGGAACCTGCAGGTCACATTTCCCTTTCCATCAGAGCCCAGCAAAGCTCAGGGCACCAGGCAGAAGGAGAAAGGAACAGCCCACCACAGAGCAAACCATGCTCAGGCACAGGATGAGGAAAGGACATGGAAAGTGCTGGGAAACCAAGGGACTGAGGAGAAGGTGAAGGTGAACACGACTCACCAGATGTCCACCTTCTCGGAGACGGGCTCGTTCCGTATCACCTCCGGGGCCATCCACGCCACCGTCCCCGCAAAGGACATTTTGGTACTTTTGTCACTGAGCTCTTTAGATGTACCGAAATCTGAAATCTTTACTGCATCTGTGTGTGTAACCAAAACACTAGAGAAGAAGAAAAAAAAAAGAAGCTGTCACTATTTTGTGATTTTTTTTTGCACCACAACAGCCACAGGAGTAAATCCCTTTTTAATCAATACAATCTGTTGGTGAGGCCACACTGCTCACAAGTGCAGTACAAAAGAAAAGATTTTGTATTTTCCCCAATAAAAGCTCTCACCCTCTTTTGGGTGGTTGTGTTTTGTGCCTTAAATGCATTTCTTAATGCTATGAGTCAAAAATCAATCTCAATAAAACTGCAAATTAACAAGTAACTGAGAATCCAGAGCCAAAGCTGTACCTTAAACTGTGCTTTAAATCATCTAAAAGCATTATCTTAATGCACTGTCACAGACTAAAGAAGTAATAAACATCTAGGGAATAAGAATATAAAGAAGCCAGAACATTTTAGTCAGAAAACAACAGAGAAATGAGAAAGACACATTCCAGAAAACCAGGGAAATAATAGGAGAATAAGAGGGGAAAATAAAAAGGCAGGAGGCAACAGAATACCCCACTTTCCAAAAAGTCAAGATATCATCAAATCATTAAATATTTCCTGACTGCTATTTATCATGGAAGATACCAGTAAAATTTTCATTCTTTTTAAGTGCCAACAAGTTGATATAGAGTCAACATGGGGGAAAAAAAGAGCAGAGCCTTTCGACCAAACTTTAAACTATTTCTCAAGAAAAGGAAAAATAGCCCCAACCGAGGGATGTTTAAGCATCTGGGACCCACTTTAATGGCCTGAAGAACCACAACTGGGGGGTGTTTAAGGATCCGAGACTCACTTTGATGACCTGAAGAACCACAACTGGGGGACGTTTAAGGATCTGAGACTCACTTTGATGACCTGAAGAACCACAACTGGGGGACGTTTAAGGATCTGAGACTCACTTTGATGACCTGAAGAACCACAACTGGGGGATGTTTAAGCATCTAAGACTCACTTTGATGACCTGAAGAACCACAACTGGGGGGTGTTTAACTTTGGTGACTTGAGGAACCCAAACTAAGGGATGTTTAAGCAGCTGACACTCACTTTGGTGACTTGAGGTCTCGATGGATGATTTTGTGGAGGTGCAGGTAGTTCATGCCACTGGCAATCCCCGTGGACCAGTCCACCAGCAGCCGTGGGGTGACCTTCCTGCCGGCCCGCAGGACCTCGTAGAGCTGCCCGTGGGCACAGTACTCCATGATGATGCAGTAGCACGGGGCCTGGGTGCAAACTCCCCTGTCAAAGAGAACACACAGTGAGGAGCAGCACACAGACAGGAAGGGTGACCACCACTTTGTCCTAGACACAGCTTAGCTCCTGGATTGTGTAATCCTTCCCAGAGAGCTTGAGCAAACAGCTCGTGCCTGGACAAAGCTCCTGGCAAGGGTCACAACCTACTTGAAGGCGATGATGTTGGGGTGCTTGAGCTTGCGCAGGTGCTTGATGTCCGTCTCGTTCTGGTCCCTCACTTTCTTGATGGCCACCTCCTCTGCCCGGAACTTGCCCAGGAACACAGCGCCCTGTGCCCCGCTGCCCAGCCACTGCAGCTCCGAGATCTCCTCAAACGGCACCTCCCACGTGTCTGGGCACAGGGGAAAGACGGGATAATGGAAAAGGTCAAGCACATGGAGACTGTCAGAGCACACCGGGGCAGCACCTGCCACCTCCTGCACCACAGGGTGGGCTCCTCTGGAGAGAGTAGGTGACATCTTCTGGCACAGCTGAGGCATGCACCACATGTACTCAGCCCCAACAACCTTTTCAGCCATCCCAGCCACCTCACTCCCATCCTTCCAGCTTTTTCACCACCCTGCTAACCACTTGTGTGAGCCACTCCAGCAATTTACCATACCAGGGACCCTGGACTGGCAATTTTGGGAGGAGATCCTCCACCCCAACACTGGCCAAAGCGCATGACTCCATTGAAAAGCACAGATTAGAAGAAACATTTAACATTCACAAGTGATATAAAAATATTGAGGGTGTTTTTCACTCCCTGAAATAAACAAAAATAGGAAATAAAAGTCAGAGGTGGCAGGCTGTAAAACACAGAGCAGCAACCACCAAGATAGCCAACAAAAAGCACATGAACCACCAGCAGCAGGCACAGAAATAAATCCTTCCCACACCAGCATTGGTTATATCAATGTCAAACAGCAAAACAACCTTAAGCAATTCCTCCTCTTTGGTACCCACACACATTTGTAGGGATAATGCTGGAGAGGTCCAGTGACACTGTAAAAACTGCTTCAAGAGAGCTGCACCCATCAGAACAGAAAGCTCTGTTCCCTATCAGTCACCTTGAAATTGCCTTAAATCTCACAAACAACAGGATAAAAGGCAGGGAACTGTTTATTTACTGTAATTCAATAAAGATCTGCAATTTGAGAATAAATTATTTAGCAGCAAACCCAACAGACAACCCACTGATTTCTGAAATAAAAGGAAGTCACACCTGTACAGATCTCTGTTTCAGATGACTACAAATGCTGTCTCACCCAGACTCCCAGCCTTTGGGATGTTCCCAGGGCAGCACTGGGATTCTGCCAAAGTGTCCATTCTAGATACTGTTATCACTGAAGGGAAACTTGTGTATCCCTACTGTGGATATACAGGTTCAGCCAGGGAAAGCTTTGAACTGGGATCAGCCACACAGGTCTGTGGGCTTTCCCTGGGATCATTCCTGTGACAGGCAGGCAGTGGCTGCTGTCTCCTGTTGAGTGAGTGTTCCCCAGGCACAGCCATGGAAAAGCAGCTCTCCCCCAGAGCCAGACCCCAGCACTGCTCCTGCTCACTGAACTAAAAACAAAGACATTGCTCACCCCCAGCAGAAATTCCCTCCCCCTTGGCAGGGCAGAGTTCAACCCCCAGCACATGTTCCTTCCCAGACACAAGGCTGTTTTCCATACTCGGATCATAAACTGGCATTTCAATCTTTGGACATTGAAACACCAAAAGATTTTAAATAAAGAAAATAATTAGATAATTAATAAAACTCATTCATTCATTCATAATTAAATCAAGAAGATCTGTATTTCTTATTTAATTCACACATGCACCACTTCTGAAAGGAGGTGGCAAATAGAGGTGATTGTTGTGCATGTTGATGAACAGTATTTTTATATGGGCAACATCAAAACTATTCTGTTGTACTGAAATAGCTGTTTCTTTCATAGAATCATGAACTGGACTGGGGGGGAAGGGATCTAAAAGCCTATCCAGTTCCACCCCTGCACAGCCAGGGACACCTTCCACTGTTTCAGGGTGTCCCAAGCCCTGTCCAGCCTGGCCTTGGACATTTCCAGGGACCCAGGGACAGCCACAGCTACTCTGGACACCCTGTGCCAGGCCTCAGCACCCTCACAGGGAAGAATTTCTCCCAAGTATCCCATCTATCCCTGCCCTCTGGCAGTGGGAAGCCATGCCCCGTTGTCCAAAGTCTCTTTCCATCCTTACCTGTGGGAAGTCTTTCCTGTACAGGACACAGAACACTGACATTCATTTCCATGAGGCATTTACAGTTTGTGAGCACTAATGGATAACTGTATCACCTTGGAATCCTAGTTTGCTCTTAATATTCCCTATCAGGTAACATTACCTTTCTCTAATAGTCCCTCTGCAATAGCAAAGGCTGAGAGAGGCTGTAAACAAAGTAAGCAAAAGTTCATGTGGTTCCTTCTGTAAAGTCATCTCGTGTTTATTTCGGAACACAGATGCTCTCCCATATCCCATTTGCATCCTGATTGTCAGGGGCACAATTCAGGAAAGAGGTTTCAGTGTAGTGACAGTGAAATATCCCACATCTTGGGGAATATCAAGAAGAACAAAGAGCCAAACCATAGGTAACATACAGTGTAGTAGTCAGACTCTTCTGGGCCTTAAGAAACCAGTGGGATACTTCCCCTAAATAAATTAAAGTGTAATAGCAGCAGGAATTGCGCAAGAACTTGCGTTTCTGAGGTGATTAAGAACCATTTGAGCAGCATGATGAGAATCTATTTCCCATGGGGAAGAAACGCAGGAGCAGCCTGAGCCATTGAACCAATCTATTTGGAGGAAGCTTTTCCCAGCGCTGGCTGCTCTCCAGCACTGGCACTGTGACAAGAAGCATCCCTGGTTTACACAGACCCCCTCAACACGAGCACCCTCTGACAGGCACCTTGCCCTCCAGGTAGACACAAAAACTCTCACAATGATGGTAAACACACAACTTGTGAAAGGGAAGGTGAAGGCAGCTCTTGGAGACAGCTTCTTCATCCAAAGGAAATGGCTGGGAAGTCTAATGAGTCTCTAGGAAACACAAACAAGTCTTGCTTTAAAGTGCTGGAGTCCCCACAATCCCAATTAAATAACTGGTAGATGCAAATTAAAGAACTGAGTGTGTCTCCCTGAAAGTATTCACCAGCAGACTTTAGAAATCAGGGTAAACAACTGGAAAAACATAGGAGGCAGGGATTTTATGGGTCAAACCCCAAGTACTTAAACCTCAGATAATCACCTGGCACTGAACAATACAAAAGCAAACATTCCCCACAGGAATGACTCTTCACCAAGCAGTGATTGGCATTACTTGGTCAATCAGCACAGAGCCTGTGGCAGCTCCCAGCTGACCACGGCTCTGCCCAGCCCATGTCCTGCAGGGAAGGACAGGCACAGCCCTCTTGTGGACCATTGGGTGTCAGGAAGGGCACTCAAGCAGTAATTTCTACAAGAAGGTAATGCAGAACCATGTAAAAGCTGTTCTTATCTTTTCCCTCTTTCACCAAGTCACAGCCAAAGCTTCTCAGGCAATATGGGCTCAAGGACATGAAACATATTTGTCTTTTACTACTTGCAACCACAACACCACCACCATGTCCCAAAGAATGAGCCTGCAAGACAGCTAAAGCAGGTGGGCAGGGACACCAGGGAGCAGCAAAAAGTACCACAAAGCACCTGCAGGCAACATAGAATGGTTTGGGTTGGAAGGGATCTTAAAGCCCATTCCCTTCCACCCCCTGCCACAGGCAGGGACACCTTCCACTATCCCAGGCTGCTCCAAGCCCTGTCCAGCCTGGCCTGGAACACTTACAGGGACACAAGGGCAGACACAGTTTCCCTGGGAAGCTGTGCCAGGGCCTCAGCTCCCTCACAGGGAAGGATTTCTTCCTAACCTAATCTCAATCTCTCTTCTATTAGTTTAAAACCATTCCCCCCTGCTCTATCACTACTTCCCCCTGTAAAAAGTCTTTCCCCCTCTTTTTTATAAGCTCTCTTTAAGTTCTGGACGGCCACATGGCTGCAGATGCAAACTGGACTCCTACCCCTGTTGTTGATTCAGCCCAACACAAAGGATTACTCCTGGATGAGGCTTTAAGTAGTTGTCTCATAAAGGGGGAAAAAAATCATCTGCACAGATCCATGGCAGCAGCCCAAAGCTGTAAAGCAGCTCCCAGGGAAATGAAAAGCCACCACAATCCTCTCCCTGCTGCTGAAAGAGCCCCAGACATTTCCTCAGCCACACAGCACTTGCACAAACACAATCCATGCATCCTCTGTGCTCTTGCTAAAAGACAGCAAAAATAAAAATAATCACATACATCAGTTACTGAACTGCTGGCTTGTATGTAGCTGATGAAATGCACACAGAGATGATTTTCTGGTGGCAAGAAGCAAGAATGAGATCATCTGGAAAAGAGAACATGAATATTCTCACAAAATCCTCAAGTTTCAGCACAGAAGCAGTTTGAAAAGGTTTATCCTTGGGTAACAGGAGTGTAGTACTGCCATCAGGGTAACAGATATCATCAAAACAAGACAACTGAGCTGCTGCAGAAGAAAAAAATAATAATTTTTTTTTAAATCTTCTTTTCACTCCCCCTTCTAACAATGAAGACACTGAAAATGCAGCTGAACACACAGCTACATATAGTTGATCCCAATTAATCCTCAGCCTTACCACATCTGTAGCCAGTTCAAATGTGCCCTTTTAGAAGGGCCTGATGCCAGCAGCAAACAGCAGTGTCCCTGGATGTGTGGCTCTGAACATGCTCCCAACACAGAGAACAGCAGGACACCCTGTGCACAGGAACGAGCTCTGCATGCACCCTCCAGCCCCAGCACTGCTCTCAGCTGCTCCTTTTCACTCATTAGTGCTCCCAGCTTTTAGTTTGGTGACTTCCATATAAAAGCAAGTGTCCCCTGTGGGTCACCAGAGCACTGTGGTCTCCAGTGCAGCTGCTGGCCCTGCTCTGTGGGAAATGGGATCTCTCTGTCCTACAGGCAGCTCTCCCAAAGCCACCGCTCCAAGGTGACAGGGACACAGCAGCACAGGATGGCTCACAGACAGCAGTGGGGACAGGTGTGGGACACACAGAATTGCTGGGAGTGGCCACTGCCACTCTGCACCTGTGGCCTTTCCTCGGAAATGTTTAGCTTCCCTTACAAACACTGAGCATCCAACCCAAAGCACTGTCACACAGAGAGTGCCCAATGCCTGCTCTGAATGCCATCCCACTGCTCAGAACTCCTTCTCCTTCCCAAGGGAGACTCCCCACCCAGACAGCCCTTCCAAACTCTTCACCCTTTGTGCAATCACCCCAGCTGCCTTAATTCCCCAGGGAACTTTCTGTCACTGTTTTTATTTGTAGTCTGAACCACACGTGACATACCAAATTTACAACGTGCAAACGAGACAGAACCAACTGTGCCAGAGAATTTCAAAGCAAGCAAAGCCTTGCACAGAGAGCTGCTGCTCAGGAGGCACCTGGAATGCAGAGATGCATTTCCTGCTCGCTTATGAACTGGAAACAACTGACTCTAGGAAGCTGATTTCAAGGCAAATTCATTCAACACATTATTGAACTGCTCTGTTCCCTCATATTAGGAGCTGTTCCCCATCCCTCTGGGGTTTAGATTTGAACCACTCAGACAGGTTTCTGACCTTGTATCTTATAATTTGTGCCAAAAAGCCATTTGATTACTACTGAGTGATGCTCAAAGGAGACTTTGCCCCATGGTACTGCAGTGGCCAGGCTGTTCCCATTTTCCATAAGCCTCAACCATTTCAGCTCCTTAATTCTAATGACAGCTTGTTCTTTTCCCATCTGCCACCTCCCTCCCCCTGTGCTAGGGGAGAAATCAGACACCAACAGCAGAGCATACTCTGCTCTTTGCTTTTCAGTACCCCCTAAATATATATAGATAGATAGCTATATAGATATATATGCAGTCAACTGGGACATCACTTATTCCCAAGCCACAGATTTTATACGTATTTATACTCACATACACTTACACATTTACGCTTACACATCCACATGGAAAAGGTATAAATATTGAAGAACATATTTCTGGAAAGACAAGGACTAAATGATGTTTTAAAGTGGAGAATTACTCCTGAATAAAAAGAAATAAGTCTTTTTAAAAGAGAAGCAATACTCCTGCTATTTGGTGGTCAACTGGGGACAGCCTTCACCTGGAGGTTCTGAAGTGGAAGCGCCTGTGTCAGTGTTTTCCATCTGGCATAAAAAACCTCCACAAATTAACACAGGGGTTGTACCAAGCACTTCAACACAATTCCATCTGATCCCCACGCTCGGCTCAGATTCAGGCCTTGTCACAATGGCCCAAGCCATGGGGCTGAGCAGGTTTTGACTCCCTCACGAGCTGCCTTTGCCACGCATGACAGCTGTTGGCTCCACAGCGCAGGATTTATCCCTGGAAACCCGTGACAGGGCTGGACAAGGCAAAATCGGCCACATGGAGAGCTGGGGACGAGCCCTGGCTTCCTCACCTCACCTCACCCCAAAGCAGTGCGGCGGCTGCCCCTCACCTTGCTGCTGCAGTTTGTAGTCCGTGGAGTAGGCCTTGCCTATGATGTTCCACACGGGCCGCAGGCACCCGAAGAGCCCCTCGAGGAAGCCGCCGCTGCCGCTGCCCGTCCGGTTGAACTGGACCTTCACATCGTCACCGGCCCCATTGGTGTCACCATCGCCGGGGCTGCGAGTGCCCTGCGGGAGCCCCGGCTCGGGCTCGTCCTGCTCCCGCAGCTGCAGCACGCTGTTCTCGAAGTGGTCGCGGGCGTCCTCGCTGATGCTGGTGAGCACGGCCGCCGTGCCCGGGCTGCTGATGCCCTCGAGCAGCTCGGCCGGCAGCGAGCCCCGCTCCCGCACGTCCTCCAGCAGCTCGGGGGACGGGCGGCTCCCGGCCGCGGGGTGCTCCTCAGGCAGCCGCCCCAAGTCTTTGTCCTCACAGAACGCTTTGCCCATGGAGCTGGGAGAGGAAGACAGGCTCAGGCGCTCCTGAGTGCTGGCCATGATGCCGTGGGTGTGCATCAAGGAGACGGCCCGAGGGGGTGCTCAGAGCATTTGTAGGACACAACTCACAGGTGACATGTGGGCCCAGTACCTGAAACGAGAGGAAAACGAACAACTTTCAATTTTTTTATTGAAGTATTTTCACTACGTGCAGTTTCACTGAGGTGAGCTGATAATTAACTAGACTTTCCAGACAGCCGCTGATACTTGGTAAATAATTACTGCCCTAAAAGAAACAAATAAATGGCTCCAACAGAAACTCCACTCAGGCAATACTCTCGGTAACATACTACAGGAATTGCCCAGGAAACAAACACCACAATTTTAAACAAGAGCCTAAAGGTCAAAATCGTGGAAGATTCTTTGCAGAAAATTCCCATAGCATTCCCATCAGACTGAAGCTGGCCCCAGCTCAGCTGTGGTCAGAGTCCCACCACTGTTCCTGGGCCTGGCACAGCCCACGAGCTCAGGATCCCTCTGCAAACCCTCGAGACAAGGTGTTGGAGAAACAAAGCCTGGTGATACAGGTACCTTGATGCCACCAAGGGATGCTTTGTGGCTGCTCCCTCGGAGCCCCATCTGGTTACCACCATTCTGGACTGTTGATTGACCTTCCATGTCCATTGTGGCAAGGTATGTTCAATTCTCTAACCACATCCATGCCACCCTCATAAACAAGTAAAACTTTGAGTTTCATGGAACAGCAGACCCTCCTTGCTGTTCTCCCACCAGTGCTCTCCACTTCTCCCCTGCATGAGCTTCTGGGAGGGTGCACATAAAACAAAAGCTGGGATCCCTTTTAAGAAGTGCCTCCATCTGTTGCTCCATGCTCCTCTGAGAGGTCTTTTTTCCACAACCCACGGTGGTGCCACCTTCCCACAGAGCCAGGTTGATGGCTGGGGTCACACTGCCAGAGCTGCCCACTGCAAAAACAGTTTTGGGATAGTCCCTTCTGAAACAAGAGGCTCTAACACTGGGCCACAAGCAATTAAGTGAATTCAGCCTGCAACACGGAACAAAGTCCAGTTTTAAATTCCATGAGAAGCTGAGAGTAGGGTAAAAAAATGGCCCTAACAGAAAGTATTTTGTTAAAAAGTAAGATCAGTTCTAGTGGGTGCAAATTCCCAGGCTCTGCAAGCAGCCATTGGAAGGGAGAAAGAGGTGGCCAGGTAGGACACAGCCAATGGCAAGGGAACAGCTCAGGGCCATAACTCCTCAGGATGAGGTCACTGCAGAGAGGAGAGATAAGCCCTTCAGCCCACAGGATGAAAAGCCCTGGGCTTCAGCCCCTCTCCAGCAGCAAACAGGAACAGCCAGGAACTTGGATTACATTCCTGTATCCTGCCTGATCACATGGGGCTTGCATAAAAGCTTTATTTAGGTTGTAAACTTTGTTCTTTAAAAGAAAGCAAAACAGCAAGTGAGGCAGAGGTTGCAGCACAGCCCAAACCAGGTAGAGGAGCTGAATCAGACCCAAATGGGAAGCTGGAGAGTTGGTTATTCCTGACCTGCTGCTGGCCAGCCTTACAATGACCAATTCAGCAGTGTGGGAAGCTGCAGTGTGACCTCAGAGTACAGTTACGACTAGCAGCAGTTGTTCTACTATCACAGATTTTGTTATTGGTAACAAGGTGCTTCAGACCTGAACAGCATTTCAGAAAAACACCTGGCCAGGCCAGGCCAGGCCCAACTCAGCCCCAGCCCATCACCTAAAGTCAGAGAGTGACAAGTGATTGTTTAAACAAGAGCAAAATGTGACCACTGCTCCTACAGAGAAATCTGCTTTTTGTAACATAGAATATTAAGCAATACAAATAAAACATCAGCCAGGTGTCCTGCAAGAAATTCAAATGCAAATTCTAGAATCTGAGGCAACAGTGTCCCAAAATATCTCAAATTTAAGCCTTTGGAAGTGCATTAAGGATTAAATCAGACTTGGGAGGATAAAATAACTTTGCTGTTATGTGACTCTCAAGAGTACACTACTACAGTGTAAGGTTTTACTTTTACATTTTTACAATTTTCTGCCTCTGGAATGTTTGATTGTGGAGATTTAACATGGAATGAACAGCTTTTCACTACACAGCTCAGCCAAGAACAAAGCCCCAGACTCAGGGATATCAGGTCTGTTTTCCCAGATCAAATTGCTTTCTCCAGCACTGAGATGTTTCAAATAAAAAAAACCTTCAGGCACGGTGTCCTGCCACTTTACATGCCCCTTCATGTGCTTCATGGGGAGAGAAGACATATAAAAGTTATGGAATTATTTTCAAACTGGCATGATACAGCCTTATTTAGGCCCTTACATAAGCAGCCTAATTTTCAGAGGTGCAGCAAACTCATTGTTTGGAGAGCATGAAACAGCAGCACTTCTTTTAAAACAACTTCCTCTCAAGCCAACTTGAAGCAAAGTGGTGCAGAAACCCTAGGAGGGGGAGAAGGTGGTTTCTGCCACACCACATCATGCTGACTTGTTGGGGGGAATTAATTTTTAAAATTCTCTTCTATTGCAGTAAATTTTGCAATGTGCAACCTCTTGTCTTAGCAAAATGTGATTTAATCCAATGAAATTAGGCTGGTTTAGATCTCACCATCTCTTCAAACAAGGGAAGAAGAGCATTTTCCAAGTTTTATTGTATTGCTGCTACTATTCTTTCAGTCATATACCAAAAGGCTGAGATTTTTCATGTTGACCTCTTCCCAATAAAAGAAAAGGCAAAGAAAAACATTTTCTTGAAAGTTTTAGGTTTCATTACATCCAAACTACTATTGAGGATGTATTCATAAGGGCATGGTAGTGACAGGACAAGGTGGAGTGGCCTTCAGCTGAAGGAGGGCAGGGTTAGTTTAGATATTAGGAAGAAATTGTGAGGGTGGGGAGGCCCTGGCACAGGCAGTGTCCAAGGCCAGGCTGGACAGGGCTTGGAGCAACCTGGGCTAGTGGAAGGTGTCCCTGCCCATGGCAGGGGGTAGAACTGGAGGATTTTTCAAGTCTCTTCCAACACAAACCAGCCTGGGATCCCATGTCTGTGATCTGCATGTGCATCATGAGCTTTTCCAGGGAAAGGCCTGGCCAAGGCTGTGCTATTTCTATCCCAGCAATGCTCCTGCTGCAGCAGCCTCCCAGTCAAAAGCTGGAAGCTCCATGTGTGGGAGGACTGTGCATATTTAAGAGATTGAGATTTCACAAAGTGCTGCTGCACACACAGACTTGAAGGCAGACCCTCGGATTTGTACTGTTTTCATGAGTTCATGCACTCTGCACTAACAAATTTCTCTTCTGTCTGGAAGGAGATTCAAGGCTCGGTGTGATTTTGCACAATCACAACTTCTCATAAATGACTCCACTTCCATGCAAAGTATTTTTTCCAGGCAAAATCTCACCACCCTCAGACAAGAGGAGCATGACATGCACCTCTTCTCAAAAGAGTGAGGCTGCTCCTCAACATGTCAGACAGCCCAAAATTCAGTTTGAAACTACAGATAAGTGAGAGTTTACTTGAATCACCAAGTGGGTGAATCAGCTACCAAGGCACACTCTCACCTTGCCTGATATTGTGCCTGTCCCTGAAAATAGCCATCCAGGAAGTGTCCTCACACTCCCACTGTCGATGCAGGGCGACCCCAGTGTAGGGAATAATGTGCTCTGACTCCATGATTCAGAAGGCTGAACAAATGCTTTATCAAGCTAGGTTATATTGCACTAATACTATACTATACTAAAGAAAAACCTATTACTGTCTTCAGTCATGACACAGCTTTGATCCAATTGGTCAAACAGCCCAAACAACCATCAGCAGAATCCAATTAACAAATCACTCTCTGTAACCCATTCCACATGTGCCAAACAGGAGCAGCAAGTAGAGATAAGAACTATTTTCTCTTCTTCCCTGAGCTTCTCACTGCCTTCTCCAGGAAAAATCCTGGGAGAGAGAATTAAGTCTCTCTCTGTTCAGGAAATGTGAATACCACATCCCCAGAGCCACCAAAGCACGTGGCTGCCTGTACAAGTTCAATATTCCTAAAAGTGTCAACACAATGGGTCAGGTTTGCAGCTGAGTTAAGCCAATGCCGAGCATGAACCATGACTGAAGTTTCTCCTTTAAAGTTTCTCCTTTAAAGACCTGTGCTAAAAATGGAGTGGCAAATCAGACACAGCATTCCAGACACAGCACACAAACCAAACCAAACAAAAAGCCAGTGTGCTGGAAAGGTGGTGTAAGCACAGAGGCCACCACTCAAGTCTTATGACAGCCCAAGTCTCCAGTTTGCTTCCTTGAACACTATTTCTATTTTAGCCAGTTAAACATAATCTCTGCTTGCACTTCCAACAAACAAAGAGAATAAAAGCAATTGTCTGATCCATGTTTAGGGGCTGTAGAAGAGCTGCTGACAGAAATTATCCAGCTGGTACATAGAACTACCACGGACAGAGGAGATTCCTGCCCAGATCACAACAGCCAAGCCCTGCAGGTCTCACCTTGCTTTTCCTGGTACTCAGTGTGATTTCCTCCTGGCTGCAGTGGGCACAACAAGGTAACTACACATCTCCTCACTGATAACACGACTGGAATTTATGGGTGTATTGTCTCATCCAGTGGCTTGTGACAAAGCTTTAAAAAATGTTCTAAAATCTAACAAAATCACAAAAAGCATGTCTATAAAGCACAGACATCATGTTCTCCTGCCCCTTGTGACACTCTCTCAGATTCTACAGGGAATTTTTACAACACATTGATGCACAGTCCTCTCCCATTGCTGTAAAACGCCAGCACAGGAAAGACTGAGAGCTGCTGAATTGGCAAGTCCCAGAGCTTTTGTTGTCACTCCTGACCTTTGGGGTTTGAACTGTGTGGTTTTACTACACAGGATCTCAACAGACTTTCTTTTCCTGGTCTCCTGATGAAGAAAATATTACATGAATGATCAGATACTCCTCTTCTGCCACACTTTTTACATTACTCGGAATATTGGCTTGTGCTTTGCATGGTTGCTTTGAAAACAAGAAGTAAAAGCAGATTTATCAATAGAGAATGAGTTACACATCAGCAAAAGGCAAACTCTTTGTTTTCAGGAGGGTTTAATTTTTTC